GCTGGGACATTTCTAATTGCAGCAGAGAACATGGGGAGCAATGGGGGGCATCAAGATGCTAGATTCACTGTATTAATATTATTAGTTGGCAACTCTGATTTAATTGGAACACTTCAGTTTGCACATGTTCTTTGTCCCTTTGTAGAATATAAATATTTTTCAGAAAAAAATATTTTCTCTCAACCTATTTAAATGTCACACTAAGGTCAGATTCATATTCATGATTAATCATCTACCCTGATTGGCACCTTCTATCATACTTTGTGCCCACATTCTCTTTGGTTATTTCAGCGTATTGATCTTTTGCTTCTGTTATTGTTTCAGGAAGAAAAGGCAATTGGACGTGGAATCCTCCCATTGCTTCAGCGTGCCACCCTGGTTCAGACCTTTGGACAAAAGAACCATGTCTGCTTGAAGGACGGCTCGATCACCATTCCGCCATATGCACCCCCACAGAAAATGCAGGCTCATCTTATTCCCCCAGACACCCCTCGGTCTATCTTTGTATATTTCCGTGGTCTGTTCTACGATACCAGCAATGATCCTGAGGGTGGATACTATGCAAGGTAAATTTTCCGCTTATCTCCAATACATCCTATCATCTGCTCATTGGCTCGTAGCATGTGGAGTCTGATGTTTCTGTATGTCCTATCAGAGGTGCCCGCGCGTCGGTTTGGGAGAATTTCAAGAACAACCCGCTGTTTGACATCTCAACCGATCACCCACCCACGTACTACGAAGATATGCAGAGATCTGTGTTCTGCTTGTGCCCATTGGGCTGGGCTCCATGGAGCCCCAGACTGGTGGAAGCTGTGGTTTTCGGTTGTATTCCGGTGATCATTGCAGATGACATTGTCCTCCCCTTTGCTGATGCTATCCCCTGGGAGGAGATTGGCGTGTTTGTCGCCGAGGAGGATGTTCCGAAGCTGGACAGTATCCTGACATCCATACCAACAGATGTTATCCTGAGGAAGCAGAGGCTTCTCGCGAACCCGTCGATGAAGCAGGCCATGCTGTTCCCCCAGCCTGCTCAGGCAGGAGATGCATTCCATCAGATACTGAATGGTCTCGCTCGCAAGCTTCCACATGGCGAAAACGTCTTCTTGAAGCCCGGGGAGAGGGCCCTGAACTGGACTGCTGGACCGGTGGGCGACCTGAAGCCTTGGTAGCATGCATCTCACTGCCTATAGAAATGTAAAAACTTTTTTGAAAAAGATATATTTACAGACATGATATATACTTGCGCCTTGAGATCACCATGGTTGCATAGTGCTGACCATAAATCAACAAATGTACATTTTTTTGTATCTTTTTCCCTGATAGCTATATACCATATATCTTCATTCCTTTTCTTCCCATTAGCGGATGAAATGCCGGCATTTGTCCGCTTTGTCCATATATGTGGATAACTGGATATCATAATGAAATTATGAGATTTAATTCATGCTGAATGCGTGACATAATTTCAAATGTGGATCTCCCTGAATTTACACAATTTTTCATCCTTGAATTTCCCTGATAGATAGTTCAGGTAAAGATGATTGGTGAGGCTAGCTGAGTTGGGTACTAGTTAGGCATGTGGCTGCAGTCAATCTTAGTCTAATGTGTTGATTTGGGTACTAATTGTTGCTGATTCCTGAAGGAATGTAGCTTCCAATGTGTTGGCTTCTGTGTTCCTGCATCAACCTGAAGATTTTCTGTTGAGTCTTGGTGTCTGAAAATGAAATTTGGAGCCAACATCAGAATGCCTTTTTTCATTATTTGGCCCCATTAGACCACTCAGATGTTGAAAAAACCAATATAACTTTCGTTAGCACTGATCGCGGCGTTTCACCTGCTACACAAACATCGCAGCTGCTGCAATGTCAGTAACCTAAGTATAATTGATTTATTTATTTATTTTTAAAAAATATGACCCTTTTGGTGTCTGCCACTTTAGTAACCAACAAATTTCTAAATAAATAAGAACAACCGTTTGGTGAAGTTTATCCATCCTTAACATCAAGCAGCCCACTAATCAAAACAAAATTAAGCCATGCTTTTTTTGCTTTGCATATGTCACCAGTAACCATGTAGTGTTTTATTTACTCCCTCCGTCCCAAAATAAGTGCAGTTTTAGCATTGTTCATATTCAACGTTTGACCGTTCGTCTTATTTAAAAAAATATTATGATTAATATTTTTATTGTTATTAGATGATAAAATATGAATAGTACTTTATGTGTGACTAATTGTTTTAATATTTTTTTATAAATTTTTCAAATAAGATGTATGGTCAAAGCGCTAAACACGGATATCTATGGCTGCATTTATTTTGGGACGGAGGTAGTATCATCGAAACAAAATTAAATACAAGATCAGAGTTTGGCAATGTGTGTACATATGCTCACTGGAGTCAAAGTACAAAAACTCATTGCTGCTGTGACCTAACTGCAACCGACGAAATGGGCGAGGATCCAACATGGAGCTAAGTAAAAGTTTGCATGAATTGCGAGAGAAGCAACGCTAGAAAATGGCCAAGACCTTCCACCGACAGTCTCTTAAATAGATTGCCTTCGTTGGAACAGGGAAAAAAAAAGAGATAATATTTATATGTTGATTTAAAGCAAAAGTAGGGAGCAGGTTACAATTTTGAGGACAGAAGATGATCAGAGATTTTTTTTTCTTCTAAAAAGTATTGAAATGGGGGAAGATCCACATCTTAGGGTGAAAGCAATGTAGGTAACTGTTCAAGACAAGAAAAGACAAATGATCAGCAAGAACAAATCAAGGACTCGCATTTAATTTTCATCTTTTAAAATGTGAGTCCTTGTACAATTTGCTTCCGCGTATTCCGGGCTGATTGATCGTAATTTGTAATGTTTGGTTTGGTTTGGTTTGGTTTAGTTTGGTTTGATGTGCCTAACGGAAGTTTTGTTCTCTTCCTCACCAGCCGACGGTCCTGTGCCTGATTACTTGGACGCCATGAGAGCATTCACATTTCACACGAAGGACCCAGCTTTCACGTCAGGGCGAGATGTTGACCGAGAAGGCTATTGGGTGATCAGTCGCACGCGGAGAGGGGACGGCGGACGCGCCGCGCGGGAGACCGACTTTTCTGTTTTTTTTCTTTTTCCGTGTTTTCCGTTTCTGTTCGGTTGGTTGTTTTTTTTCCTTTTTTTTGGTTTCTGTTCAGATTGGTTTTTCTTTTTTTTTCTCTTCTGTTTTTTTTTGGTTTTTTAGATGTATGAATACAAATTTTGTATTCATACGTATGCAAAGTTTGTATACGTGTATGCAAACTTTGTATACGTGATACAATTTCTTGTTTTTTTATTTTTCTAATACGTATGTATACAAAGTTCGTATATGTGTATATATTTTTATATATTAAAAAATATTCATAAATATATATACACACATATATACATATGTATATACGTGTGTATATGTAGCATATACATAAGTATAGTAGGGGTGTGTTTGAGGAGAAGGAGATTGGGGAGATTGGGAAGATACGAAACGAGGTGAGCCATTAGCGCATGATTAGTTGAGTATTAACTATTTTAAATTTCAAAAATGAATTAGCATGACTTTTTAAAACAACTTTCCTATAGAAAATTTTTGTAAAAAACGCACCATTTAGTAGTTTGAGAAACATGCGCGTGAAAAACGAAGTGTTTTCTCACCCTATATCACACAAACGAACGCAGATACAGAGAAGAGAAGAGACTAGAGGGGGGGCGACTGACCGCGCGGGGGGCGCGGCTGATCGCGTATCAGGGCCTCCCGATGTTGACGGGTGCATGCATAATTGCAATTATCCAAACATCTGTAATTCTGTTAGGATTTTTTTTCCTAGTACCTGCGGACCCGGTATGCAGTTATCCAAACATCGGTGATGCAAAAATCTGTTTTGGAGTATAAAATGGCACGTTGTTTTCGGCTTATTCGTGATATTATTATAAAAAATGGTTTTTCTATAAAAAAAACTTTATTTTATTATAGTTTAGATAGGGGAGGAGACTCAAGATACTGAGCACACCAGTATAAACACATCATCTCAATATTAAACACCAGTATAAACACATCATCTCAATATTAAACTATGTTAAAATATTATTAAGAGACCTTTCGCACCTCTTATCTTGTCAACTATGGCGGAAAATTTGAAGGGGGAACTCAGGGGTTTCCATGGATCTGGTAGGTGGGATTCCCCTTGGTTTAGACCCATTTGTTCAAAATTACTTGCTAGTTATACTGAGATGTTTAATTTATTCCTACATGTAATTTATATCAACATTCTAGTGAATAATCTTTTTAAACGCTACATTAGTTAATCATTTCTTTTGCGGGGATAAGTATGTACTTAACGAACAACTCTAGAGCACGAATTAGTCCGCATAACTTTTTGCACGCACAGTATACTCAACTATTCATGGATTACGAAATGGCTATATGTACGACAACCACATACAACCCATGTCTGACTCAACTAGTATATCTATAATAAATACCAACTGTTCTATTAGACTGTTTTTTTACTTATCAAGCTTATCAAGTTTATAGAAAAGTATAGTAGTATTTTTAACATAAAAAAAACATAAGAAACTAATTTAATATTTTAGATGTTGCTAGATTTTCCTATAAATTTAGTCAAACTTAGAAAAAAGCTAACCGACTTATGATATGAAACGGAGAGAGTAGTAGATAAGATTTTTGGTCTATGAAATAAAAAAAATGCACACATTTCCCCGAGCTAAGGTAAGGAACTATTTTCTCCATAAAAAATACTTAACCGATAGACGTTTTCTAGTACAACGTATCTAGACATACTCCTGTCCAGATTCGTTGTACATAAAACGTACCATTAAATACTAATTGATTTTTTTGGGACGGAGGGAGTAAGGATTTACCGGATACTCCTACGAACGCGCCACCTTCACCTCATGTACGTATAGGTACCGTATAGCTACGCCGTACAAATACGGAGGAAAGAGAAGAAGACGCGGTGAGGTGAACCCGTCACCAACCTAGCTCGCGAGACAGCTCATCATTTGGCAGCGACACCCCGCAGCCCAGCTTCCAGCCACCGGCCACCGCCATCATCATCCTCGCGAGCTCGCCTCCCTCCTCTCCCCTCCCCGTGTTCCTCTCCTTCCTCCTCCTCCTCCTCGATTGGCCAGCCGCATCCAGCATCCTTCTTGGGGGTTTCGTCGAGGTCGGTGGTTGGAAGGGAGGAGAGGTGGGGGGAGCCATGGCGATGCGGCTGTCTTCGGCGGCCGTGGCGCTCGCGCTGCTTCTGGCCGCCACCGCCTTGGAGGACGTTGCCAGGGGCCAGGACACCGAGAGGATCGAAGGTACGCACCGCACGCGCTCGCGAGCGGTTCAAGTAGCGATTTCTTTTTCTTTTTCTTCTTTTTTTTGGCGATGGTTGATTGCTTGCTCCGTTGCTCGATGCGTGCTTTTCGCAATGTTTGTGTCGGTGCATTTGATCCGTGGTTGCTGCTGCATTCTGATGGCTGGAATCTGACCAATCTGTTGTGGGGATTGAGTGAAGCGAGCAGTTTAATTTAGGGCGTATCTTGCAGATAATCACTTGCCTCCCGCGACCTTGGGGACAAGGGGATCTGCTGTTGCTTGGATATCAACTGTTAATCGTAGCACTATTTGTTCTAGGTCCAATTTCCAGTTAATATAAACTTCCCCGGGGACCGGGAGAGTCTGCTACTAGCTACTTACTTCATGCCCAACACGCAGCCACCTCTGCTAGTAGTAGATTCATGTGTTATCCAACATCTTTGGTTTAGCCTCTACGCGATCGTTCCGCGTTCCATGTTCCGCGGCCTCGATTCAGTTGCCATGGAATAATTTATGCTCATGTGTGAGTGTGATGTGTGGTTGAGTGTAGCTCAAGCTCGATTCTTTCTCAATTACTCCGGTCAAAACTCGATGCATAATGAGGTGAACAGTAAGCATGTGAATCAATGTAGTATTAGTTGATATATAAGCAAGTGGCTGAAATTACTGAACTATACCGACGACTATCATACTCGGTCAATCTACTGGATCTGATGAGTTTCTCAAATAGAATTGACATGTGCTTTCGCATTCTTGCATTCCTTTTTTATGTCATTTTTTTAACGATTTTTTGAGTCATTTTTATGCAATAATAACATACTAGTAGTACTAAAAAAACTCTGGTTGGCAAGCTACTCCTAAGTCTTATCCACTCCATAACTAATTGCCGCAGTTTGACTTATGATTTGCTTACCAAAAAGAGAAACTTATGGGAAGCTGTTAGGCCTGTCAAATTATGGTGGCTGCTAGGACACTACATAATTCTCACTTTTTCATTGTACATATGACCATATCTTAGGGAGTGCGGGTGATGTGCTGGAAGATGACCCTGTCGGGAGGCTTAAGGTGTATGTCTACGAGTTGCCCACTAAATACAACAAGAAGATGGTGGCAAAAGATTCCAGATGCCTCAGCCACATGTTTGCTGCAGAGATTTTCATGCATCGATTCCTCTTGTCAAGTGCGATCCGGACTTTAAATCCGGAGGAAGCTGATTGGTTCTATACTCCAGTATACACGACGTGCGATCTTACTCCATGGGGTCATCCCTTGCCCTTCAAGTCTCCAAGGATTATGAGAAGTGCAATTCAGTTCATTTCCTCGCATTGGCCCTATTGGAACAGGACAGATGGGGCAGACCATTTCTTTGTTGTGCCACATGATTTCGGAGCATGCTTCCATTATCAGGTAAATCAAGGAATCATTAACCTTGAACTATTGTATATCAAATCATGGAAACATACGATGAGCCTCATCTACATACTCAATACAACGAAATCATTCAGCTCCAATGTACCAATTGTTACCCTTTTACATGTTCAACCATGGGATCTTATTTGCATTTGGTTTTTCCATGATTCAGGAAGAGAAGGCCATTGAGCGGGGAATCCTGCCATTGCTTCGCCGTGCGACGCTGGTCCAGACTTTTGGGCAGAAGGATCATGTCTGCCTCAAGGAAGGGTCCATCACAATCCCACCATATGCTCCTCCTCAGAAGATGAAAACTCACCTTGTTCCCCCAGAGACACCTCGATCAATCTTTGTCTATTTCCGTGGTTTATTCTATGATACCGCAAATGATCCTGAGGGTGGTTACTATGCAAGGTGAGCACCAAGAACATGCAATCACTCGATGCTTCCTCATAAGCATTGTTGATGAATTATTGTAACCCAAAAGTCTTGATGAACCTGCTTTATGCAATGCAGAGGTGCCCGTGCATCGGTGTGGGAGAACTTCAAGAACAATCCTCTTTTTGACATCTCCACAGACCACCCACCAACCTACTACGAGGACATGCAGCGTTCCATCTTCTGCTTGTGCCCTCTAGGCTGGGCTCCGTGGAGCCCCCGGTTGGTTGAAGCCGTTGTGTTCGGCTGCATTCCAGTGATCATTGCAGACGACATTGTCCTACCTTTTGCGGACGCGATCCCGTGGGATGAGATCGGTGTATTTGTGGCGGAGGACGACGTCCCAAAGCTGGACACCATCCTGACATCGATACCAATGGATGTGATCCTGCGGAAGCAGAGGCTGCTAGCGAACCCGTCGATGAAGCAGGCCATGCTGTTCCCGCAGCCCGCCCAGCCAGGTGACGCCTTCCACCAGATACTCAACGGGCTGGGACGGAAGCTTCCACACCCGAAGAGCGTGTACCTGGACCCGGGGCAGAAGGTGCTGAACTGGACCCAGGGCCCGGTGGGTGACCTGAAGCCATGGTAGGTCAGATGCACCCACCCACCATACATAGTTGCTGCTGTCCTCGCTTGTTTGTGCGCACAGCACATTCTTCAGAAGATCAGATGAGAGACTGATGATGATCAGTAAAAGAAAACCAAGCCAATCCGTTAAATGTAAAGCCTCCTTTCTTCCTTCCTCCTACTACCTTTGCTTCTTTTTGAGACGATGTGCCCTGCCTGCCCTGCGCCCTTGCCAGTGACATTCCCTTGGTTTTTATGTTGTTGTTGCTGTAGTAGTATTAGACAACTGGTACCTATAGGCGATGAAGGTGTTGTATCATATACTTAAGTGCTACCTCCGTTTTTTAATAGATGACGCCGTTGACTTTTTCTCACATGTTTGACCCTTCGTCTTATTCAAAAAATTTACGTAATTATAATTTATTTTGTTATGAGTTGTTTTATCATTCATAGTACTTTAAGTGTGATTTATATCTTATACATTTGCATAAAATTTTTGAATAAGACGAATGGTCAAACATGTAAGAAAAAGTCAACGGCGTCATCTAATAAAAAACGGAGAGAGTAGTACTAGTAAGTTGATGATTTATGACGGGCAAAAAATATGTAAGGTTATATCACAACATTCAGAGCCCCAATCCAGATGGATGGATGGATTCCCCTGCCTGTGTGCTGCACTGTTTGCAAGGCTGCAGAAGATTTGGTGCTTGTGTTGTTCCTGGGCTTGCACAGATGTTTCATGTATCCAAAGTCCTGGGTGAAGTGAAATGGATGAGATAAGGAAAAAAAGAAGTCCATTTTGATTCCATTGTGTTTGCACTACTCACCGCCTAGGTGGTTGAAATTGCTGACATGTGGGTACATTGTTTTTCTTTGTTTATCTTTGCTTACTGTAATTGCACTAGCCTTCACGAGATGAAGGCCATATCAGTGTACCGCATTAGGCCCCTAGATAAAACTGTTGTCTCAGACTCTAGAGAAGATAGAATGAACCGATGTTAACATATGCCGGTTTTATATCTGGTATCGCGGTTTAAGGATGCGAATTAGATTTGGCCAATACTTGAATAAGTCAACTTGAATTAGATTTGGCCAATACGGAGTACTTGAGTAAGTCAAAATTGACTCTTTTTTCATGGGATAATGTTTGTGACAGTGACACAAACTCACGCAAGCCGCTGGATTGAAGGGCGAAGATCGCCAGCCCATCTACTCTTCCGAAAGCAGCAGTCCCTCGTCGCAGTGATGGGCCGATGGCCGACCGACGGTATTGCACACAGTGTTAGAGCGCTGATCACAGTGTTAAAGCCCCTTATTTTTAAAAAAAACAATAATATAAGCAAGACATATTTTTATTTAATATAACTATATATATATATATAACTTTAATACGTGCTATTTCTTACAATATTTAGAATTTTATCAATTATTATGTAATCAAAAAGAGTAAATGCAGTACTCAAGCGATAAATGGACCTCATATTGGACTTGGAAAAAAAAAAGTCCTTTTGAGAAACTGTTAAAATGAAATCTTCAATTATATAATCATATTTAATCTTCTCCAAAGGCACCATCAAATGTTATTTCCACATTCATGTATTAGATCAAGAGGCGATATTTTTTATTGGCACAACTCCAGATTTTTTTTCTCCAAAAGTCCATGATCGCGAATTATGATTACATTGATAGCATTTGGATATATCATTTTCTTCATACTTTATAGAAAATATAAAATGTCAGATAACTATAATTTAACTTACTAATTTTAAATTTTAAAAATATGAAAACTGTACTAAACATGATATTAAGTGGTTTAGAATTTGATGTCTCCCAAGTCCCAATTGCCCATATTGATTTTTAGTAGTAATGAGGTTTGAAAATTATTACATCAAGCGGGGATAGCTCAGTTGGGAGAGCGTCAGACTGAAGATCTGAAGGTCGCGTGTTCGATCCACGCTCACCGCAAAATTATTTTTTATTTTTATTTTTATTTTTTCATCTTCAGCTTGAGTTCTTTTTTGCGCTTTACTGAGAGGCCTGACAGTGAGTGATTGTCTTGCTGTGCAACAGCTATACTAATCTGTTTCTTTCCTTCTTCAGCTTGAATTTTCGTGTGCATTAGTGACAGGCTGACAGTGAACGATTACCTTGCTCTGCAAACAGCTATACTAACGAACAAAGTTCCAATTTTGTTTCAATGCAATGCGTCACTCTGCTGTAATCACTAATCAGATACTCCAGGATCACAGCCAAAAAAACAACTAATTCCTCCATGTTTTTAATTGTTCCACTTCTACTGCTTAGTGATGTCACTGAAATTAAGGTGCCAACCTCCTGCGCGTTGGGTGGTCGTAATCTTGACAAAAACTACCGATGTTAGGAATCCAGTTCTAGGCCGATCAAGTGACGTGGGGCCTGTTCACTTTGATGTCATTTTTAATCTTACCAAATTTTGGTATAGTTGTAAAAAAAAATGGCTACATTTAGGGCACCCACAATAGTTATCTATAGGCTCTCTACAAGAGATCCATGTCAGCATATTTTCCTACTTGGAAGGTATTAAATAAAGAGAGAGAGCAAAGCTATCTACTAACTTAGAGATAGTCTATAGAGAAAAACGAGGCAATGCATGAGAGAGCTATAGATACCAATATAGACATACTATTAAGGTGGTTTACTATTAATCAAGTCTATTGCTGAGATGTACATGTTTTATAGATAGCACCTTACTTTACCATTGTGGGTGCTCTTAGTTTGCTGCCAAATTTTGGTAACTATATAAGAAATCCTGCCAAAATTTTGACAAGTTACTAAAATTTTGGCATTGACAAAATTTGGTAAGGTTTTTTTTTGACATCAAAGTGAACAGGCCCGTGGTGTCGCAACGCCACGCTTATATGTCCCCTATCTTTAATTAATCAAGCAATTAATTAATCGTTGGGAATACGTTCATGCCCACATACACGGCCGTTCCCGCATCGTTTTATAAAATGGCTATTAATAATATTTCCTTGGCTTTGGTTGCTCTTGGAGTAGTTTGTGTGTGTGTGTATATATTTGGGGAGGAGTAGATTGTGTATATGTATCAGTAGGATTGTCGTTTTTATGCTTGGTGTGCTGCTGCCATCAGGTTAAACTTGTGTAATAGGCTCTGGTTGTTTGGACCACGGATGATAAGCCATCAAAAAACAAACAAACTAAATATGTAATTGATAGGTATTTTTTTTACATTTATGTTATGTGCGGCTTAAAAGATAATACCGGAAAAGGGACTATAATGAAAAAAAAAGTTTCAAAATTGATTTTTGTAATTCAAAATTGAGCTATTATAAGTTAACAAGCATACTCCTACGATGAAAGGCATGGTTACCTCACCTCGATATTTATCTTTTATGTTTGGCTATAAACACTTCCACCATTCTTTTTTTTAAACATGGTGCCGACGCAGACACTCATATAATATGCGCACACTCGTTTCATATGAATATACACACCCAATCTTGCACCTCCGATGATTCAACCAATATATTTTGAGATTTAAGAAGTTATTATAGACGTTCCGATGTTGATATGTACATCGCCTAATTAGACAGTTGAGTTGAAACCAGTTGAGCTATATTTTTGAAAATCGAAATGATGTTTTTATTTTCATAGAGAGGCAAATGGTAAGCATGGTACAACGGTGTTGTTAAAGACGAAGCTGAGTGAGAAATGGAGAAGTAGGGTACTACCGTTGTGGTACAATAGCTGTCTATGAAAACGATATGTTGCCGGCTTCAAGCCTTTGAAGACAGAGAATGAAACTGTCCGTGCATCGCGTGCACAAGTAACACAACGAGGCTCTGTTGGTAAGATTAACCAGGGCTAATTTTAAGAGCTAATGTTTAGTCATAAATTAATATGCTAAACATTAGCCTAGGGTGGTATATTTGGATCCATGGGCTAATTCAAGGCTAAAAGTTGGAGAGAGTAGAAAGAGAGGAGAGAGAGCTGCTTTTTGATGATCCCCACACAAAATTAACCCTATTAGCATCCCTTGGAGGGGCTAATATTTTGAGGGGGGCTAATTCACATTAGCTCAAAATTAGCCCACCTGTTTGGATTCTTGAGGGCTAATTTAAAATTAAAATGTGAGAGCTAAACATTAGTCCATAGAACCAAACAGGGCCGCAGTAGTATAATGATAGTACAGCATATAATCACCGTATCAGTACCACACTAGTATTATACTGTAGAGTAGAGTAGGTGTTACCCATCACATGGATGGAGTTAATGACTCTCAACAGCTAGCCATTCCGAATTTATAATCAAGAAACTGTACTGTACTGTACCAGCGCGGTCGGAGTAAATTAATGGACACCGCATACATACAACTAGGGATCGAAAAAGATCGAGTGGATGCGAATAGATATTATTAAGGCCGTGTTCGCTCCAACGTGTTCCTAACCGGAGTAGTGTGCATGAAAAATTGAATGATCTATTACCACGTGATTAATTAAGTACTGACTATTTTTTTTAAAAAAATAAATCAATATGATTTTTAAAGCAACTTTTATATAGAAACTTTTAAAAAAACGCAATGTTTAGTAGTTTGAAAAGCATGCGCACGAGAAACGAGAGAGATGAGTTAGGAAACCTAGGATAAGAACACAGCCTTAATACTTCACCATATTCGTTTTTATATTTTTAACTGGATGTAAAAAAACTTATATCTCATACAAAAATAAATATAAATCATGTCAAATATAAATAATAATTGAACATAATCAAACACAAAAAAAACAAAAATTTTGTCGAAACATGAAAATCACCTAAACTTCAAATATAAACAAGTATGATCACACAAAATTTTGGGACGAAAGGAGTAGATTAAATGTCTAGAATTGGTACGGACTGTGGTATATTTCAAAACCTTTAATGGATATACGAATAGCATTATTCATCGGGTATTCATATTCGTATACAGGAAAAATATCCATATCCGAATCATCCACTCCGAATCGTATCTATTTTTAGAACGTGGCTACGCAGAAATCGTACGCTACATTGTCTTAACTAGAGACTCATGTCACATACATTTTCATCCCACCATTACACCGAACTGTTAGACTCTGAGAAAAGAACGAGATCTACACTGTGAAGGAAAAAAAAAACCCTCGTCGTTTTGCCCCCCTCCTCCTGTCTGCACAAAGCGATGGAGATCGAATGGTGGGGGCAATGCATGGAGGACAGATGTATGCAGGCGTCGCGGAGGCGAATGCGAGCGGCGCACGCAGAGAAGGGAGATGGGGGGAGGAGGATTCCTCGTCCCGGGTTCTGGGCCTTTTTGGCCTCCGTTTGCAGGCAGATTTGCAGGCTCTGCGCTGCAGCTGCTGTGCTGGGATCTGCAGCTGTAGCCATGCAAATGCAAATGCAATGCACACCGTCGCCATCAATGTCACATGATTGAATTGATTAATCTTTCTCTCTCTCCTTTTCTTTTCCCTTTGGCATTGTTTGGATCCCACCTAAAATTTTTTACATGTCACATCGAACATTTAAACACCTACATAGATACATAGAGTATTAAATATATGCTAAAAAATAACTAATTGTACAGATTGGGACTAATTTACGAGACGATTTTTTCAAGCATAATTGCTCAATAATTTAAAAATATGGTGCTACAGTAAATATTTGCTAATGATAGATTAATTAGGTTTAATAAATTCATTTCGCGGTTACTGACGGATTCTGTAATTAATTTTTTATTAGTGTCCAAACACCCTATATAATAGCTTATGTGACACGACAAAACTTTACAATCCTGAAGCTAAACACTCCTATGTGTTTTTTTAAACAAAAGTGCTTTATTTTTTAAAAATTAAAAAGAGCTTAGAGTAGGTTTGTATCCTAACCCGCTCCAACCACCCCGGCCAGGCGGAGGCACCACGTTTTTTGCAAACCCCTTTTTTCTTTTCTTTACAGCTCCTCCTCACATGGTATGGTAATCGGATTATCGGAATATAGCATTTAGCATGGCACGCACGCGACTTTGCAATGCGAGTCCTCCGGGAGCAGGTGACCACTTGCCTGCGTGATTGCGGGCGAGCCGAATTAATTATTAATCAAACCCAAACCCATCCCATCATGTCTCAGGGTTACATGTATGGCAATGGTAGATTTATTACCAAAATAAAATATCATCGAATAAAAATAATTTGTAGGTAAAATATTTATATATAAGAATTAATACTGAAAACATATATTGAAAATATCCTAAAATTAACTTAAAAAAATTAAGTTTTAAATTATAAAATTTGACAGCGAATGATTCTTAGTAGGACAAATGATGAGGCTACGAGTTCCAAAAAACAAACTAAAATTCAAAATTTTCACAAATTCTGTCCGGTTTTTCCATTGCTTCATACTCCATCTGTCAAAAATAATAATAATCAAACTCTAGAGTTTGACTTTTTTGTTTATAGAGGAGTACTTTCTTAGGCTGAGTTCGTTTGTGTGAGATAGGGTGAGAAAGCACCTCGTTTTCCGTGATCACGTTTCCTAAACTACTAAACGGTGTGTTTTTTGTAAAAATTTTCTATAGGAAAGTTGCTTTAAAAAAAATCATATTAATCCATTTTTAAAATTTAAAATAATTAATACTTAATTAATCATGTGCTAATGGCTAACCTCGTTTTGCGTATCTTCCCAATCTCTCCAATCTCCTTCTCCTCAAACACACCCTTAGTAACCTTACCGTTATGGCTGTGTTCGCTGCAACTCGTTAGGAACAAATCTCCTGCACACGTAAAACGGAGCAGTCCATTAGCACGTGATTAATTAAATATTAGCAGATTTTTTAAAATAGATTAATATGATTTTCTAATAAACTTTCGTATAGATTTTTATAAAAGTAATTGTATAATTTAGCAGTTTGAAAAATGTGCGCGTGAAAAATAAGAGAGATTGAGTTGAAAAAGTTGGAAAATAACTCAGCCGTAATCATGGGCTTACCGCGGGAGTACGACAACTCCTCCTTCCCCTTGTATCCATCCAATCGAACGCAAACGAAATTCGCATTCGCAAACCGGCAACAGCAACCGGACCGAGTCGGTCCATCGGTCGGTCGGTCGCGTCGCTCGGGCTTGGCTTGTTTGCGTAATACGCCCACCTGCCTCGTCCCTCTACTTTTTCTACTCTTCCCCTTGCTTCGCTTCGCTCATCAGCTTGACCGCCTCACCTCACCACCCCAAGCTAGACGACCTCGTCTTCCTCCTCCACCTCCTCGCGACCTCGCATTGTTAGATCAGCCTCGATTCATCTCCAATCTTTCGGCGCCGCTCCCGGAGAGAGGGACAGCGGCGCAGGCGGTGAGCACGAGGAGGAGCAGAGCTAATCAAAAGCCCTCTCGCCGCTCGAGCTCTCGTGCACCGTGCCGCCGCCGCCGACGCCGACGCTGACGCCGACGGCTTAATTCAGTCTTGTCGGCTACATCTCTTGGCGTGCTGAAATTGGTGGGAGCACGAGAGCGGCGCCAATGGGGACGAGGCCGTGCGCCGGCGTGGCGTCGGCGGTGGCGGCGGCGGTGGCCGTTCTGCTGCTCGCCGTGTCTTGCTTCGCCGCGGCGGCGACGACGACGCAGAAGCATGGCAGGATGTCAGGTACGCTCCGCCTCACCAGCAACCTACCTACCTTAGCTAGATAAATAGATAGATAAGCAACTACTGACCTACCTGCTGCCAATTCCTCGTCTCCTCCGCTTGGATTCTTGATTCCATGGGATGGGTCACCGTCGATGGCGTCTCAAATTGACACCCCTCGAGATTCAGATTTACCGGCTTGCGTCACCGCCGATGAATTCGCAAAATGTCACTCTCTATTGCTCATCCTGCATTCGCGAAGCATGCTTGCAATTCATCCAATCCATTCATACGCTCTCATAAAATTCTCCTCTGCTTCACAATTCACACATCCGATTCTTTCGGTTCCATTCCACCACTACAAAATCAGCTTCAGTTCTTGCTTTCTTGGATCAATATGCAGTTATACAAATTATCCTGCAATAACAATCCAGTAGCTAGCTAGCTAGCTTCCCTGTGAACCAACCATCAAACCAGGCTGTGATGAGTGATCCAACCATGTGGCCAGCACAGGCCACCAACTTTTATCAAGAACCTGTACTACATGCTGCAGCAGCAGTAACTGTAACTGTAATAACAGCAATGCCACCCAGTAACCACCAACCTGCCTGCCTGCCTGCCTGTAACTGCTTGCAGCTGCAGTGAGCTCACCAGAATTGGTTGGTAGGTGAAGCCTTTAGGACAGCTTCTTGGTGACATGATCACACTACTACATTGCATCGCATTTGCATCAATGGCTGCTTCTAGTTAGGTCACCACCACCATGCTTGATGGCTCAGATCTCTCCTTCTTCTTCGTCCCCAAAGTTTTCCCCTTTCTGTACCATCTCCTTTGTGATCACGCATCCATAGTGCGGCTGCCTCAGGAATCGAGGCAAAGGCTGCCATTATTGCCGTCTCTTGTGAGCAGCGCCTGTGCCTAACTTGCACAACTTGTTCTTCTTTAATCTGCAAATTAGAGCCTGCGAGATCTGGAAATTTGTTAGTATAAAAAGTGAAAAAAGTGTGCTCGATTGAGCAGTGGTCGCCCACTTACTGGCCTGTGAATGATTCTGTTTCTTCTTCTTCGTCCTTTTTTTTTCTTGAACTGGACATGCTAACAACCAACCTGGTTGGTGATTAACAATAGATAAACATAAAACTCCATGAAAGTAGACAGGAGTTGATAGGGATTGATTTTTAGTAGTATAGCACAAGATCCTATGGTTGGTGAACTACTGACTGCAACTAATTCGGTCACTTCCACCAACTAATATGCTCACTAATACTAGTGATTAGTTATATTGTACTGTTATGAACTGAAGTTGGTGCAGACGTGCAGTTGTTCTGAAACTGATAATCTATACCCCAACCTGAACATCTGGCAGCACATTTTGCTGTTGTGAACTCAAAAGGCAGTTCTGAAACTGAACATGTATAATCCACAACAATTAATTTGGGCTCATTTTACTGTTCTTTACTGAAACTAATCATGTAAACCACCATCCTGAACATATTGCACATTCCTGCTGCTTTGAACTGAAAAGATGGTGCTCTGATCTAAGAAGGCATTGCTGAAACTGACCCTGCAAAACACACAAACATTTAATTTTACTCTCTTTCTTTTTCTGGAACTCTTCAGGTTTGCTGTTTATGAACTGAAAAACTGACGCTGAAACTGATCATGTGGATCTCTAGCTACAATGTAGTTGTAGGGTAATTATATTACAATTATACTATGGTTATACTGTAAGGTTTTTTCACCTTAAAAAACTTGCAACAGTTTTTTAGCAATTCCCAAACCCCCAACCTGAGCATCTGGCACATTTTTATGCTCTGATCCCAAAAGGCAGCCTGAAACTGATACTGCAAAAACGACATGTTACTACTCGTTTGCTGAACATTGTCCGCATTTCGGCATGTACTTCCTCCCTCCGTCCCAAAGTATAAGAATTAGAGAGGCCTATTCAGATTCGTAGCACTAGGAAATGTCCGATCCGATCCGTTTCAAGGTTTACCATGGCAAATCAATACCACGAACAACTAACAAGCAGTGAAAATTAACTGATGGATGTGGATGTGGATTGTGCAGGGAAGGGCGGCGACGTGCTGGAGGACGACCCGACGGGGAAGCTGAAGGTGTTCGTGTACGAGATGCCACGCAAGTACAACCTGAACCTGCTGGCCAAGGACAGCCGGTGCCTGCAGCACATGTTCGCGGCGGAGATCTTCATGCACCAGTTCCTCCTCTCCAGCCCCGTGCGCACCCTCGACCCGGAGGAGGCCGACTGGTTCTACACACCCGCCTACACCACCTGCGACCTCACCCCGCAGGGCTTCCCGCTCCCCTTCCGCGCCCCGCGCATCATGCGCAGCGCCGTCCGCTACGTCGCCGCCACGTGGCCCTACTGGAACCGCACCGACGGCGCCGACCACTTCTTCCTCGCGCCGCACGACTTCGGCGCCTGCTTCCACTACCAGGAGGAGCGCGCCATCGAGCGCGGCATCCTCCCGGTGCTCCGGCGCGCCACGCTGGTGCAGACGTTCGGCCAGCGCCACCACCCCTGCCTCCAGCCGGGGTCGATCACCGTGCCGCCGTACGCCGATCCCCGCAAGATGGAGGCGCACCGCATCAGCCCCGCGACGCCGCGCTCGATCTTCGTGTATTTTCGGGGGCTTTTCTACGACATGGGGAATGATCCCGAGGGCGGGTACTACGCCCGCGGCGCGAGGGCGTCGGTGTGGGAGAACTTCAAGGACAACCCGCTGTTCGACATCTCGACGGAGCACCCGGCGACGTACTACGAGGACATGCAGCGGGCCATCTTCTGCCTGTGCCCGCTGGGGTGGGCGCCGTGGAGCCCCCGGCTGGTGGAGGCGGTGGTGTTCGGGTGCATCCCGGTGATCATCGCCGACGACATCGTGCTCCCCTTCGCGGACGCCATCCCGTGGGGGGAGATCAGCGTGTTCGTGGCGGAGGAGGACGTGCCGAGGCTGGACACCATCCTGGCGTCCGTCCCGCTCGACGAGGTCATCCGGAAGCAGCGGCTGCTGGCGTCCCCGGCGATGAAGCAGGCCGTGCTGTTCCACCAGCCGGCGAGGCCCGGCGACGCGTTCCACCAGATACTCAACGGGCTCGCGCGCAAGCTGCCGCACCCCAAGGGCGTCTTCCTCGAGCCCGGCGAGAAGGGCATCGACTGGGACCAGGGCCTCGAGAACGACCTCAAGCCATGGTAGCCGCCATGGATGATGAGCTATATACACACAGATTATAGAGACGAGACATGGATTGGATCGCGAGAGATGTACATTGATTGGTTCGTTTCTTCTGATTAAGCCGCTGTTAATTTCTTCTTCTTTCTTTCTTTTTTCTAGTTTTTTTTCCTTGTTGTTTTTTCTTTCAAGGAGGCGATCCGTGTTCATGTATTGTGCAATTGTGCGTGCTTAATTAATCGTTGCAATGTGCACGATTTCTTCTATAGTGAAATTAGCCTTTTCCCTTTTTGTCTTTCCGGGCTACTGATCATCTGCTACAATGATACGGTGTCTCCGGCATGCAGTTACTATCCATTTTCAAGCTGTGATCACTCGTCTAAAAAACTACAAATTCTTAAAAAAGGAGATAAAACTACACATTCTTTTTATTAAAGAGAAAACACTACAAATTCTTAATAAAATTACTATAGTAGAAGTACATTATAAACACAACCACAAAACTTAGTTTCACTCGTTGTAGATTTAACTATAGCATAGTGCAGTCTCTAACGAAAGAGAAGCCCAAACTCTAGACATCCGGACGCGGCGCCGTTCTTTCATACACCAAAAGAGGGGAGGCTAGAGTTTTTTAAACTGTTTGGGTAAGGTTATTGTTGTCCCAATTTTTTCTTGGTAACCGCGTGATTACTATAAAAATCACACGGTTATTGTAAGGTATACTATGGTTTCCAGCCATAAAATCGAAGCAAAGCCATCACAAGGTTGTGTTGGTCTTTGGCTCTCGCAGCCGCCGTCGCCGTAGAGGCTTGGGTGAGTGCAGCCGTGCAGAGGGTGGGGGGCATCTGGCCCTTGGGATGGGTCAAGTTTCACACTGTTTGATAGCTACCCAGCCGTCCGCCCGTCCGATCAGGAAACGAACGGTCGCGATTCAGCGTTGCCCCTCGCCGTATCACAAATTGATGCGTCACGTTTTGCACTGCAAGAACAGAGGTCGTAGCCGCCTCTGTTCTGTTCATATTTTTTTTTCTTTTTGGATTGTTCTTGTGTTCATAGATGTGAGAAGCAGCAGCAAATGGCAACCTCTGGTTGGACTTTTCCTCGGCCCAAGGGGCGCCTCTCTGACAAGCGTGATGCACGGCCTTGTGCGTGAATACGAGGAAACCCAAGGACCTGGCTGCATTTCTTGCGGCGCTTTTCTTCCTTTTAGTTTCTGTTACAGGATCGAAGATATTTTTGCAGGTATGAACAGATTACAAATGTGATAATGTGATAGATTAGATAATGCTGCCAACAACCACCATCAGCAAGTCGCAGACCAACCCACCACCGTGATATTTCTCTACAACTTCGTTTTATTTGTTTTCATTCTAAACAGAAGCCCCCCCCTTTTTTTTTGCTTGAAAAACTGGAAAATAATGTTACTTTTTTTTTAAAGATCCAGGCCTGTATCTAGACAGAAAGTCTCGATCATCCATGGCAGATTTAGTAGAGCCATTTCTCCATGTATATATCAGATGTCACTGTGTGGAGAGCTACAGTAACTCCACGTCTACGGATGGGTGGCCTATCAACTGAAGTCATTTTCAAGGAGAAAGATGGCGGCTATCTTACTGCTTTATGCCTTTATATTCGTTTGTTTGTGTTTCACATAACAATATAGCATTTGAAATTTGAAGTCAATTGTATAACCTTATCAATTTTAAATGAAGATTTACAAACATAATTGAGTAAATTGTATTTTCCTTTTGTGTTAGAGGGTTTTTTTTGGATTTATTGCTTTGTCACGTCTGGATCGTTTAGCACCTTTATGTTGAGCTAATTGGTTGTACCTTCTTTTAAAAACAAAAACCGTATGTTATTCACATTAACATTAAAAAACGGTCCAACATCATGTATGAGCTATGTGAAAATTCAGAAAAGATGCTACCGAGATAGATAAAAGGCCAATTTAGTTTTTCAAAAATACGAAAAGGAGCCAATTTACTTTTCAAAAATACAAAAAGGAAACATTCAAATGATAGAGAAGAACTTAAACACTACTTCTACCAAAGAATCACTCGGATCTTCACGAACACATTCACATCTTCCGCTAAGTTGGCAGCACCGTTTGACACAAAAATATACTCCATCTGTCCCTAAATATTTGACGCTGTTGATTTTTTTAAAATATATTTAGCCATTCATCTTATTCAAAAACTTATGTGAACTATATAAAACTATATGTATACATAAAACTATATTTAACAACGGATCAAATGATAGGAAAATAATTAATAATTATTTAAATATTTTAAATAAGACAATCGATCAAACATATTTAGAAAAATCAACAAAGTCAACTATTTCAGGACCGATTGAGTACCACCAACAGGAAATGGAAAAAAAACACGAATAAATAAAAAGCATATAAAATTCGTGAAGAGAATTATGGAGAATACGAAGAAACCAAGGGGCCTGTACGCAAGAGCACAAAAATACAGATCAAGACAAACCACTCTTGATTCCTCTGTCTATTTAACGATTTGGACGAGGAAGCAGCAATAGCAGCTCAAAACCCCGCAACAACCCAACCCTCGTGACCAACCCATCTCCCCACCAACCCCGGCCGCCGCCATGACCGGCGCCGTCTCCAAGCTCGCCGCCCCGAGGCCGGCGGCCGCCGCGCCGCTCCCGCCGGCGTCCGTCCGCTCCGCGTTCCTCGCCTCCGCCCCCTCCCCGCGCCGCTTCTCCGTCTCCATCGCCGCCGGCCGCGCCAGGAGCCCCATCATGTGAGTCACCCGCGAATCCGCGATCGCCCTCCTCCCTTTTTTGCTTCCCTTTTGCCCTAGTTCCATCGTGATTGCTTTGCTATTCGAGTGCTCGATTGCTCGACTCGGCGAGGTTTGGTTGCGGTAGAGCTCCGCTAATCTGTGCTATGGGAGCGAGGAGGATTGGATTGGTTGGATCGCGTGCCTGCTCTGCCGCGTAGATGCGTAGCCAGCCGCCGGATCCGCGGTCAAAACGACGCCGTCTGTGCAGGGGGCATGGACGCGTGTGCGGCTGTCCGACTGATTAGTGGGTCGTCGGGATCGTGCGTTTTCCCGAACCATCTCGCTAGCTCGAGCAGATAGGGATGGCATGCGTCGCCGTGCGGGATCCGTCGCTGGATGATGGCGAAGCGCTCCTATAATGATTATCTGGGTTTTAGCGGGAAGGTTAGGCAGGAGGTTGCGACTTAGCAACGGCTAACTGGGAAAGCAAAAGGGGGCAACCTTTTCAGTTTGGCGTCTGAGGAATTCGGCTGCGTGCGTGCCACCCTACTCTGCAATCAGCGTGAAAAATAAAATTACTCGTTTTCCCTTTCGTTTCAGGGGTAACATGGGATTCATATAAGGATCCATAGTGTTCACTTGCTTACTTGCGTGTGCATCTTCGAATTCTGTGGAATTGTGCAGAGTTTTTAGTTGTAACTCACATGTCTCGTTTCTCATACTCATGAATTCGACAATTTTCAGTGCGATGGCTTCTGCCAAGGAAGGAAATGGTGCCCCAACGAAGAGGACAACCCTTCATGATCTCTATGATCTCCAGGGTCAGTCCCCGTGGTACGACAACCTCTGCCGTCCTGTCACCGATTTGCTGCCCCTTATTGGCAGCGGCGTCCGTGGAGTCACCAGCAACCCATCAGTACGCTACACTACTTATTTCTTTTGCTCTCTTGCACCTTGTTCTGAATCTGCAATCCTCATTGCTGACTGTGTCCCTATGGCAATGCAGATTTTCCAGAAAGCCATCTCGACTTCCAATGCATACGATGACCAGTTCAAGCAGCTTATATTAGCTGGAAAGGACGCAGAGAGCGCTTATTGGGAACTTGTCATCAAGGATATCCAAGATGCGTGCAAACTTTTTGAGCCTATCTACGACCAGACCGATGGGGCAGATGGGTATGTTTCTGTGGAGGTCTCCCCTAGGCTGGCAAATGATACCCAGGGAACTGTTGAAGCTGCAAAATGGTTGCACAAAGTGGTCGACAGGCCCAATGTCTACATAAAGATCCCTGCTACCGCAGAATGTGTTCCTTCTATCAAGGAAGTTATTGCTAATGGCATTAGTGTCAACGTCACAGTAAGTCCTGATTCCTAGTATTTCCATTGTTTTTTTTCCACCTTAGTCATTATCAGCTGTGCTGTGTTTATTTGACTGCTCAAGACATACAACCGCTGAGCTTGCCATAACCCTTGATGCTAAGCTTGTTGATAACAAATTCATTGCTTGTCGCTGCAGCTTATCTTCTCGATTGCAAGATACGAGGCTGTGATTGATGCTTACATTGATGGACTTGAGGCCTCTGGTTTGAGTGACCTATCCCGAGTGACCAGTGTAGCGTCCTTCTTTGTCAGCCGAGTTGACACACTTATTGACAAAATGCTCGAGAAGATCGGAACACCTGAGGCACTTGCCCTCAGAGGAAAGGTACGCACAATCAAAATTACATGCCTCCTAAGTCCTAGCATTAGGAATTTCCAAACTAGCAGTTCTAATCTGCATTTTGGTCACTCTGTATTACAGGCTGCTGTAGCACAGGCAAAGCTAGCCAACCAGCTTTACCAGAAGAAATTCTCTGGCCCGAGGTGGGAGGCTTTGGTCAAGAAAGGTGCCAAGAAGCAGAGGTTGTTGTGGGCATCTACCAGTGTGAAGAACCCTGCATACCCAGACACTCTTTACGTGGATCCTCTCATCGGACCTGACACCGTGAGTTTCCACAGCAAATTTACTTCATCTTATCATCTAGATTGTTGGAATAGCTGAATAGAGCTCGACATTCCATCATACACATGGGCATAATTTCGAAGCAAATGCTAACTGTGCGCTTTCAGGTTTCTACCATGCCCGACCAAGCTCTGCTGGCATTCATCGACCACGGCACAGTTTCGAGGACAATCGACGCAAACGTTTCGGATGCTGAAGGTGTATACAGTGCCCTGGAGAAGCTGGGTATAGATTGGGATGAGGTTGGCAAGCAGCTAGAGCTGGAAGGTGTGGACTCCTTCAAGAAGGCCTTCGACAGCCTGCTTGGGAGCTTGGAGGAGAAGGGCAATTCCCTCAAGAAGACCGTGAGCCTGTAGGTGCAAAGATAGCTGAAATGTTTTGAACGCTGGCAATGGCAAGTGAACGATTACTAAATAAATGCTCTACCTTGCTGGCTCTCTCCCTCTCTCAAACTCTCTTGTGATGTGCTGCTCTCGAATTTCTGGGTCAGCTTTTGTATTCTAGGCGCTCTTGGCTGCTATTTGTGTAACTGAGGTTGCGAACTGCTATGCATTTTCTGATAAATTGTTGGGCAAGTTGATTTCATGTGTACATCTAGACTGTAATTTTTTTTCTGGTCAACATTGCGAGACTGAATTAATGATGCATCTCGGAGAGGTTAAAATGACATGTAAAATACTGTAATAAAGCATATATAGCTAGTTACGTTTCATTTAACACTGACCCCACATACTCAGAGGTCCATGCTCGACCAAGCTAGCCATTTGTTTTAGGAAGAAAACGAATCTCCCCTGTATTATTTGGAGGATGGTCATATGCTATGAGCTATGCTATTCAGCTGCAGTTCGCTGAAATGGCTACAGGCCATACCCACGAGCTATCGGAGCAAAAACTTTGTTAACGGAATATCTACTTCACTTTTGAAAATGCATTCAAAAATATATTCATATATCAAATTCTAGCGCATTTTCTTTTTTGTAGGCCATGATTTCAGTACACATAAGAATTTGATCTCAAAAAAGAGATCTATCTGGACAACTAGTATTATTTACAGACTCTCCAGCATATCACACTGTAGATCTTTTGCCTTCCACTGATACAACCAGCGAGAAATCTCTCATGGGGTTTCACAAAACTCCATTTCCTGAAATGGCATAACATTGAAGGGAAATTTGTCAAGCGTAGAAAAAACATTTCCTAGGAACTGGTAACCGGTGCGCAGATGAAAAGGTCTTCTTAAACTAAGAATACTGGAAGTTTGTAATATCATACCTTCCCACAAATCGGACAAGTATCACTTCTTTCCATCCATTCGTAGATACAACTAAGATGATAATGATGGGAGCATTTAGCTATAATCTTCGGATTGTCTGGAGTGTATTCTGCATGATGAATGCAATGCAAATGGAGCAGTATGAGAAATTTTCATACACCAAAGGCATTTGCTCTGTGTGTGTAGACTAAATTACATAGCACTCTAACCTTCTAGACAAGTAGGGCAGACATCTTCATCTTCTGAAGTGACAACTGCAAAACTGCTGTTATACGATTTTGCGGATAAACTCTTGGTGGATTCAGAGCGATGGACTTTATATTCACCCTCAGGTTCAGTGCTGCTCCATTTCTTCTGAGCAGCTAAATGTTCAATGCCAGAGCTGCTGCCATTTCGCCTAAGAGCCAGTGACTCTTCTTGTGTTAGATTTATAGACTTTTCACGCCTAGATACCAAACCCTCTCTTTGAACACGGGCATATCTAGGATCAGTATCATACGGTGGAGGTCTGGACACAAGGTGATAAGTTTCGGATAATGAATTGTCAGTTATATTGGTACTTGGATTAGTGGATGCCAATGGAGCAGCCCCTTGAGCTGGGTTGCTAGGTCTAGATTCGAGCCTCTGGAATGTGGCAGTATACTGCATAGATAAAAGAAAATGGAAGTAATATTGTTAGAACAAAATATCCAGTGATCAAAATGAATATATCACAATCTGATTGTTCGATGGAAAATAGCAATTAGCCACACTATGTTTCATATTGCATCTATGATTTCTCTCTACTACAATTTTGAATATGCCCAAAGAATGTCCATAGACCATAAATCACAAGTCAATCTAACATATATATGCGATCAAATGCAATCAAAACTTATGCAAGGTAGAGAAAAAGCTCAAAAGCTTATGGTCTCTCAAAAGAATTTTTTTGCTTCTTTAGATCACTGCCGATGCAATTATTTTCAACCAGAAGATATTGGCGGTGACATCTTATACTAAAAACTCCTAACCATAAGCTAGCAAGGTGGCACTTTCCCTAACACGTCATGTAACCAAAAGTGATGAATCTACTAGGTGTGGCACTTCAATCAACTGGTTGGGAAGATAATGCAAAATGCTGGAAACAACATAGGATAACTTTACCCCGCCAAAAAAGTTGTGGAAAAAATTCCTTAGGCATACACCTTGCCTATAGATAGGGTTATTTGGATGAGCGTACTCCTCGAAATCGTCAGTGCAGAGGCAACAGCAAAATCCTCCCATGGTTCACTGCAAATAGCAGAGATTAGCATCAGCATGATCCAACATGCTAAAAGGTAACAAAGAGAGACATATACATTAGTATAAAACCATGTGTCGCATTGTTTCCATGGGCAAAAGGGTGTTCCATAATTCTGAAACAGCAAAACTGCATAATACGCTCCGCTACACTAATGTATTATAAGAAGGACTAATGAAAACAGGAGTAGAAAATCATAACATGTGCTTGCAGAGCAGTCCTCTACTTGCCATTTGCACGTCTGCAGTTGCCAAGAAAGATAACTAGTAGCATGTGTTCAGTTGTTCATCGATGTATCATACTACCATTGGACGTTTGTTCATGAATGAAAGAAAAATATATAGGGGTGCCAATTGATGCGCGCATAAGCCTATTCCTCGGTTGATTTCAGCTGCTAAGGTTAGAATCTAAACCATCGTTGGTAGATCATGAGTGTGAACGGCCGACAAAGGAAAAAAACATTGCATAATACTCTTGTTAGTTGAAGTGATTAACTCTGGATTTGGAATTTTTCATCCTGTAATAGGGTCGTGCGCAATTCCTATCTATCTCTACCTGAAGGTCAATTCTAGGATGGGCATGAGTCGCGCTACTTCCCTCCTTCCTCCTCATCCTCCCACATTTCCCACCCGCACCATTCCGATTTCCAGATGAGCATTTCAGCAGCATCAGCACACACACGGGCAAGTAAGCAAAACACCATGGGACGAGGAGCACGAGACCATGGAGAGACTAGCCGATCCACATCTCGCGCTCTCTCGCGGCACAGGCACACAGGCCAGCAGGCAAAAGCCGGACGGAGAACCGCAGCTACAGCCTCAAATCGCATTCCGCAGCAGCACCAACAACATCCGCGAGCGATCCTTTGGTCGATCAGGTCAGGAACCCGCAGCGGGAAGGGTGGGGTGGGTTCGTGGAGCTCCACTCACCTGGCTCTCATCCGCCGGCCTGGGCGACGGCGAGCTCGACGTTGCTGGTGGCCACCGCGGCGGCGGCGGCGCCGCGCGGCGAGGGGGAGGGAGCGGCGGAATCTGGGGGAGGAGGAGTGAGTTGGGCTGGTGCTGGTGCGTGTGTGGGTGTGGACTTGTCGCGTCGCGTCGGCCTCTCCCTCCCGGGCTCGGTGGCGTCGTGGGGTGGGGTGTCACTCGCTGTGCGCTGCGGCTTGCAGGGGTGGGATACTGGGATGGTAGTATTTGTTTTTGTTTTGTTTTTTTGAATCTCTGGAAACTTCGCCCCACGCCGACACTCTCCCGTAGCCCACATTTGACCTGCGAGGTCGAAAATCATGTGCTGCTACCACTAGTACTCCCACGATGCTCATCGGTTGTTCATATCTTTTTAATAAGTTAAAATAGTTTAATAGAAAATAAAAATTAATTTATATGTAAAATTTTTATATATTTTTTTCGTAATGACTTGAAAATCAACACTAAAAAGAAATTAAGTTGAAAATATTTTGAAATCAACTCAAAAATTTAAAGTTTGCCTTTTTTCTTTGGCTTATTAGACCAATCTATGAGGCTCTGGTTTCTCTCCAATATTTTCTAAAAACAAACGCAGTGCAAGCGTAGATATCTATCTATCTATTATATACTAAAGGAAAAAGTACGAATTACACCCCCGAACTATCGCGGTCGTCTGAATTACCCTCCTGAACCACAAAACCGGACAGTCTTCACCCCTAACTATGCAAACCGGACGAATTACCTCCCTCGACCCAATCCACGGTGGTTTTGGTCTACGTGGCGTACACGTGGCAGTCCAGTCAGCATTTTTTAATTAAAAATTTGTGGGACCCGTATGTCATACACTTCTTACTCTCTCTCTCTCACTCTTTTCTCTCTCGCGCGGCGCGCATGGCGAGGACGAGCGCGGGGACGGGCGGTCGGCGACAACGGCTCGCAGCGGCGGCGGCGCGGAGGTGAGGCGAGCGCGGTGGCGGAGGAGGCGAGGCGGCGGCGGCGCGCTCTTCCTCCCGCCCTTGGGCCCGGTCGGCGAGGTGAGGCGAGCGCGGCGGCGCGAACGGCGTGGAGGCGGAGGCACGGACGGCGTGCGGAGGCGAAGGCGCGGAGACGGAGGCGCGGAGCTGCGTGGCGGCGGAGGAGCGGAGGCGGCGGAGGAGCGTGGCGACGGAGCATGGGGGGCGGAGCCAGTTGTGGGTGGCGGAGGGGGCCCGAGGACGACGGCGGCCGGGCAGAGCTCTGACTCCGCCGCCGACCTGACCCGTGCGTCCCCGTGAGCCCACGACGAGGAGGAGGAGCCCGCCGCCCACCGCGCGTCCCCGCACGCCCGGTCGGCCTCCGCCTCCGTTGTCGGCCGCCGCCGTCCTCGGGGCCCCTCCGCCACCCACAACTGACTCTGCCGCCACGCTCCTCCGCCGCCACGCAGCTCCGCGCCTCCGTCTCCGCGCCTTCGCCTCCGCGCCGTCCGCGCCTCCGCTTCCGTGCTCTGCTTCTCCGCCGCCGCCTTGCCTCCTCCGCCGCCGCCTCGCCTCCTCCGCCGCCGCGCTCGCCCTAGAGCTCCTCGCCGTCGCTGCTCATGTCGTCCTGCGCGGCGTGGTGGTGGTCCTCCTGCTCGGCGTGGTGGGGCTTGTCGACATGCTCGGCGTGGTGGTACTCCTCGACCTGCTCGCCGCCGCCGCGCTCGTCTCACCTCCGCGCCGCCGCCGCCGCGCTCGCCTCACCTCCGCACCGCCGCCGCCGCGAGCCACTGTCGCCGACCGTCCGTCCTAGCGCTCGTCCTCGCTGTGCGCGCCGCGTGAGAGAGAGAATAGAGAGAGAGTAAGAAGTGTATGACATGTGGGTCCCACAATTTTTTAATTAAAAAAACGCTGACCGGACTACCACGTGTACGCCACGTAGACCAAAATCACCGTGGATTGGGTCGAGGGGGGTAATTCGTCCAGTTTGCATAGTTGGGGGTGAAGAATGTCCCATTTTGTGGTTCAGGGGGGTAATTCAGACAACCGCGATAGTTCGGGGGTGTAATTCGTACTTTTTCCTATACTAAAAGTCCATCAAACTTCCTCTAAACGCTCTCAAGTCGCCACATGGCGCTCTAATAAATTAGAGAAAATCATAGAAATTCTGAGAAAAAAATAAAACATCTAGCCCTCAATTTTCACTTAAATTTGCGGACTCTTAATTTCAGACCATCAGATCAGATCTATGGAAAAAACTGAATATACAAACGTAACAGGAGATCAGATCGGATCTACGTACTGATCTATTTCAGACTAGCAGAAAAGTACGTACGTAGTCCTTGTAAAAAAAAAAGACCGAATATACAAACAAACATAATGTACTACCAGAAAAAATAAAGCCAAAAAACATAGAAGATATAGATTACATATATCTTTAAAAATATATTCATCCGCTTCCCCACCATCCCTCTTTTTCTTTCGGTAAGGTGAGATAATAATAATTATTATTAGTGATAATAAAATTCAAATAATTATAACTTTTACAAAGATTATATATTATTATAATTTTCACCGCCGCGGGTGTCCATGCCTCTGATCTTGCCGTCATGGGAATCCACGCCTCCGACCTCGCCGCTAGGGGAGTCCATGCCTTCGACCTCTATTGCGACTTGCTCCGGCAGCCTATTGCTGCGGCCAGTGGTGTAGGTGGAGGTTTCTTGGAGTAGGGAGGAGGCTGAGAAGTGGTGGAGAGTGATGGAAAAAAAAGAGGAGGAGAGGATGGAGGAAGAAGATGAATCTGACGGTGGGTCCCACGTGCAAATGGGGAAGATGATGGAAAACTTGACGGCGATTACATGGTCCCAATTTTGAAAATTTTGAGTGGCACGGCTATGAATAGACGAATTGTAATGGCATTTATCTGAATAGACATGTTTGCGATGACACATATCAAATTAGCCCTTAAATTAATAATGAAAGATATTTCTTTTCTTAAATAGGTGGACCATCATATACTATTATTTTCAAATAATGCATTGTTTAAAAAGAAAAGTTTACAATATTTTATATTTTGTATCCATTAAATAAACAATTTACGATCTATATTGACTAATTTGTACTGATTCAGTGAACCCACCATTTTAGAATATTTTTAATGAAAATATTTTACCATCAATTTTCATTTAAATAGACACCGCCAGATCTATCTTTTTTTTAAAAAAAAATAAATAAAGCCTCTGAATACCTCTCTCGGTCCAAGCACGCGCCATTGTCTTCTACATGCATGGCGAAGTGTGGTACCTGAGGTAGCTAAGGTGGTCTACCAAGGTGATCACGACTGCCACAGCAACCGCTTTGCTAAGGTAAAGACATACCAAATCATCATTGAATATGATCGGGTTTGTTAATAACATGAAAACAATTTGAAGGAGTCAGTAAAGTATACTAACATGCAATGAGTAGATAGAGAATATAAACAAATAGCTTACAAACATATATGAGTGATTGCATGATGTATCATATCGTGCAAAGAGTTTTAACAGTGACAAAGACATCAAGGAAAAAGGTGAATATGTGTTAATTTCAATTGCAAAAAAACAAATTAGGCGAACTTATTTTTTTAATTAAGTAGTCATTACCCTTTTTACTAAGTTTCATTAGTACTGATGATGTAAATCATATTTAACTTATTGATTATAATCAAATTACATGTAAAAATATAATTTACTGCAAAACACTTCAAAATTTATAAATGCATTATACATACTAATTACATTTGTATAATTCAGGTCCTATTTAAAACAAATAAGTTCCTTCAAACCCCGAAGAAAAATATAAATTGTTAAACTTCTACAGAGGAAAAAAGTATCCAACCTTTGTGAGGCAATTCAATCACAAGAACTTTGAGTTCCTTATTCTAAAAAAATTCACTTATCGCCATATTGTGTAGTATGTATTGGTATGCATGATAATTAACTAGATATTTTACTATTCACTCAATGCAAAAGTCGATTGACAAGTTACATGACCTTAATCCATCTTCGATTCAAAAGTTTATAAATGGTTTTTAGATATGTTTGACCTTTAGTTTTCAGTTAGTTTAGGTGTCTTAATTTCTAAACAAACTATATATAATCTTATATTCCAACAATACGGATGCCCGCGCATATGCGTGGGTCACCTTCCTAGTTTTATATAAACGAGCGTATAATTACCTCAATAAATGCACATATGCATATTTTTCTATATAAGTATTTCTAAAATCTTGATCAGCATATTTAAAATTTATGAAATCATCACATGTAAATTGTTGTAATGGTACGATGCTTATCAAGGAAAGAATAACTATGTTTGGTTTGTCATCAAAGTCAACATTACAATTCAAAACTTAATGGTTTTTTATTGGGATAAAAAATCGTGAAATTTATAGTGACGTTGGTGGAGGCTACAATTATTTTACAGTCATCTTAACAGATACGTCGACGACATAGACATTGCTCTGTGTCGGCGTGTGATGGATTCGGTAAGACGTCATAATTTAATTTCGATTTTGCTATATCTCACTTGAAAGTTTTTTTCTTATCTCTCACTCGATTTTCTCACTCAAATTTACAGTGCATTTTCTTGTAAGTTACAGTGTAATTTATGAAACTTACACTGTAACTTTTGTAAGTTACACTGTAATTTTTGAATCTTCGCATGTAAATTTTAAATTTTGTATTGGATTTGGTCTTTGTCTTGAGGATATGGTAATTTAGTGTCCATTATGGTGTTTCTTAATTGCTTTTTGCTTTTTATTAAATCTATCGGATTTTAATCCAAAGATTAAAAATCTGTGTGATACGATCATAAAAATCTTTTGAAAGATGTATAGGTACTCCCAAATTTATTGCTTTTAGCGTGGTATGATAAACTAATTAACCATAAACCATAGCTAATGGCGTCTTAGCAGCAAATGCTCCTTTTTAGGTAAACAAGGCCTCAGTTTGTTGCCCAGTAGCAGAGCAGAATGGGCCGCAAAGAATTGGTTGGCCCATGATTGTCTGTATCTATACAAGGCCCATAAGAGATCTGTAATTAGACCTATCTAAACTCTGAAGCACATGGATTTGGTGTACCTTTCACTTAATGAAAACTAAACCGCTTTCCAGAGAAAAATATTCACATTGACATGGTCACATGGAAGATGAGTTCAGAGATAATAAAACCATTATACAGTATACACACTGTGTGTAGGTGTAAATTATTACTGTGCTAACTACATCTTTTTCACAGAGCATCAGCAGTAATAGGAGACTACTACTGGTTGTTGCCTCCTCTATGGTTCATCAGTTCCCTGATGGATCTCCCCAGCTAGGGCCTGTACAATCTGCCATGTGATGGAAAATGAGTTACAGAATAGTAAAACAATTAAGTGCGTGTGACAGCGAAACGTGGATAATTATTATTTACTTCATTCGTCCTAAAATATAACAACTTTTAGTCTTTAAAATTTATATCAAAATATAACAGCTTCCCCACCAACATTCTTTTTCCAACCAATCATAACCCTGCATCATTCAATTTCTCCACCCACCTCTACTTATCATCTAATCCCAATCTTCCTCCTGTTTAATTCTACTTATTTTCTTAATAACCGTGTCCAAATCTAAAAATATTTATATTAAGCAAGCAACGAATTGTATATATACACGACCTTCAAAACTTTGAAATGTCAGCTTAGTACAATCTACATATATGTATACTGACGAGTCGACTTCATATCTAGGTCAATTCAAACGTGTTTCACGCTTAGCTATAAGCATACTCCTGTTATACTAAATCATTGCATAATTTTTCTCTTAAGAATAGCACGCCATGGACCAGTGTGCTTGTGGTTGCCGGGGACAGAAGCAACCAAGCTGCATGTGCTCCAATAGTAATTAACAATTGCAAGTATTTTGTTGGAGAGATTCTTTAGAAGACAGTGTGTTTAATTTCATATATCTGAAAGAAGCACAGTTTGTTTTTGTTGCAAACGATTGGTTTTAGTTAACCTAATTTTGACTAATCTAGCTCACTCCATCAACAATTAGAACACTATAGCTAGTGTGTTAATCCATACATCTAAGAATTAAACGAGATGGAATCAATTTGCAGCTGAGTTTGTCGTATCAATTACCTCTCCTTGCGCTTCTGGAAGAAGCGCACCAACGATCTCTTGTTCGCAATGGGCAACTCTGCACAAACAGGCGAAGAAATTAGGATCATTATCGCTTAATTAATCCACCTTTTTAATTAAATCTGAAGACATGCATGGATATAAACTTAAGCAGACGATCGATCGACCTAGCTAGCTTCTAGCTACCTACTTACCTCGCTTTAGCTTCTCCAGCAGCTGGTCGCCGCTGCTGCTTGCCGATATCGCCGCCGCCGCCGTCAACTGCCGCCGGCCGCCGCCGCCGCCGTCCTCCTCCTCCTCGCCGGCTGCCATGTTCATGATATCCTCTGCCTATATATGCTTCCGAGTTCATATGCCATAGCTAAGCTATAGGTAGGCTAGAGCTAGGTATATAGGGTAGATTAGATGAACTGACCAGACCTTGTCTTGCGTGAGATGGAACGTGGCGACGCTGCCGTTGTAGAAGATGGTCAGGGGCTTCACCTCCGCCGTCGTCGTCGGCGGCGGCGACGGTACGGCGGCAGCGTCGGCTACCGCCGGCTGATCAGGCTGAGCCGCCGCCGCCGGGCTGCCGTCTTTGGACATGGCAGAGTGTTAGTACACGATGCACAACGCCACAAGCTATATATCTACAGAGTACAGGGACTACTGTTAGCTGTAGCTAGAGTACTGCAGGTAGAGGAAGGAGACCCATGAGATAGACCGATGCTTAATTGGCCACTTACAATCCATAACACAGCTGGGTTGGGTTGTTAATATAGCAGTTAATACTCCCGTTCTAAAATATAACAACTTCTGATAAATTATATATCTGGATAAGTATATGTCTACACATACATAGGAGGTGTTTAGATCCACGGTTGTAAAATTTTGGCGTGTCACATCGAATATACGGACATACATTTGAAGTATTAAATGTAGTATAATAACAAAACAAATTACATAATCAGCATGTAAACTGCGAGACGAATTTATTAAGCCTAATTAATCCATCATTAGCAAATGTTTAATGTAGCACCATATTATCAAATCATGGAGCAATTAGGCTTAAAAGATTCGTCTAGCAAATTAGTCGAAATCTGTGCAATTAGTTATTTTTTAGCCTATATTTAATATTTTATACATGTGTTCAAACGTTCGTTCGATGTGATTAGATGAAAAATTTTGAAGTGGTATCTAAACAGGGCCATAGCTAGTCAAATATTGTTATATTGAGATGGATAAAGTTGTTAGTACTAGCACTATATTAGTATGAAATAATAATATTATTATTAGGAGAAAATTTTTACAAATGTGTTAATAGGAGAAAAAGACATAAACATGCATGTCTACACTAGTTGGGATATATAGGTCCAGATTATAACGACAGAGATAAAATCAATATTCATAGGTGTATAGGAAATATAACTATATTTATTTGTAGAGATAGAAGGCATAACTCCATCTCAAATGCAATTTACTTTTTAACAGAAGACTTTAATCTATCTCATTGTACAATTGTGCGGGAGTTTATTTAATTTATTAAAACAAGGAGAAGTGTCTATAGGTGGAAGACTTTTTGTTAATTAATATTTCATTCAGTTAAGTAACATATCCCTTCTGCTTATGATTTATTAACAACTAATCATGTGCAACAGTGCAAGCGAGAGTCTTGGAGTTGATTATATAAATAAATCGAACGAGCACGAGGAAAACAAGCTTCCCGTTATCAAAGAGAGATGGAGACTCACGTCCAGAGTGGGCCGGCCCGGGACTTGGGCCCAATAAAGCCCAAGTACAAAAGAAAGCCGCAAAAAACGACTATACGAAAATGAGGGCTGTGGAAAGTGGAAACAGATTTTCTCAGCTAATCGCAACAATCATGTCTGAGACTTGATCCGTTTGAAAGCGAATTGTTGTTGAAGTTAAATTAAATATATTAACAAATAGCTTAAAACAAGCGATCTTAGATAATACATTTGAAAAAAATATATACTTTTGAGAAAATATACATTTTAACGTATAGAGTAAATAATTATTTCTATAATCCCATGAATAGTTCGGTAAGAACTAGCTTGGCACATTAACCACACAAGAAAAAAGATGGCTAACCTCACGGAAATATAGGGAATCTCATCTTTTTTCCCCCTATTGAAATCCCTTTTATCGGGTGGAGGAAGAGAAAAGGAAGGAATATTGGAATCACACCGGCCAAAGAAAAAAAAACAATTGTTACTGCTACTCATATTAGTACCGTGATTAATCAGAGTTACTCCCTCCGTTATAGGTTTTCAGACATAAGTTAAACTATTCTAATTTTAACTAATTTTATAGAGAAAATAGTAATATTTTTAATCTAAGACAAATATGTTATAAAAATTTAATGAAACTATGCTTAACGTCTTATAACCTGATGACGAAATTGGAGGGAGTAGATTATTAGCAATAGTATAATATCATGATTATGATTATATTAATAGTATAATTAAGTGGCAGCTTAGTATAGCGCCCCCCGCGGCGTTGTTAGTTCCACTAGTTCCTTCCCCCTTTTCCCGTCGCGTTCGATTCGATTCGCATCGGCGTTGCTTCCAACGAGAGGGAGGGAGGGAGGAGAGGCGAATCGCGGCGAGCGGCGGCGGCGGCGGCGATGGTGGACGTGTCGAGGGTGCAGAAGGAGCTGACGGAGTGCAACCGGGACAGGGAGGTCTCCGGGGTGTCCATCGCGCTCCACGACGGCTCCACCATCTCCCACCTCACCGGCACCATCGCCGGGCCCCAAGGCACGCCCTACGAGGGCGGCACCTTCGTCATCGACATCCGCCTCCCAGGTACTCAATCCCCACCCCTCTTCCTCGCCGCCGCCGGCGGATTCCTTCCGTTCGTGTTTGGGCGGCGGCGCGATCGGCTTTTGCCCCCGTCGCATCTCCGGAGTAGATTGATGATGCGTAGAGGGATTTAGTGTGGGGGAGGTAGGTTAGGGCAAGTCAGGGTGGGATTTGGTTCCGGATTAGGATTTCAGGATTTGGTTCAATGCGTGTTCGTCATAGTGATTATATTTGTGTGCCATGGAGAAGTTTGCATTTGAGCATGCGGATTTTTGTTGAGATTTCCAGCCTGTTAAATATATAGCTCAAGGTGTATTATTTCATTTCCGTCGTTTATAATTTCAAAACTGAGATACTGCAAGAGCATTTGCTTATAGGGTCTCAATTGTGTTTCAACTTCCTACCGTGACGATGAGAACGGAGTTTCCATGTCGAATCTTTGTTTACTTGGAATTCCGTGGCCTTGTTCGCATCACCATATGGTTTTAAACTGAAAGCCAAGCAAGAGTTGCGATGCATTGGAAAGATTGTTGGTGTCATCTATTGATTGTGCTCTGATTGGCAGGTGGTTACCCCTTTGAGCCTCCTAAGATGCAGTTTATCACCAAAGTATGGTATGCAAGCTTTCCTTCTCCCTTTTGTTTTTTGCTTGTTGCTTGTGTTCCTTGCTTATATGAATCCTTCCTTCGCCCTTTTGTTTACTGCTTGTGTTCCTTGCTTGTATGAAGCCATCACTCCCGGAGCTAACTGTTGCCAACAATTTTTATTGGTTCACATTAGTTGATCTGTTGTTGTTTGGTCAATAAGCGATAACAGCAATGGTACATTGTGACACAGTATCTGGAAATATATGCCGTTCCAGTGTTGATAAATTCTAAGTGCTGCAATGAGTTCACTCTTCATGTGCTGCTTATCTGCCCATGTCCAGAAAAAAATTGTGACTTATCAGTTGCGAGTTTGGGATTACTTGAACTTTACTGGCGCTTCTTTACTGATAACTACAAGTCTTGATTTCTACTCCAATCTATGTTGAAGGCACCCTAACATTAGCAGCCAAAACGGAGCAATCTGCTTGGACATACTGAAGGACCAATGGAGCCCAGCCCTTACATTGAAGACGGCACTGCTTTCCCTCCAAGCTCTGCTTTCTGCCCCTGCACCTGATGATCCTCAGGATGCTGTCGTTGCACAACAGGTCTGGACTACTTGACTATTTAGCTTCATATTTTTTAGCATACCACCTTGTTTTGAACTATTATGCATTAAGAGTAAATTTACATTGCCTCTTCTTGGAACATTCTATATCCCCACGAGGCAAGCTCAGTTTTGTGTATATATGCATGACTACCTCATATTGCACCTGGTAAGGTAGCAGCAAAGAGTGCTACAACATATTAAATATGAGTTATCCAAGTGATATGATGGCATCAATTACATGAGATCTGTGTTTGTACCTGTCACATAATTGGTAAACTTTGTACATCTTCTGAGCTCTGGGTTACTGCATTTATGTACCTATTCCAGTATCTATGTTCAGTTGGTACCTGGTAAAGTGATACACAATTGTTTTCACTTTTCACCTCTATAGCTGGCATTTTTTTTATAGATACACGTTTTGTATTGGACACATTGTGTGTGCCGTGTAGAGTTGATGCTAGATGAGTAGATGACAAGCAAGGTGCAAAGGTTGTTCTGATCACATGAGCTCATCAAGCTTTTCTGCACTTTGTTCTAAATATGCTCTGTGTCCTGTGTGTTACTAATGATGGTGTGCAAAAAGATATGTATAAAATGTTGCATTATGCGACCTGATTGTTTATTAGTCCGGCTAGCCTGGACTGGACTGGAGTATAGGGAAGTCCAATAAAACAGTTCTATCTGGTGTCCTGTTTGTGAGTAAAACTTGCCAATATTCAAGCATAGCAACATGACTCAGCTAGATGCTTTAATTGTCATTGTGCCTTACTATTAGAGAGTCACTTGGCTATTCAGTCTAGGCAGGTCCAGAGTCTGGACTGTACCTTATGTCCTTATCTAGGTTACATAATGAGTTCAAGTGAGTCAATCCTTGACTAAAGCAATGACTAAAGCAATGTAGAGTGTAAGTATAGATGGGACAAATTCACTAGAATTTTCATTTATGATTGGAGCAACACCAGAAATTCCCAAGTTCAGGACATGCTCGGAACTTACAGGTTTAAGGAATCAGTGTCAAGCTTGTCTTCTGATCATTATGTCTGTTTTCATCCATTTTTGCAGTACTTGCGTGACTATTCCACATTTTCTGCTACTGCTCGCTACTGGACGGAGGCCTTTGCAAAGAATTCCTCCACCGGCATGGAAGAAAAGGTATTGTTATTGAGGAGTACTCATATTTATTGTTCCAGTGGGTATACAGAAGTTGTAGATACCGTAGTAAAATACTCCATTCTGCAATCACAGGTGCAGAAGCTGGTTGAGATGGGCTTCCCTGAAGACATGGTGAGAAGTGTTCTGAAGAGTGTCAATGGCGACGAGAACATGGCTCTTGAGAAGCTCTGCTCTGGCTGAGGCCCTATAAGCCGATATGAACTGTAAATTGAATCCCCATTCGTTATAAGACAACAGTGCTTGCTAATGCTCCTGTTCTGCCATTTAAGTGTGGCTTTATGACACTCTTCTATATAGGGGATTGGACCATGGGACGTTGGGACTGAACTGAACCTATCCTAACTTGACAGAGTTCGGTCATTTTTTTTATGGTTTCTTCCTATCATCCGTGGGCCTGAAGTAACGGGATTGTGTCAGGTTTGCCCCATGAAATCGCCGTTTCTGCCTGATGCGAAGCGTCAGTTTTATAACCCCCCCCAAAAAAAAAAAACTGAACGTGACGGGTCATATCTGAATATTTGGCACTCGTCTTGTGGTTTTCGTGTGTTGGGAAAATTAAGATGGTCCAGTGATTCTGCTCAAGTATCTTGCTCAGGAGGCGACCTGTACGCGTTTGCTTAGTTTGCAAAGATAATATTTATATCCAGGTGTGTCGCCCATGATGATAGGATTCTTGTTGCTTTGCTGAAGGGAAATGTCTTGAATAAGATTACAACGGCTTGACGATTACTCCTGCTGGAGCATCAAACTTGATGTATGGCGCATAAAACGGCTGGCTTCCGATGATTTTTCAGCTGCAAGAAGACCATCAGGTATGGGCTCAATTGTTGATTCATGATGGTGAAGTGATGTGTTGTTTTTGTCTGAATAAACCAGTGACGCTTGCTCCTCGTTAACTAGGATCACATGACAATGATTGAGCCAACATTATCACCAATTAGGTACTCCACCTTGCTTTATTTGTTTGTAATCATGGTCATTATCTTAATCAGCGTATTTTCCAAATGGAGTGCGACTGAACTGTCAAAAGGGCTCTCCCTCTCTTATGCCTCGTATATTCAAATGAAACCAAAACAATAATAAAAAAATGGAATTAGCGGCGAAATTCGCATCAGAAAAGCACCGATGATATCACAATTAATTTCTTGAAGAAACAGATGGCCCATGGATGTCAGAATTGACGCAACTGAAACAAGAGAATCGTCAGGAACAATAAGTACATGATGCTTGGTCATCTCCTCCGGTCAAAAACCTGTGAAGCGTAAACCCCCAAAGACCGGTCAGATCAAAGATGGTCAAGCTTGTAGTACACCTCAAGAACCGTTCTAATGCAAAGCTGACACCTAATTTGCAGCATCTGCAACTGTTGCTCTCATCCTCTCTCAGAGAGAAAACGAAATGGAGGAAAATTTAGCACAGGAAATAGTTAGGTTCACACACACAACAACAGCAACAGCAACAAGAATCTCTAGATGATCACTTGGTTTGGTCCGTGCGAAATGCCAAGTGGCAACTAGCAGATGCTTAGGCATTGAGAGGCAAGGAAAAAAAGGTCGATGCACTAACTAATCAGCACCAATTTTCAGCCCCTTTGATGAGAGTTTTCAGATGGAGTTGCACCAATTTTGGGGTGCGTGTTCAACTTAAGCAGCGTGGTAGACCCTCCAACCCAATAACATCAGACACGTCTTCTTCAAACCTTCCAACACCGCTTGCTTGACTCCCTCAACCTAACCCCACAAATGCAAGGAATTTACTACTTTCCGATTTTCCGATTTAAAATGCTCTCTCCAATTCCATATTTTCTATAATCTCATTTACCAAAAAGTAGTTGATTTGGGTGTCTATTTCTTGTTCCACCCATAGTAAATACTTTTAAACTCAATGTTTCTCTCATGTTGGAAACCACGACAACATTAACTACTCCCTCCGTTTCACAATGCAAGTCATTCTACCATTTCCCACATTCATATTGATATTAGTGAATCTAGACATATATATCTATCTAGATTCATTAACATCAATATAAATGTAGGAAATGTTAAAATGACTTACATTGTGAAATGGAGGAAGTACAAGGGATAAACTCATCTAATAACTTATTAAAGGAATAGAAAAATGAGCCTCCACGTTCGCTCTCATGGCTTAGAAAATCTCATATTAATCGGAGAAAAATAAAAATATAGTACATATAGAAATACAACTTAGAAATAGTTGATGACTATTTTGTATTTCTATATTGTATTTCTCGTATGGACTCTATTTTTCTTTTTCTCCGATTAATACGAGATTTTCTAGGTCGTGAGAGCGAACGTGGAGTCTTCTTTTCTATTCCTTTAATAAGTTAATAGATTGATGTTCTTTTCCTTACGAAACCGTGGGAGTTTAATATATGTCCAACTGACCGAAGAGACCATACACACATGAAGTGAAGGTGACACCAATCTATTCATTATCCCATCACAAAATTGGCTGGAATGCATCAGGATTTCAACCAGGAATTGGTGTCTTGTTGAGACTTTCTTGGTGGTGGTGGTGTCACTTGCATCACCAATAACAATATTGATTCACAACATGTAGGAGTATTTAGTAGTAGGGGGTTGTCTTTGTAGGAACCAACCATTCCAATGGTGGTTAGGCCACAACCTCTGTAGTCAAAGCCCTACCTGTATTTTCCATCACAGGGGTGGTTGGCCTGGCTATGAGCCCATCACCCACATCTGGTGAACAGTCTACATATACTTGTACCCTGATGAGATCACCAGTGTGTACTACTGTGCTCTAATCGCAAGTGGATTAAGCTAGAATAATGTCATGCAGATGGAGTAATCACCTGATTAATTAGCCTCTCATCATCTGCTAGTTGAGTTGAAGCTCACTCCAGCTCTGAGGTCTCCTCTCACTTTTGCTTTGGACCTCTTTTCCCAGCTGATAGAGACCAGACATGCTGCAAAATTATGGACATTAACACCTTGCTGTACTTAAGGGTTTAATTGTCCTCAAGCTAACCCTAACTGCAATTTGCGGCTTAACAAACTCTCAGGAGTACGAGAGTAAAAATAATAATATAATAAAGAAGAAGAACGATTCCGGTCAACGTCAATGGGCACGTGGGCCCACTGGTCAGCGAGGCATGCAGATTGCAGGTGCAGTCTGCAATGACACGTCAGTGTGGGTGAAAAACGAGACCTGTTCCTGGAGCAGACTGCACATTGACAGCCTTCGTTGACACCGAGGGATCAAGGAGGAGTACTACTGCATGCAGCGTTACATGTTGATTTGTTAAAATTTAATTTTAGAATTTTACTCCTAATACTAGCACATAAAGGTGTTTGCCTATAAACTATCTGTAGTTGCTCCATTCATTTTTTCAGGGTTATCAGCTGTAGCTCTAGCTCTCATATAGCCTTACAGTTCTAATTTTGTTTTATATTTATCTAACATTTTGGTTATGTGACTAGTACATGTCCTTTTACTATTAATTAATGAACATCACTTAAATGATCATCAGTGTACTTCTCAAATGATGCATGCTGTGGTCTAGATTACTTCTCAAAGTTTGTTAACAAAACTGGTTTTAGTTTACACGTTTTGTTGCCTCCAGTGTGATGTTACTATCACCTTGCATGCATGTACCCTATGACTTCGATCCATCAGAAATTCAGAAGTCAGAACTCACAAGCAGGCTGCCGGAAATGAAAAAAAGATAGCCTGACAAATAGGAGTGTAATTGGGTTAGCCACGAATTTATTTATAGATCCAAATAAACGAGATTCGTAGCTTATTTTAATCTATAAGTGGGTTTCGTGGATTAGCCACTTACACCCGTACTGACAAAAGAGCAATAAATGCAGCGAAGACGTACTTGCTTTCTCTCTCTGATTCACTCATCAAAATGCTCGTGCAGCCACCGCACATCCATGGAAAAACAAATCTTGCAAAATTCAGATATCAACTGAAACGAGATTTATGACATGATGTACAACCTTTTTCAAGACAAGAAAAAACCATCATAAATCAATTAACTTGCAGGCTGTATATATCATCCATATGAAAGAGTAAATTGCGCGTGTTTATTATTTCGTTTTCGTGTTTGATTTAAATTGATTGAGTTTTCAACCATACGAATGAAAGCTGTCCGTAACAGGGGAGTTGATGCTAATCCGTGTTGATCTGGGGTGTGAACTTCTTAATGCCGGGAGAGAGTGTTCTTGTCAAACTGGTTTGGGGTCCCCTCCCCTATATAATCAAAACTTCAAACCTTAATTATTGGGGAGGCACCAAAATGATTTGAACACAAGAAAGCGAACCCCATTTCAGTGATACTTCGCCTAATAGTAGATATTAGTTTTATATTAGCAAAATTAAGAACCCTAGCTCCTAACTGCCCGACTTTGACACACATATGAATCTATTAGTAATTTAGTAGAGTTTAGGGCAGCCTTTCTATATATTTTTTGGATGCAGATTAGTTAAGGAGGCTATCATGTGTTCAGCAAGTATGATTACATAATGATCAGCGTGTTTATGATAAAAAGATGTGTGCATGACCTCAACCTTGTTTTAGATATCTTTCAGAAAAAAAAAAGAGTTAGCTCCACCTGACCTTTTTATTACTAGTAGTAACCAAAAATATTTTTTTTCATTTTTAAGTAAGAAAAAGTATAATAGGATCATCCTACTAAACTTATATTAGTCACCATCAAAATAGCTTCATATCTTCCCTGGAAATTTTAAATGAACAAGGCCAAAAATACCAATTTTTCTAATAAATATCATAAACCCTGTGCCTAATCATTTGTCCATCACTGCAAGCCTGCAATATGATATCCTACCAAATACTCCATCCGTCCCTAAAATACCAACCTATTAACAAACATAATATTTTCTAAGACAACAAATTTATAAAGAAACCTGTTCAGATTTATTATATTATATGAAATATCACATCCAATATTAAATTAATTTTTTTAACGGAGAGAGTACTACCTGACAAAAAAAAACATTCTAGTCTCCTACCAAAAATATAATAATAAATAAAAGATTTAAAAATATAATAATTAATTAAATAATTAAAAAAACAAGCGAGTATAAATGAAGTAAAACGGCGAGTCGAGAGTCCAAACTGCCAAACCGCCGTAGCACGAGAGACAGTACACGAGACCTTCCCGCGTCCTCCTCCTCCGGCCACGTCGACGTCGCACCAACCGCCGCCGCCGCCGCCGCCGGCGACCTTCACATGACGCGCCGCCATGGGATGCATCCTCGGTAAGCTCGCCGCCGCGCCAGGCTCCTCCCTCTTCTTCCCCGCGGCCGCCGCTGCCTCCGGCGCCGGAGGAGGAGGAGGAGCGGGCGAGGTGCAGCTCGCGGCGCCGCAGCCGGAGAAGATCGCGGCGGTGCAGAAGGACGAGAGCGGGTGGCCGCTCTGGCTCTCCTCCGCCGCCGGCGACGCGCTCGCCGGCTGGGCCCCACGCAGCGCCGACGCCTTCCACAAACTTGAGAAGGTACTCTAGCTAGCTATAGTTTGGTTGCTTGGCCTTTTCCTGCAAGAGGAAGGATCGAGTTGTTGAGACTTGAGACCCAAACATTTCTATTTTTTTTCCATCTGCTTTTCGTTTTTGTTCCTTTCAGAATGCCCTACTCCTCCGACGTGCTCGATCAAATTTGCCAAAAAAGATGCTTTATGTTTTTCTTTTCAGATCTTTTGCGGTTTGAGTTCTTGTTGTTCTCAAATAGAATTCTGCTTGATGTTCTTCTTTTTCAATACATGAAGCCTCACAATTCGATTTCGAAGAAGTTGTCATAGTTCACAAACCCAAATATTTTTTTTGCTGCGCGGAGTTGCAGAGAACGAGATATCGAGGGAAATTTAGTTATGTTTCAGCAGTTGAAGAAAGATAAACAAAACCCAAAGCCCAAGAACCAAACTGTTAGAATAGAGACTTAAGACAGAGATGGACAAATCCCCAGGTTTCTTGAGATCAGTTACAAATCCTCCCAACTTCAAGCCATCCCTTTTTGTTCATAGTTTATATCCTGTCCGCGTCACAAAGAATTCGTAAATGGCGATTTGGAAAGTCAACTTCGCGCAATTGCGCAATCTGTGTTATTCTCTTGAAAAAAGAATCAAATGCACTAATTGTATTCTCAACCTTATCCTCACTATATTTCAAATAAAACCGAGTTGACAAAATTTTCTCCTTTCTGAAACCGAGTCAACAAAATCACGAAAAGAATCGTCCAAATCTGCTTATTTTGCTCAGGAAGAACATAACTTCCTTACACACTAATTTCATTCTCAAGCTTATTATCCTCAACCATTTCACAAAAGCCGAGCCTTTCTTCTTCTGAAAATTGGGTACAAATTTCAGTGTTTGCGCAATCAAATTCGTCATTTCGCTCAGAATTTTTTTTATATAAAAAGCTTCTTTTTGGTTGGAGAAAAAAGAAATTCATGAAAAGAACCATACAAATCTTGCTGCATTTTGCTCATAGAGAAAAGATTCAAATGTGCAGATAGGGTCGGGGACGTACAGCAACGTGTACAAGGCGAAGGAGGTGGAGAGCGGGCGGGTGGTGGCGCTGAAGAAGGTGAGGGTGGATGGCGTGGGCGAGGCGGAGAGCGCGCGGTTCATGGCGCGGGAGATCGCCCTCCTCCGCCGCCTCGGCGACCACCCCAACATCGTCCGCCTCCGCGGCCTCGTCACCTCCCGCCTCGCCACCGCACCTTCCCTCTACCTCGTCTTCGACTACATGGACCACGACCTCACCGGCCTCGCCGCCGCCGCCCTCGCCGCCGACCAACGCTTCTCCTTACCCCAGGTACCGTACCCCCATCATTCTTTTCTTCTTCTTTTTTACTCCTTGGTTGTTTAATTAATCAATTAACTAGTCGTATGCACTACTGTTCCCTTCCTGATTAATTTGATAGCATGCTTATGGTAATTGGTAAGTAGCCCTATTTGGGGAGCTTCTAGCTACTGTAACTACTTCTTCCAGAATCCGAATCTCTCCCAAATGGTACAGCTTTTGATTTAAAGTCTGAGAAATGAGAAGTTATAGTTATAAAATCCAGAAAATAAACTAAAAGCTATAAGCTGGGAAAACTGATTGATTAATTAAACTAGTCGTATGCACTGTTCCCTTCCTGGTTGGTTGATTTCACAGCATGCTTATGGTAATGTAAGTGATTGTGGATGTTCTTGAATTACATCTGAGATGAGTGAGTGTACTATGTACATGATAGGATTAGACATTGAAAGGGAGAGGATTTCCACCATGGTCTTTTCTATTTCTTTAGTTTTACTCTATAGTTTCTACTTTCTAGAAGGGGTTAAGAGGACATAAGATGGTTGCTTTGTTGTTGTCTAGTTAGCCAGGATGACTGAATTCTCCATTTCTGACTGATGATGTGCCGGGTTGAAATATTCCTTCATATTTCAGAGAAACCTAGAACAGATCAGACCCCCTTTGATTGAAAGGAAAATGGTAGGAATTTTAGAAGATTTTATTCCTGTAGAAATCTATATAGTCTTTTGAATCAAATGAATGGATACTATAAAATCCTAAGAAATTCCTCTGGAATACCTCATTCCATGCAATTTTTTGGAGAAAATATAACATGAGATAGAACCTCATGTAAAGATTCCTTTGAGTCATTCTCTCTCCTTAAATTTCTGTGTTTTTTCTATGATCCATTCAAACTGTTATTCATGTGTTTTGCAATCTCCTATTTTACACTTGTATTCTTGTCAAAATCATGTGTTTTTCTTATTCCTTCATTTTTCTCAATCCTGCATTTCAAAGGGGTGGTAAAAAAAATTGTGTTCCATATTTTGCAACTTCTCATCCAACAAAATTTGTGGGCCACATATCGGACCAAACCCAATAGAAAGAAACTTGGAGCTAGATTTGCTTTAGCGGTTGGCACCATGCAGTTTCCGTTGAACACATACTCCTCGGTCTTCTTCTATAGTCAGAGATTAGGTAAATCTTTAGAAAATTTCGTACCATAAGTTGCTTTGATTGCTTAGGACAGTCAGCTCTAGTGTGCTATTGGATACAATTGCAGTATGCCAATAATAGAGTACGGATCGTTGCCTCTGTAGGGAGGGGAAAGAGTTGTTATGTAGCTTATGTTTTGTCAAGACAAAATTATACATATTTTGATGCACCTGTAATCACACATCATCCCAAAATTTTCTCTTAGGCCCTGTTTAGTTCACACCAATCTTCTCCCCAATTCCCAACTTTCCATCACATCACATCACATCCAAAACTTTCCTACACACATAAACTCCCAACTTTTTTTTCAAACTACCAATTTTTCCCAAACTTCTCTCCAATTTCAGGAACTAAACACAGCCTTAGGCTGAGTAATATTCTTTTATAGGAACATGGAAGCAATTTTCCCATTAGAAGATTGCACTGACAACACCAAAGATCCAAAACTGTAGGGTCTTTCCAGCAATATAGCCTGAAGTTTTCGTTATAACTTACTGAATATGCTATGGTAATTTAAAATAATTTCAGTCAGAACTGATTGAAACATGTGAATACTGCCAGTATTTTCTTCCATTCTAGAAGAAGAATAATTGACTGCTTATTGGCAAGAAAATTACAACCCTGGCTTTTTGCAAAGAAGCAAACAAATCTGATAGGCAGAATAACAACAACAGTGTGGACCCGGGAGTATGTTAGACTTGGTTATAAGTTTGAACGCGGGTTCCAGTCCAAGTGACAGAGACAGGTGCATTTTATGTTCACACAGCGCTTAGAAGAAATCCCTTCTACAGATATTCAACAGTCCACATTGTCTGCAGTTAGAACATTTGCATTGAAAATTGTCAAAAGTGTAGTGATATTCTCTTTTTCTTTTTTTTTTCTGAACCTGAAGGGCCCAACCAGGACAAACTTTTCATGTATGCCTATGATTTATTATTTGTCTTTTTCATGAACTCCAAAATGATTTGTTGTCGTCTACAGGTAAAGTGCTACATGAAACAGCTACTGACTGGGATTGAACACTGCCACAACAAGGGTGTTCTGCACCGAGACATCAAGAGTTCCAACCTCCTTGTCAGTAACGATGGAATCCTCAAGATAGCTGATTTTGGGCTCGCCACTTCTTTTGATCCTGATAACAAGGAGCAGCCCATGACTAGCCAAGTGATCACACTTTGGTATCGTCCACCTGAACTCTTGTTAGGTGCTACTCACTATGGCGTCGGTGTTGATCTCTGGAGTGTGGGTTGCATACTAGCAGAATTGCTTCTCGGCGAGCCTATATTCCCAGGGAGAACAGAGGTACCTACCTGTTTGATCCTATTGAAACATCAGGTTTTACATAAATATTTCAGAGAACTGCATGATTTAGAGATGAAACTCTTGGTTATCCAGGTGGAGCAATTGCACAAAATCTTCAAGTTATGCGGCTCTCCGTCAGACGATTACTGGGAGAAAATGAAGTTCCCACATGCTTCATTCAGGACATATGAGCGATGCATCGCGGAGAAATTTAAAGATGTGGCACCATCTGCACTATCACTTCTTGAGACTCTCCTGTCTATTGATCCTGACATGAGAGGCACAGCAACTGATGCTCTCAACAGTGAGGTTAATACCGCCCTTCACATTCTAGGCAACACTCTCACAGGCAACTAAAACGCTGAAGTTAAAAGATAAATACCGAGCAGATAATATGCAGGAGGACTAAATTTAGCACAGATCATGATAAAATGGACTGAACTAAGTAGGCATTAATACATATATTTGGATAAGAAGGCAACCAGTATGATTTTATTTGTTCACCTGTACTTATCATTCACTGTGAATTCAGTTCTTCAGGACAGAACCATATGCCTGTGAACCATCAAGCCTTCCCCGGTATCCACCATGTAAAGAAATAGATGTGAAGTTGAAGTATGAGAAGCATAAAAGGTCCTGTTCAACTCTTTGCACCTTGTATGTTTCAGCTTTTTTTCTTGTGCTGACAAAACCTACAACAACTGTTATATGTTTCAGGAAACTGAGGGCTAATGGTTCAGTAGAACGTCAGACCACAGCAAGAAAGCCCATGTCACAAAATCCTGGGCGCAGAGTATTTACTCCAGATGTCAATAATAAGCCTCAAGCTAAACCAAATGTATGTTTCCCTATACTAATTTCTTCTGCAAGAATTTTGTCGCAACTACATCTTAATGAAATGATCACTACTGCTGACAAAATATCCATGAATAATTGTGTCAACTGTGTTATATCTGACTCTATCAAAATCTATATTCTGAGCAACTATTTAGGCATTAGAAAGATGAACTTATGACTAAAATGTCGATTCTGTCAATGTATCTTCAGATCCCAAGATTGGTGACAAGCACAAGCACAACAAAACTCGAGAGGTTTCCTCCGCCTCACCTAGATGCGTCAATCGGGTTTAGTCTCGATTCATCGGCTGATGTTTCCACGGAACAGTTCTTCACATCATCAGTTGTGGAGCTAAAGAAGATGCCTAGCCTAATATTTGGCCACATGAAGTCTTACCTGAATAGTCCAAAGAAGAACACACACAAGGCAAAGCCAGGCCTCAGTATGCCACCTTCCGCTGTTCTCATTGGCGCTTTCAAGCCATATTCGCTTGGGCATCCAATGGAGGTGAGAAGGAAGAACAGGGATCAGTTCAGAACCAAAGGAAGAAATTCAGTAGGTGCAGTCAAATGACAAGCTAATTATATTCATCTTTATTTTTTTGGCCCTCACATCACAGTAGCTGTTCATTTAAATCTGCAAATGATAGGCAATACCTGTATAGTTCAGAGAGTATATGAAAGGCGAGTTGTGAATAATGCATTCATGTATGATAGTTCACAAAATTTCACTGGAAATCATAGGCAGTTCAGTAAAAAAAAATCAAGAACGTGGTAGACCCTGAATACATTCAAATCATCCAGAATGAAATCAGAAACACAGAAAAAAATTCTCAGCTCATCAAACCTGGATGAACACCTTCCAAATTCACTATGATTCTCCTTTTCTTTCAACCTAATCAAGCATGCTTGTCTATGGTACACAAAAGGAGCAGTAAATTAATTACTGATGCTCCTTACATCATCCACGAGATCAGTTTTCTCAAATGCAAGGTTAGCTTACAAACAACAACCAAAGATTAAAAAGAAAAAAGAAACACAGCAGATGATGCAGAGCACCATCATCATGTGGGGATCGATCAGCCACGGTTCACAAGCTGAGAAACTCAAATGTCTATCCATTCAGAGAAGAACTGATCTCTCAGCCGGAGCAGCGGCGTCGAAGCGTTGGTGAGATTTGGCAGGAGGAGGAGGAGGAGGAGGATGAGACGGAGCTGAGGCTGCGCTGCGGCGGCTATGGCGGCTGAACAAGCTGCACCATGCGGCGAGCGCGAGGCCTCTGAACCTGACCCACCTGCTCGCCTCCGGTGCCGATTTGGAGAGCTGCATGTTAAATTCAGGATGAATTCGGTTAGGGATTCGGGAGGAAGATCGAAGCCATGGATTGATCTCTACCTCGCTGGAGCCATGGCCATTGTTCTTGATCGGCTGAGGCGTCTCTGCAGCGCAGCAGGATGGTTGAAGTGTCAGTGTAAAAGAAATTCAGAAGAGGCAGCCATGGATGGAGTAGGAGGAGATCGGGGCAATTGATCACCGGTGATTCTGACGCATTCGTCGCCGTCGCTGTCGCCGTCGCCGTCGGCATCGGCGACGATGGCGTCGACGGTGGCGGACTTCTGGCAGTAGTATCGGAAGCTGGGGGATCCGGGCATCGACGCCAAGAACGCCGCCGCCGCCGCGCCGTCCTCCTCCTTGGGCTCCGGCGCCACCTTGCACCCGCGCCTCCTCCCATCCTGCTGCTGCTGCTGCTCGCCGTCGTGGCCCGGCGACCGCCCCGGCCTCCGCCGCTCAGCGCTGTCCGTCGCCGACGCGGCGCACCCCATCGCAGCCGGCGAAGGGGAGGGACGACGGCGGCGAGAGGGGGGGCGAGGCGGTCGAGGAGCGTGGGGGATGCCACCGCCTTCTTCTTCCTCCTCCTCCTCTTCCGCGGCCGCCTTAGTAAGGGAAGGGTGGCGGTTGCCTCCGGCGAGCGGCGGCGAGGGATTCGCGGAGCGGCGCCTCGCCCAAATTTGGCGGGAACGTGAGCTATGACAGCCTGGCCCCACCTGCCAGATGACGGCTACGGATACGGATGGGCATGTTTGGGCCTGATCCTGATAGGCCGAATCATAGGCCCATCAACTTATGGGCCTTCGTTTTCCAAGCGTCTAGAACCTCTCTGAGAAAAAGTAACCCTGCACCTTTTCCTCTATAAACAAAGAAAACTTTTAGATTATAAACAAAACAAAGGAAACTTTTTACTCTGAAAAAACTGCAATATTTTAGGGTGTGGTTGAGAAAAGAAAAAAATGACAAGATTGAGAAGATACGTAAACAAAGTGAGCCATTAGCGTATAATTATTTGAATAATTATTATTTCAAACTTAGAAAATAGATTAATATTATTTGTTGAGCAATTTTCCGATAGAATTTTCTGAAAAAACACATCATTTAATAGTTTGGAAAACGTGTGTATGAAAAATAAGAGACTTTCTCTAGCATAATATATATGGATGTGAATCGAATCTGCCGCTTGTTGAACACAAATCAGTAAACGAAAAGTAGGAGGAGATGTTGAAACCATGAAGCAAAGGTTTTGCTGTTGCGGTTTTTTCTTCAGGAGTACAAGTCACTGCATGAGAAGTGGCAGAAACCAAGCAATTCAGGTCCATGCCAAATTCCCAAAATTCTTCAGATTCCATTTCCTGCATGGAAGAAACACCTCTCCTATATTTTTGCTGCTCTCATTCTAGAAGTCTCCCAAATAATAATTCCAGGATCATGAAGCTTGGCACTTTGGTAGCAACACAGCTACTACCCATCTGCCTAAACAGAGTCCATTGATTGCAAAACACATGCAGCCTGTTTTTGCAGGCAACCCCCACCCTGCCCAACTGTGTCTTCATGTTGATGTGTTACTGATGCTTAGGATTTCCTTTAAGGTTGGTTACTGCAATAACCAGGTGGTAACCGGGCCTATTAACCAGGTTTTTTAAAAATATTAATAATAAACCTTCAGTAAAGTCTATCCCCTTTTATCAGTGCCTCAAGCTACTGAGTTAATTAGATGCTTGCAGGCACTGGATGATGATCTAATCTACCCTCTTATAAAAACATGGTCTCGTTGGATAGCCAAGACTGATTATAAGTTGTATCGGTTTATTAACGACCAATAAAAGTAAAATTTTATATATGTGTCTTATGTTAAAAATACCTTAAAACCAATTTCAAATTAAGTTTTAAATTTTAAATTTTAATAGCGTCTTGTTCTTTTATACAACAAACGATGTACGGCCAGTGCTTCTGACCTTTGGGGTTTTTTTAGGGAAGGGTATTTTTTACCCGGACTCTATATCCAACGAGATATATGTAGCCTTTTTAAATTAGGAAGTAAGCATATGAAGCAGAGAATTTAGCCCTTAAATAACCCAATCTGAAATTCGCTCGTATAAAAATTTGAACTAACCATCTTTGGTGTTTGCCTTAGCTAGCAGTGCTAGAAATGGCCCTGCCTTTCTATGTTGCTTCCAAGTGTGTCCATGCATATGCAGAGATGCAGTGCTGGCCTGGTGGGTACTAGAGACTAGAGAAGGGATTCCTTGTTGCATTGTCTCTTGACTTATTTTGGATTCCCTTGGAGGGAAGCCAACTTTATAACTACCCTACAGCCTTGTACTGGAGGAGTACTGAACCAATGGAATTAATGGTGTGTGGGCTGTTCAGTGTTCACAAGGGGAAGAAGTCTCTTCTTCCACTCCACTGGTTCCTTCCCCATCTGTTCCTCCTCCACTACTTGCATATATGGGGCTCCACCACATGCCAATGTCGTCTCAAATTATATAATGCTCATATCATTCATTCAGCCACAGCTGCCAAGATCATTACTATACTGTTCTTTCTTTTAAATTAGTGACATATCCCTACGTTACAATAGAACCTAAAGGAATATGGATGAATAGTTTTATGGGATTCAGATTTTTCTATATTTGGTTTTTCTTGTGGGTATTGAAAACACTAGTTTTTTATAGGTTTTTTTAGACAAGGTGGGTTTTTTTTTCCGTGGGAAGTACGATCGGGGAGAGGAGAAGGAGGACGACTCCAATTTCGTTGTGGTAAAGAAAAAAACTCAATAGCTAAATAGCTGGATGATTTTTTTCCGCTATTCAAGAGTACACACAAATGAATTAACTTTCCTAAAGCTTAAAAAATACATTTAAACCAACTTTTTCAAGAAATTCATACATAAAGTTTTGAAAAGAATGTCGTTTAGAAGCTTGGAAAACGTGTTGCATTAATCCACTCTAACAAAAATATCAAAAAGAACGGGCCCTATCTCTGAAAAATACCATATAAGTCAGCAAATATTGCAGCAAGGAACAAAACAAATTAGAGTTCGGTTGGTTTGGAGGCGAGCTAGCTGCAAAGCCTGCAAGTTGCAGCAACAATCAGCAGGGAGATCTTTTCTCGCACAACTTGATCTTAAACCTCTTCCTCCTTTTGATTGATTTTTTTTCTTTTCAACGCACTCCCCTGTTGATCCTTTGACTAATAATATAATTGTCTTAGCACAGATCAGCTGGCCGAAATTAATTTTAAGTACGTAATGTCCGCCCAAATTGTATCATTGTTGCTGTTGTGGGTTTGACAATCATTGTTAATACTGTTTGTGCACGTCCTGAATCATCGTCATAAATGTAAACCATGAGAGAGACTGAACTAGACGGCAAGTGCATGAGCTATGCATATATAGGAATAGGAGTACTAGGCATATACACATGGTTCATGGTTGCTTGCTGTGTGCTCCAACCTGAGAAGAGAAGCTAAGCTAGTCGGTCAGCTATAGCAAACTAGCTTATTGGCCCAATTCTTTTCCTCTTATCCTCTCCATATAGCACACAAACAACACCCCCTCCCTCCAAAAAAAAAATAAAAATAAATACTAGGATTTTAGGGGAACATGACCTTAGTATTAAGAATCTAGACAGGATATGCTTTTAAAATCTCTGAGATGAAGGTCTAACATTTTAGATAATATTGAATTTAAGGGAAATGAACCAGATATCATCATTAAATGAGAGGTGTTTAGAAGAATGAAGGTGGTTAAGAGGTAAGACAGAGAGAAATGTCTTTGTGCAACAAAATTTGAATACTGCTGGAATTGCACTCTTTATGAGATGAAGGGAATGCATATTATAGATTATCGTGAGCACGTTTGTCAAACTTCTACTCCCCGATTTTCTCCATTCCAAAATAAGTTCTATAAATCAGGACAACGCCAGAAGGGAGTAGACAATATCATTTTTATAAAAAAAAATCCAAATCTTTTTTAAAACAACTTTTAGTGTTTGTACCCATTAGATATCATTAAAAAACATATATATTAAGGTTGTGTTTAGATCCAAAGTTTGGATCCAAACTTCAGTTCTTTTCCATCACATCAACCTGTCATACATACACAACTTTTCAGTCATATCATCTCCAATTTCAACCAAAATAATTTCAACCAAAATAGCCTAGTACTACATGCATGCACTGTCCTTGGTCCTAGCTAGCTCGATGGAACCCTATAAAACTGTACTACTACTATTCCTTGTGGAGCAAAGCATAGCATGGTTGGCATGGCCGATTTGCATTCACGATGGACGATGACTTGCAAGAGTAGAGTACCCATGCATTGCATCGCATGGCGCATGGCCGATCGATCAATCCATGGACTTTTGGGGTCATCGCCTCATCAGAGATTGGCTTGGCTTGTCCCCGGAAGAAAGAGACTGGAGTACTAGCAGAGACAATTAATGGTTGACACTTAGGTTGTGTTTAGTTGGATCCAAAGTTTGAATTTTGGTTGATATTGGAGATAATGTGACTGAAAAGTTGTATGTGTATGATAGGTTGATGTGATGGAAAAGGACTGAAGTTTGGATCCAAACTTTGAATCTAAACACAACCTTTGATGCATTGGTTTGATAGATCGATCGATGGATGGATGGATGGATTTGGTCTTGGAAAAGGGAGCAAGCAACCATCGGAAAAGCGCATGCATATACCCTCTCTCCCAGGGAAAAACTGCTTTGTTGTACTACTCCATTTGTGTTTATGTGAGACTGATAATTAGCTCTCTAAAATTTTCTATTTAGGAGTATTAAACGTATATTACTGATAAAACTCATTCCATAACTTCTAGGCTAATCTGTGAGATGAAATTAATCTATGATTTGCAGCAGTGATACTACAATAATTATCCGCTAATCATGTATTAATATATCTGGTTAGATTTGTCTTACGAATTAGCCTAGAGATTCTGCAAGTAGTTTTGTACGTAGACTTTATTAAATACTCTAAACTAGCATGGTGGCTAATGGTGGCTAGCATCATTATATTTTCTCTCATATAATAGCATATGTATTTTCTCATTATATTATTAAAATATATTACAATGACAACATAGTTTTAAATTTTGCAATAACTTTTCAAAACTACTAATGTGTAATAACTACTCTAGTCTCCTCTTCTAATATTCCTTATTTTTTAATTCTGAATTTCAGCTCTTTCTAAATTGTATTTCTATATGGACTCTGCTTTTTCTTTTTCTCTGATTAATATGAGAATTTCTAGGCCATGAGAGCGAACGTGGAGGCTCCTTTTTATTTTGAATTTTAGTTGGTTTTAAATTCCAATATGAACTCTATACTCTACTTCTAATATTCCTTATTTTTTAATTCCAAATTTCTATTTTTTTTCTTAATTGTATTTCTATATGGACTCTATACTCTACTTCTAATATTTCTTATTTTTAATTCCGAATTTCGGTTATTTCCTAATTATATTTCTATATGGATTCTATACTCTACTTAATATATTCCTTATTTTAAATTCCGAATTTCAGTTATTTCCTAAATGTATTTCGATATGGACTCTAGTCTCCTCTTCTAATATTCCTTATTTTTTAATTCCGAATTTCAGCTATTTCTAAATTGTATTTCTATATGGACTCTAGTCTCCTCTTCTAATATTCCTTATTTTTTAATTCCGAATTTCAGCTATGACGGAGCGTGGGGCTCCTCACCGGGAGACCGCGCAGGCCCCCCTTTGCCGGTTCGGCCGGGGGCGCTGAGTGAGGTTCTTCACCCTCGATCTGTGGAACGTTCGCGAGAGAGCAAATGCACAAGACACGGGCGATGTATACAAGTTCGGGCCGCTGAGAAGCGTAATACCCTACTCCTGTGTTCTGGTGGATCTGTGTGTGAAGGAGTTACAGAGCAAATGGAGAGCAAGAGAGTTCAAGCTCTAGAACCCCTCTTTTTCCTTCTCTTCTCGTTCTTTTTTTTTCTCTCGATCTCCTCCTCCTTTTTTAGGTGGGCAAGGTCCTCCTTTTATCTCTCAAGGGGATACCACATGCACTACTTCTACCTACTCTTCTTTTGGGTGGGGACCCACCCTATCTTGACCAAATCTTAGACTCGCGCCTCCGCCTGGAAACTAAATCACCGCTTGTCCTTGAGTGATGCCCAGCGCCGTCACTCGTCGGACATAGGGGATCACCCTGTCATTTCTTCATTAATGGGAGGAGATCTACAATGGCCGCTGTCTGAATGACCCTCCGATGGGATGGGTCATACCTACCTCCACTCCGCCGGAAGCAGATGCAACGTGGGAGCATGGTTGTCTGCCGATGACGTGACCGGCGTCAGTCCAGTCACAGACCGGTCATTCTTCTCCACCACGCGTCAGTTTAGCATGCCGCACATTTGCCCTTCTTCATACAGTGACTTCCTTGCAATGGTTGCGATGAAGCCTGGCATGAATCGAGCCGGGACTGACGTGCTAACTCCAGGAGTTACCACGCCGGCTCCAGCTAGGGACGAGTGCCAAGAGGCTCTCATCATTCCGACGGGACGGGGCGAGGCGTGTGACAAGCCGCCTGCTGCCACATAACCCGCGATCTGACCGGTCTGTGACCGGTCACACACTGCGACCGGTCACGGACCGGATATGCGTGCACCGTGCTGCATTAAATGCGGCGTGGCGCGCTTGTCCATTCCGCAATAAATGTGGTTTGGTGAGCGCCGCTGTGCCCACCTAACCCACACACGTGGCGCCAATACCACAGAGGGTCGGGGCGCCCCAGCCCTCGGGGCCGAAACAGGAGCGGCCCGATCCCTCGGGGAGACAGAGGAGGGGGTGGGCACGTCTCCCTCGGGCCCGACCCCCCCGAGGGGGTCAGGCCACGTGGGTGACCGCGGCTGCCCAAGCTTCTAGTCATGATACTCCCGGTCCCATGTCACCGACAAGCTATTTCTAAATTGTATTTCTATATGGACTCTAGTCTTCTCTTCTAATATTCCTTATTTTTTAATTCCGAATTTCAGCTATTTCTAAATTGTATTTCTATATGGACTCTGCTTTTTCTTTTTCTCCGATTAATGTGAAAATTTCTAGGTCATGAGAGCGAACGTGGAGGCTCCTTTTTTCCAAATTTTAGTTAGTTTTAAATTCCTATATGGACTCTATACTCTACTTCTAATATTTCTTTTTTTAATTCCGAATTTCTATTTTTTTTCTTAATTGTATTTCTATATGGACTCTATACTCTACTTCTAATATTCCTTATTTTTAATTCAGAATTTCTATTATTTCCTAATTGTATTTCTATATGGACTTTATACTCTATTTCTAATATTCCTTATTTTTAATTCCTAATTTATATTATTTCCTAATTGTATTTATATATGGGCTCTATACTCTTCTTCTAATATTCCTTATTTTTTAATTCCGAATTTTAACTATTTCTAAAGTGTATTTCTATATGGACTCTAGTCTCCTCCTCTAATATTCCTTATTTTTTTAATTCCGAATTTCAGCTATTTCTAAATTGTATTTCTATATGGACTCTGTTTTTTTCTTTTTCTTCGATTAATGTGATAATTTCTAAGCCATGAGAGCGAACGTGGAGGCTTCTTTTTCTATTCCTTTAATTATATAATAGATGGTAAGATTCTCTAGCGCTAATTTTTAGCCCCTTGGATCGAAATGAGCCCATAGAGGCAATTGGATTGGCGTGTGAGAGACTGTGAGCGAGTGAGGTGAGTGATGAGCTCCCAAATCTTTTGATGCGTAGGATCGCAAGCAACATCTCCAACTTTCGGCGGTTTGGCTTTCGTCGCCCCACGAACCACCGCCCGTCGTCCGTACATCGACTAATTAAGCTGATTGACTGACCGATTAAGTTAATCCATGCTGGTAATTAAGGCCGGTGGACTGGCACAAGAGAGAGGAAGAAAAATGCCAAGACAGCAAATTAACTTTTGTACTTTGTGCCGCGAGCTGTATAGCTAGCGCTTCATTTGGAGTGTGTTTAGGCTGTGTTTAGTTCCTTCCAAATTTGGAAGTTTGGGTTGAAATTGGTATGATGTGACTGAAAAATTATGTGTGTATGGTAGGTTGATGTGATGGAAAAAGTTAAAAGTTTGGATCCAAAGTTTGGATCTAAACACAGCCTTAGTTCACACCAAAATTATAAGTTTGGTTGGAATTGAAACGATGTGACGGAAAAATTGAAAGTTTGTGTATGTAGAAAAATTTTGATGTGATAGAAAAGTTGAAAGTTTGAAGAAAAAAGTTGTAAACTTGTTAAACAAACTTGGCTTGGTGTGTGAGTGAAGTGTGTGACTGAGCGAGAGATGGACGCGTGGCATGATGATTAGGTGGCAGTGGGGTATCATATCATATGATGATCACCTAATAATGTCTGGGTCAATCTATCATATTATGAGCTGGTTATTGCTAACACGACTACCCAGTTTATCCACAATGCACGCCCTAAAATGTGCACTGAACTGTACACACAGCCAATCAGCCTATATTCTCATCTATCAACTGCAAATCTGACAAATCAGAGAAATTGGAGTACAACAACAGTATGCAATGCAGGTTTAATTTAAGTCGACGTTTGTTTTTGTTTATTCGTATTTCCCAGCAAGATTTTCGGGTTCCAACAGGTTTATTAACCGATAAATTAATTATGTCGGTCCATGTGTCCCATTCAATTTTTCACCTACTACTGCTGCTATTACTCCTACACTGGGCATTGCTTGCAGCCACAATAATTCCGATCTGCAGCAGATCATGGCAGCCATGCATGCCAATCTCGTCAAAGACAGTGGTGGTATGGTATTACCACCTGATGAACAAGTGTGTGCTTGAAGCTAACCTCTCTGCAAGAAACCACCAAGATCCTTTTCTTTTCTCTTCTTTTTTCTCCTCCTCCAAAGTCATCTTCTTCCTCCTGTCATCCTGCGTGCGAGTTTGACCACCGGATGACGCATATATGTTACCTTCTTTGTCTCCGATTGCGTGTGCGCGATCGGACTGTTAGGATCACGAGCTAGCTTGTTTTGTTCTTCATAGAAATTCAGAGCTGCAGAGCATCTGAAATTCAGAAATGTTATTCGAAATTCTGAAGAAATGTCTGAATTTTGGTGCAAAAGAACCTTTGCTTTTCTTGAAACTGAATGGAAGAAAGAAATAGAGATAAATCCTAGCGAGTGATCTGATGCGACGGCGATGGCCATCGATCGGTGTCATCATCTTCAGACTTCAGTGATTGATCGCGGCTGTCTGTCGCCGGTCGCTCGCTAGATATGCGGGGTGTTCATCGTCTCATCATCTTCTTCGGGTGTTTTTAGTTCCAAAGTTTTTTTTCAAACTTCCAACTTTCTATCACATCAAATCTTTCATACACACAACTTTTTCAGTCACATCGTCTTCAATTTCAACAAAATTTTAAACTTTGGGCCAATCTAAACTTCTTCTTCTTCATCAGCTCTGCTCTGAAAAAGGCCCTCGACCTGCGCCTTGAATCTTCTTGTGCTACTGTCCACTCAGTACGGCCTTGACTCTACTGTTTCCACGCCACTGGCAAATTGCAAATGACCAGTTGCTGTCGTCTCGTCAGGATAAAACGACTTCTCTTCTCTTTCAGTCTGACAGAAAAATAAAATAAAATGAGCTTCTGGTACAGTGCTTGCGTGCAGCTACAGTCAATCTGTGAGGTGTTGCGTTTGCGTCTTCAATCGGTTCAAACCTATGGAAAAAAAAATCTGGTACTGTGTAGGAGTACGGCTCTTCATGGGTGGTTTTCTTTTCTTCTGAATACGAGGATGAAGATGAATATTAATTTTTTTATACAAAATGATGTGATATTAACGTATAATTGATTGAGTTTTAATTATTATAAATTTGAAAAATAGATTAATATGATATTTTAGAGCAACTTTCGTATGGAAAATTTTCGCACGAAACATACCGTTTAGCGGTTTGAAAAACGTGCCATAAAAATCTTAATCTTTTTGTTGGAGAAAAAAAAACATGGTCATGGTTTATGGTTAACGATGAATTTTGGAGGAATTATTCCTATGGAAAACGTGGTTATTTAGATCAAAGGAATAGGTATCCAGTAATCTTATGAAATTCATTTGGATTAAACATATACCTATTTTAAAAAAAAATCTTCATGTCTATTCCTTTTCTTATTGCTGCGTTTTTTCCGCCTTCCATAAAAGAGTAATAACTACTTAACTAGCACTTCAAAACACGGGAAAATGCCCGGTATTACTCTTTTCTGTCCTATGACTTTTTCAGTTTATGTGTTCGAGAATCCTGCGTTTTAAAAGTCCATACTTTGAAGAAATCAGCTTACTACTGTCGAAGTGTCGAGATCAAGCGAGGAAGATGCTTCAATTATCCTTGTAACTGCAGTTAACAGTTTGTGACAGTGGCTACTCCAGGTGAATCAGAGTTTTCAGACTTCCCAGTGTGCGAAGAAATCCTCTTTTTCCTCCCCCACAAATCTTCGGTCATGTACCAACAATTATTCGCTCGGATTACTATTCAAAGATTGAGATAGATGCTTCTGCAGGGGGACCAAAGAACGACGAACAGAAGAGAGAGAGAGAGAGAGAGAGGCTGGTAGTGCAATGCAGTGTCTGAAAAAAAATATTCCTATTCCTCTTACCATTAACAGGTTCCATATTCCTGTTGCTCCAAAGGGGCCACTCTGCAACCAAGAAAAGGCATCTTCTTCCTCACCCCCACATTGTTATCTTCTTCTTCATCATCATCATCATCATCATCGATTGATATCAGCAGTAGTATCAAATGCATTGCCCTTTCTGCTCTGCTTTCTCCTCTTCACCCACTTTATTCTCTCCCTTTTTTTTGTTCATCTGTTCTTGCTGTTTCTTGCACTGAAGCTATGTGTAATTACTAGTGTCTGTTTCTTGCACTGAAGATATGTTGATTGAGAAGCTTTAAATTGAAACAGAGTGACTGAAGAGATTGAAAACAAGGATAATTGATTATCTTCGGAGTTCGGAGTGAGCTCAAACAAAGATGAGAATTTTCTTTTCTTTTTTTTTCTCTTCTTTGTTTGAGCTCGATTCTGATTCTCTCTTGCTAGGAATTACAACTAGTTAATTAATTAAAAGACATTAGTAGAGCAAAAGAAGGGCGCTGATTAGGACATGAAAGCATGGTAATTAACGGCCTAGTCAAACACTAACACGGTAAAACCTCTCCCTCTCTCATCTGATCATCTCATGGACAATTAGAAGCGACGACGCTGCAGCTGCTGCTCTCTTCTCCCTCCTCCCCCGCGTCGCCGCCGTCCGTCACGCAGGACGACGGCGAGGACGGCATGTCGTCGTCGTCGGCGGCGGCGGCTCGCCGGCGTGGCGCGCCACGGATGGACGGCGGCGAACGGCGGTGAGCCAGCGTGGTGGTCTTCTTGAATACGCGGCAGACCACCCAGACGTCGTTGGCCTCCGGCGGATGGTCGTCGGCGGGGAGGAGGCGGTACTCGTGCATGGCCCAGTCGGTGCGGGCGCCGCCGCGGCGGAAGAAGACGAGCGTCCGCTTGGCGCCGACGGGCCGCTTGCCGCAGCGCGGCGCGACGACGAGCTTCTCCTTCCCGGACGCCCTCCACGCGCCGCCGCCGCCGCCCGCCCTGCTCCCGCCGCCGCCCCTCCGCCAGCAGCTCGTCGCCGGCAGGTGGAAGAAGTACCTCTCGCCGTCTCCCTCGCCTGTAAATAATCCGCCACCGATGCTCGTCAACGCAATGCCAAAACCCCCCAAAAACGAAGAAGCTAGCGCCATGATCGTGGCCGCGCGCGTACCTGGAAGGTCCCATGGATGGAGGCGGGCGAGGTCGGCGACGGGGATGACGTCGGCGGGGAGGGGGCGCGACATGACCTTGCGGCGGAGGTAGTGGAGCAGGAGCTCCTCGTCGGTGGGTCGGAACCGGAAACCGATCGGCAACCCCGCCTGCGGCAGCATCCGGTACCCACCACCGCCACCGGAGGCCGCCTCCGCCGCCATGAATGAGAGCTTAGACGCCGGCGACGACCTCGCTGGCGGGCGGCGGCGCGGGTCGGGGTTGGGTTTGTTGGTCAGCTCGCTTATTACATGTCAGGTAAGAGGTGGAGGAGTAGTTGGTTGGGGAGGTCGCGCGCGCGCCCGCGTTTTATAGCTAGGGACACAGTACAGGGCGGTCGCGTGATCAAGACTCAAAAACTTTTTCTCTCCTCGTCGTCGTCTCTCTCGGTAGAGTGCTTCACTTCCCTCTGTTTCTTTTCTTACGAAGGCTGTGTTTAGTTTCACTTAAAAGTTGTAATTTTGTGCGCGTAGAAAAGTTCGATGTGACGAAAAGTTAGAAATTTCAAAAAAACAAGTTGGAATCTAGGACTGAAGATTCAGATTTTACTTTAATTTCTGTTATTACGCTTTTAAACTACTAAACGATATATTCCGTATGATTTTTCTAAATGTAGAAGTTGCTTTTAAAATATCAAATGTATCGAGTTTGTAATAATTAAAATTTAATTAATTATGTGTTAATAGTTTTTTCGTTTTACGTGTGTCAAATTAATCTTTATCTTCATCTTGGCCGGGTTTAGTTCTAAATTTTTTCTTCAAACTTTCAACTTTTCCATCACATCAAAACTTTTCTACACATATAAACTTCCAACTTTTCCATCACATCGTTCTAATTTCAATCAAACTTCTAATTTTAGCGTGAACTAAACACACCCTTATTATTACTGGGTTATTGTCGCACGCACAAGAATCCAAAAGTAGGAGTAGGAAAGGGGAGCGAGAGTTACTACTGCTCCTCCTAATTTGATTATATTAGGACTTGAGGAAGAACTGGTTGCTGTGAAGAACAAGGCATCTTCTTCTCCTTTTGTGTTGGTGTGCTTTGAGCTTTTTTTTTTCTCTCAAATTCCTTCTCATCTCCTACTTCTACTTGTGTGAGGTGAGATGGAAGACGAAGGAGAAGCTTCCACGTTATGACAACCACCCACCGCTCGATCTGCTTACTTTGAATAGCGCTTTATTTACCTCACCTCACCTGCTTCCTGCATTGGATTCTCCATTCCAGCACGTAGAGTAACGTAATTAAAGGCATCTCTCGTGCAGCATGCAGCTTAACTAGAGACAGATTAGATCAAGCAAAAGAAAGAAAGTCTTTACTACTTTCTTCCACGGCCAAGCGAACCTTTCTCCTTTTCTTTTCTGTTTTTTCTTTTTTCTTTTTACTCCTACAGAAGAAAGCAGCAAGTGTCCATGTACGACTCGCAACTGAGTTCAGAGTTTGGGGAGTTCAGACAGTCCATGTCAACACCTTTGACCTGCGACTTGCTCTTCCTCTACCTGTCGACAGAATGAACGCACATGCTTGCTTGCTTGCTGCCGGCACGCCGACGACGAAGAAGAAGAGAGCGTGGTCGCCGGAGGAAGACTCCGTTGCCGGCTGTGCGCGGCGCGAAAGCTCACGTCCGAGCGTCCGATCGATTCGCTTATACTACTAATTGTGTCTATGCAAACAGTTTATTAGCAACTTAAAAATGTTTTATGGATAAATTCTTTATATATATATATATATATATATATATATATATATATATATATATATATATATTCTTAGCGATTTAAAAATAAATACTAGAATAAAATAAACCACGATAAAAAAATAATAAAATCAACTCTAAATTATTTTAAATTTTGGCTATGGGATTCTATCTGTCCCTCTCCATCGCTGTGAACAGTGAAGTGGATAAACGAGAGGGTGCTTACGGTTGGCCCGGGCCTCATTTCGGCCCAAAAGCCTCCACTCCCGTTGGCCCCACAAAATTTCGGGTTTTCCTTTCTAACTGGGCTTTCCGGGGCCCACCGTACGGGGAAACATATGGGCCCTTCTCTTAATTGGGCCTACTCGCGATTTAATCCATTCGGCCGTACAGTTTTCCCCCAAGGTCCACTGACTAGGTACTTCTGAATTTTCAATTTTGTGTTGGTGCTTCCTTGATTTAATTGATTGTCAGGACAAATACTGTAGTATGTTTACAGGTAACAGAGTGATTAAACTGGACTTTGTGAACAGTGTAAAATGTTAAGGAAAATTAACACCGTACTGTTGATTTCGTTGGTGATCACATGTTCTGAAACGCCATCATGAGGCAATTAGTGAAAAAAATTTACCGAGCTTAAGCTGTTAAGCATATATCATCAGGGTCTTTTAAGCAAAAAAGTGGAGAGGCCCAGCGTAGTGTCCAACTGGCACACTTTCTCCCTTTACCGCTTTTCAGCCTATTTTTACGTTTCACCCCCTAGTGATATCCTGATATCTCTCCTGATCTTGATTTCTTTAGCTTTCGTTTCTTTAAAATTTATACTTCCTCCGTGACAGAATATTAGAAGTTTTAGAGTTCGACATAGTTATTAAAAAAGTAGATAGAAATAAATGGTGAAGGTTGTGATTTGATGAGTAGTGTAGGTAGGTGGAAAAAGTGAATGGTGGGGGGTTGTAATTGATTGGAAAGAGAATGTTGATGGAGAAGTTGTTATATTTTGAGACATATCCTGAGAGCTAAAAGTTATTATATTTTGGGACGGAGTGAGTAATTATTAGCATAATTATTTGTCTCCATTTCTTTCCTAGTAGTGGCAAATTATGAAATACTAAGATAGTACTGAACAGTTGCGGTACATGATATCTTATGTAGGTACATTCTCATTTCACATATACTACATTGTTGGTGGCTTAGCGCGCCAATTATCACTAACAAACAGTACCATAAAAAGAACATATTGTTACACTTGTAGTCATAAAAGTTAGCTAGAGCTACTTGGTGGACACAACAAACCCTCCCAAATTTGTTCAACCACCATCCCCAACACAAGTGAATAACCTGCCAGCTCAAAATTTGGTGGACAATAAGGTGCTCATCAGCTAAACTAACCCCCAATCAAAGAGGAATTTTTAAAACTAAAAATAAACAACTAGTAGAATCACTTATAAATAAAACTATATCTACAAAAAGTGGAGAACCCTACCTACTACAACTACAAAAAAAAAAAAGAAGGGGGCTCTATATAATTTGGGGGGAACAAAACACCAAAATCTCGGGGTGCTTTTTGTAAAATAAAAAACAATTGTTCTCCTCACAATATTACTACAAGTCCCCATCTTTCATTGATTTCTCTCTCTTTCTTCCTCCTCTCCTCTTCGTGTCTTGCCCTCCGGCATCAGCGGCGGCGGAGTGGCGGGGTTGCGGCATTGGGAGCTGACGTGGCCGCCGGAGGAGGAGCAAGGCGCGCGGCGCCGCCGGCCATGTGGTGATCTGGGGGGGCTTGATCCCGCCGGAGTGGTTCTTGGGCTGAGAGTGCGGCGCCCATGAACGGAGCAAGCTCCGGCGGCGGCGGCGGCGCCGGTGCCGGCGGGGATGGGCCGTTGGTGTACCAGCGCTGGAAAGGGAACAATGTGAGCGCCAATGTCCCGCTTCTTCTCTTCTTCTCGACATCTTTGTCTCTCTCTCTTCCCCTCGCTTCTTGGGTGTATGTGTGGATCTGTGCGTTTCTTAGGTGGTGCACTCGAATTGACCTTTTTTTTTTCTTTCTAGGGACCAGGATTTTGTTGAGTTATGGGAGTGCTCGGATTATTTTGTTGAGCTCTGTACTGTTGATAGCTACTTATTCTGACGTTTATCTCGTGACTTTTGTACTTGGGAATGTGGATTGTAGGACATGTATGGTGTCCTTGGTAGTGAGAAGGACAAGAAACATGAGTACTTAGCTTTGGTTAGTCTTAACTAAGGTGTTAAATGATTTTTAGTTTATGCTAGCTAGTGCTTTAATAATCCTTCCACATGATATGATGTTACAATGTGAAAATGATTTTGTTCCTTGTCCATTTTGAGTGAGGTATGCATAGACAAAGTTGGCAATAGTGCCCAGCTAGCTGGAGTGATGCCAGTTGTATGAGATCTTCAAATTATTTCCTAGCTGGAGTGATGATAGCTGTATGAGATCTTCAAATCACTTCTGCGAATTTAAGAAGTAGGAAGGTGTGATTGCAGCTTATAGCTTTTGTTTCTTTTTCAGGTGTTTGTTCTTCAGGGGAGGTTTATATTTGGACCCGATGCAAGATCCTTGTACGTCACCATGTTCCTCATCATCGCGCCAGCGTCAATCTTTTGTTTGTTCGTTGCCAAAGAACTGATGAATAACTTTTCTTATGGTCTGGGATTACCAGTAATGATTTCAGCAGTTGTGTTCACGGCATATGTAAGTATCACTGTCAACCTTTTCAATTTACCTTCTTCATTGGTTTCCACAAATGTGTTGCAATTAGTATATGTGATTTTTGGGATAGGTTGTAATTGAATAGGACATGTACATAATTGTCTTTGTTTGGTAAACAGAAAAGTGTATAAGTGTATATATGTATACATTCAGACTTACCACTTTAGGAATTTCTGGCATATTTCAGGACTTGAGCCTTCTACTTCTCACTTCTGGTAGGGATCCAGGTATAATACCTCGGAATGCACACCCTCCAGAACCTGAAGGTTTGGATGGCAATGCAGAGGTTGGATCTAACCAGACTCCACCAATGCGTTTGCCCCGAGTGAAGGATGTTGTTGTCAATGGAATCACTGTGAAGACAAAATACTGTGATACCTGCATGCTGTACCGGCCTCCTCGTTGCTCCCATTGCTCTATCTGCAACAACTGCGTTGAACGTTTTGACCATCACTGCCCATGGGTTGGGCAATGCATAGGACTTGTAAGTTCATACATATGCAAATCTGATAAAATTCCCTACTTACATAAACTGTATGTACTGATGTGTTAGCCGTTTCAGTCCATGAGGAGTTTATCTGCTTATTCATCCTAATGACCTTCCTATGGTTATTTTCGTGTAATCATGCATGCATGCATCATTATCTTTTATTGTGCTTTCCATTTGCTATTTTTATTATCTTGCTTATGCTGAAATTATCCTCTGTTAGCTATTTCATATTGTGGTAACATAGAGCATCTCTGCAGTTCCAAAATTCTCGCTTTCTAAGTCTCCTGTTTTTACTATAGATTTTGAAATGCTTCAACATGCTTATAAATTTGCATATGACTGTGCAGAGGAATTACAGGTTCTTTTATATGTTTGTCTTCTCAACAACTCTGCTCTGCCTCTACGTCTTTGGGTTCTGCTGGGTATACATTGTTAAGATCAGAAACTCTGAGCAGATAACAATATGGAAGGCTATGGCAAAGACCCCTGCTTCTATTGCTCTGCTAGTCTACACATTTATTGCCGTTTGGTTTGTTGGTGGCCTCTCTGTATTTCACTTGTATCTCATGAGCACCAACCAGGTAAATACTGTTTCCTGAAACTGCAAGCATATATTCCTAGTCTTGCATGGTGTATGTATTCAGTTAATTGTTTACCTTTTCCTCTGCTTCTGTAGACAACATATGAGAACTTCAGGTATCGGTATGATCAACGGGCCAACCCATACAACAGGGGAGTCATGGAGAACATTAAAGATATATTCTTCTCTGCAATTCCTGCCTCCAAGAACAACTTCCGCGCCAGAGTCCCAGTTCCACAGGAGCAAGGTCTGAGGCCTCGCCCAACCAATGGTTTCATGAGTCCAAACATGGGGAGAGCCGTCGGTGACATTGAGATGGGTAGAAAGCCGGTGGCATGGGATGAGCCAAGGATGGCAGCCGATATCGGCGATCTGGGAGCAGGCCTGGGCAACTTGTTGGAGGACAAGGATGGCAGGTTTCGCAGTGCATCTCCAGATCTAAGCCGTGACGCCCTCGCAATCGGAGGCCTGGATGATCAAGGATCCTCAGTGATGAACCCAGGGCGTACAAGCTGGGGAGTTGAGGCAGGTCGATGATGACAATGTTTAGTTGCCCATGTATGCAGTTATAGTGGAAGACTCAGGGATTTTTAGTGCCGGCTTGTTGCTAATTTGGTGTTTGGGTTGAGATTTGAGGTCACTGATGTTCTTAGGCCTATGACCTTGGGTGGTTGTTTTCACATTTCCATTTCTCCTTTTAATTTTCTGTTCCTCCTTATTGTCCCTTGTATTTCCTGTATCAGTGGTTTGAAGCAGTTGGTTGGTTGTGAGGTATCCAGATTAGTTCAGTTCTAATTGTGTATGTATATAGCTAGAGCACTGAACTTAAAGGGATTGTTTTACTTGGCTTTGATGAATGATTGTGAACAAGATTGTATTTTGCAGTGGACAAACGCCACTCACTTGAGCTGCCATTCCAAGCTTAAACCTGTTGGTTTCGTAATGAGATTTTTTGTGTCGTTTCAGTGGTTATTTGCAGCCTGCTGTTGGAACCTTGTGGTGCTGCAGAGCATTTCTAATTTTAAGCTAATCTTGTCTTGGCTCATAAAATGCCGGTGTGTTGCTCTTCTGCAACATGGCTTCGGAATCCGTTTGAAAACTGTGACTTCGCGTGTGATAAAAATCAAAGATGATGACAAAAACAGACATCATACCAAAACTTAACCAATAGTGCATCAGTTAGCATGGAGCAGTTACAGAAAAAGGGTAATATATAGTAGTATGACCCAAGAAATGGCTAAAGCAGACGACAATAAACAATTGAACAAATTAACCAAGCCACGGCATCGTGAATTATTTGACTTATTAAACGGAGCATTTCAGTTTACTACATGTAAGATCTTCACATATTTTCCCAAAAGTGGGCTACTCTTACAAGTTTACAATCTCAACTTCTTAGGTACCAGGATTCACACAACCTCAACTTTACAGTTTGGATTAGACAGGCTTTCCCCCTCTCCAGGAAGTCCTTTTTATAGCATTCTTCAGGTCATTATAGAACACATTTCCACAGTTGAACAAATCAACAAAGCAGCAACATGTTGGAGATCTTTGATGCATTGATTGGAAGCATTTCTGGTCCACTGTACTAAGTGTAAGCTCTTCACATATTTGCCAACTGCAATCATAGATTTATAGCCTTTCCCTTATTCTGAAGTACTAGGATTCAAATATAACTTTCTTCTGTCAAGTATGGTGTATGATCATTACAGTTTGGAGAAGACTGGCTTCCGCTTCTCTAGGAAGGCTTGGATAGCCTCCTCCAGGTCATTAGATCTCAGCATTGCGGCGTTCCATGTTGCAACATGCTCCAGGCCCTGCTCTACTGTTATATCCCTGCTTCTCAGCAAAACAGCCTTTGTTCCCATCACTGCCCATGCTGACTTCTCAGATATTTCTGAAATGGTTAATCATATCCAACACTATATTTAGCATAAGCCAAGCTTGTTGAGTTTAGCAGCAAAAACAAAATGTGATGTGCATGTTAAACAAGAAACAATTATATCCATATAACAATATTTGCAATCATGTTAAGGATAAATCGAACTTCTTCAATTGACAGAGATATAATATTGAATACATATTCCCTCAAAACATCACAGCTGATTATTCACAGGGTCAAAACAGGAGCAGAAAGTCATTAAGTGATCTGACTTTAAGGAGAGATGAAGTCTGTCATTCAATTGAAGTGGTAGTGGTTAGTTAGCATATTGTCTATGCAGTTCTTCATTCTCCAGATCTTTTAGGCAGGTTGGTAGAGCGTTTAGTTTCATTCTCTCCATAGATGGGCAGAATAAGCTTCTCTTTGTATTCTTTTCTAAAAAGGATGGAGGAGAAGACACAGCTCACGTTTCTGATGAATTCGAGTTCTTAAAAAAACCAGCCTACAGTAACAATAGGACCGAGAACAAAGAAAGACATCTAATCAGGAATGGGCTTTTCCCTAAAAGTTTAAGACACCCTCCAAAGCTTTGCAATCCACCCCCTGTTACAGTGGAAAATGGACCAGTGTGTCTCCCCAACCATTACAGAGTGTAATGTGTCATGCATGAATTGGATCGATCTAATCTAGAGTATAATCTGGTATAACCATAAGACCACCACTATTTGTAATTCAAGATAAATGAATATTATATATATGGATGTTGAAGGCATTATTACTTATTAGTCCTGGAAAGTTGCTACCGTTGAATACAAGCAAGTCGGCAACTGTAAGCAATGTGATTCATCCCTGTTATCATTATTTCCCTTGGTGATACTTGTGGTTTTATTCAGTAATGAAAGATGTAATGCCTCCACTAAAAGTAAACTGAACAAGGTATACTTCCAAAAGTAGTCCTGAATGACCTATCCAGTTACATCAATTAGAGCCTGCATAGGCTGAATTTGTTGAATGAAAAACGATATACAGTCCAACATTAATCCAAGAGATAACATGATTCTACAGTTACACACGGTTCATTTCATTGTCAATTCTGAATGAAGATAAAATATTCTGATTCCACAGTTTAATGGAGTAGTAGGTAGCAACAGCTACAATAATACTCCGTTTCGAAACGTTTGACACCGTTGACTTTTTAGCACATGTTTAGCCGTTCGTCTTATTCAAAAACTTTTGTGAAATATATAAAATTATATGCCTACATAAAAATATATTTAACAATGAATCAAATGATAGGAAAAGAATTAATAATTACTTAAATTTTTTGAATAAGACGATCGATCAAACGCTAAAAAGTCAACATTTTGAAATGAGGGAGTACTAGCTAAGAACATAGATATATATTTATTTATATGGTAAAAAAAATACAAGAAGATCGAACTGTGTACCTTTTGCAATCTTTGCAACGCCAGCATCCAATTCTTGCTTGGAATTGAACACCCTGGTCACGAGCCCCATCTCCTTGGCCTCCATGGCGGTGATCTTGCGGCCGGTGAGCGCGAGGTCGGCGGCGTTCCCGTACCCGACGATCCGCGGAAGCCGCTGCAGCGCGCCGAGGTCGGCGACGATGGCCATGTCCACCTCCCTGAGCACGAACGTGGCGTCCTTGGAGCAGCACCGTATGTCGCAGGCGGCCACGACCTCGACGCCGCCGCCGACGCAGGCGCCGTGCACCGCCGCGACCACCGGCTTCCGGCACCGCTCGATGGCCGTGAGCGCCGCCTGCATCTCCAGGATGGCGCGGCGGAGCCCCTCGGCGGCCGCGGGCGCGGGGTCGCCGGAGGGGGCCGTGGCGGGGCTCCCGGGGGAGCCGAGCTCGATGCCGGCGCAGAAGTGCGGGCCGGCGGCGGAGAGCACGACGGCGCGCGCGGCGGGGGCGCGGTCGAGGAGCGCCATGGCGCGCGGGATCTCCGCGAAGGCGTCCGGGCTGAGGGCGTTGAGCCGGGTGGGGCGGTTGAGGCGGACCTCGTAGACCGCCGCGGACGGGTCGGGCCGCGTCACGGCGAGCGTCTTGAACCCGCGCCGGAGCTCCGCCTCGGGCGAGCCGCGGTCGCCGCCGCCGCTGCCGGCCATGGCAGTGGGGAGCGGAGTTGCCGAGGCGTGGAGATTATCTGTTTGTTAGTAATGACGATCCCCAACTCTTTCGTATCACATATCATACGGCAATCATGTCCTAGACACATAAGCTAACAAATATTATAAAAAAATCTAGAAAAATTCATATATATATATATATATATATATATATATACTTTTAATAGTATTATATTAGAGATAAAATATTAACCTCAAATTCATTATATTTTAGTTGTAAAAAATATAGTTTTAAGGGTGTAATTTTGTTAGAATTTTTCCCTTTTGTTACTCTTCATGTAGAATAAATTTAAAGATGCGACTTTATACGTAGATATAATACTATTGAAAATACATGTGTGTACCATGCACCGGGAGATGAGCTCCTTGAGGTAGCCCTACCCGACCTCAAGGCCTATAAGACCGATCCTTATGAGGGTTTTTTACAGTGATTATTAAGGAACACTAGTTATGTTTAAACTTTAACCTATTGTCTTTTCTAAAATTATATATACCAAATACTTAAGAAATGTCAAATTATCGAGTCTTTTCTATAATTATACTAAATACTTATTATGGAATGCCAAATTCTCAAATGTTTTATATTCTAGATATACTCTCTTATCATAGTTTAACCATTAGAAAAGGTAGGAATGATAAAAGTAGAAATAGTTGTGATCAGCATCGACAAGTATTTACGAACTGAGGGGGTATAAAATCCATTGCTGTTGGTAAACTAGATCAAAATACTGTTGTGTTCCTTTGAAAATATATTATGAATTTAAAAGAACCACATCATGAAAATAGTATATCAAGCTATTTATCTATGCTCTAAACTATTTTTATGCTCCATGGAAGCTCCAACGCTAAGAGAAAATATGTTTGTTGGTTAGCTACATCATTCTCCTTTTCCAACTTCTCCTTAGTGCGCACACTTTCCGAACTGAGCTAAGTGTTTCTTTTTTAAAAAAAATCATGTTGACATATGTTTAACTAATAATACTTAATTAATTATACGTTAATAGATTATATCGTTTTTCTTACGGAGGAAATGAGCCTAAAACGAACCTTTGAACGTACTATCCAATAAGACTTGAAAAGCCCAATCGAAATTGTATTTGGAGAATGATGTAGGTAACCAACAAACATATTTTTTTTCTTATAATCGAGTTTGATTTTGATCAAAGTCAAAAACGTTTTATAACCTAAAACAAAGTAAGTATCTTGCAAACTCCGATGTTTGACTACTGACCTCTAGAGATAGTACTACTACTGCTCATCTCAATTATCAGCTGCAAAAATTATCACATTACAATCCCACGAATGTGATGGGCCATAATGACTTTGTTGTGTAGTAAAGATCGCAAAATGACATGCCTGATAGTATTACTGTACTAGCTCTATTTTCTTCAGATAGTGATAATTGAGCAGATTTTTCAGCGCGTTCGTTTGTTGTATACTTGTTGCCTGATATTTGCAAAGTACTTTGACCGGGTCAGCTTGATCAACGGCTGAGAGTCACCCTGATATTTGAGTCCCGTTCGATCATCCAAGGATTAACAAGATATAGAGTAATTAAATTTTTATTATTAAAAATTTAGAAAATAATATTTTTTTTGGTTTTTTTATAATAATTTCTATATAAAATGTTTTTACATAAAAAATACCGTTTAGTATACCGAAGAATCCGAGAAAAAAAGAACCAGTTTAGAACGGGAAATAGGGTGTGTTTAGTTCACGCTAAAATTGGAAGTTTGGATGAAATTGGAACGATGTGACGAAAAAAATTGTAAGTTTGTGTGTAGGAAAGTTTTGATGTGAGGAAAAGTTGAAAGTTTGAAAAAAATGTTTGGAACTAACACCGTGTGTAGTTCCAAAATAATATTTCAAAATTCCTAACTTTTTCCATCACATAACTTTTCTACACATAAATTTCTAACTTTTTTATCATATTATTTTAATTTTAACTAAACTTTTAATTTTAGTATGAACATTTTAGTATGAATTAGACGTAGCCAAACTTGGCCGTAGTAGAAGATGTGGTGGTACTAGCTGCGGGTGTGAAGCAGGAGAAGAACCAAGTTTGACTTTGCTGTTGACTCCACCAACTACTAAAGCGCGCAGTGCTACACTGGGTTGGCGAGCGGGGTGGGCCTGGGCCTCGAGGAAGGAAGCCGACGAGAAGCAAAGCGTAGCGAGAGCTGAGGGCTGAGGCTGAGCACGCATGGCGGAGACGGCGATCACGACGGTGCTGGCGAAGGTGGCGGAGCTGGTGGCGTGGGAGGCGGCGGTGCTGCTTGAGGTCGGGGACGACGTCCGCCTCCTCCGCGACAAGCTGGAGTGGCTCCACACCTTCATCCGCGACGCCGACCGCCGCCGCCGCCGCCGCGACGACGAGTTCGTCGCCGTCTGGGTGCGCCAGACCCGCGACGTCGCCTTCGAGGCCGAGGACGCGCTCGACGACTTCCTCCACCGCGCCGCCCGGAGGCACCGCCAGGCCACCCCGCTAGCGGCGATGCTGCTGCCTTCCTGTGCCGCCGCCGCCGCCGCGTGGCCCCCGCGCTGCGCCGGCCAGGTCGCGCTCCGCCACGGCCTCTCCGGCCGCATCCGCCAGATCAGGAAGCGCCTCGACGAGATCTCCGCCAACCGCGCCGCCTACAACATCGAGCACACGCCGTCCCCCGCCTGGGCTACCCACCCCTCCTCCGCCGCCGCCACCGCCCTCGCCGCCTGGTACGCTCCCAAATTCACCCAAATTCGCCTCAAAATTCATCTGCAATGTGTGCTCAATCACCAACTAAAAAGAACACGGAAAAACTTGTGATATGCAATCTGATTCTTGTGAGCCCAATCCGGCCGTTGCGGCAGTCGATGGCGCTCGAAGAATCAACGAGCGGCGGCGGCGGAGGATTTGGCTGGGAGTTCGTCGGCCGGTGAGGTCACGGCACTTTGACCGGGTCAGCTTGATCAACGGCTGAGAGTCACCCTCACAGATCGGACGACCAGCGGCGATCCAAAATTTTACGATATTTTTTTCAAATATACCCCTGGTTTGGGTCTCTTTCCTTGGGCAGTTGGGTGGGACAACAAATCCGGTAGTGACCTGGACTTTTTTTAAATAAATCCCAGCCTACTGCCTAGTACCACTAGGATGTTTGGTAGCTATCCAGAAATTTTCAAACAACCCCCTGATTTGGACCGTTAGCATTATAGCGGTCCGGCGTGTTTACAAAATAGCCCTCCATTGGATTGATGAATCTTCTCCGACGATTCTGACTTCGGTCTCGTACCTGTTCTTGCAATTCCAACCTTTTTTTAATAATGGATTTTCATTAATCCGGCCTCTATATACACAAAGGATATACACAGCAATTCCAACCTGACAAGTGACGAGCACGATAGATCGATCGAGCAGTTATGAACTTGTTATATCTTCCAGTATCTTAATGAATCTTGTGCAGTTGTGCTACTCCATGAATCATATGCTCAGGTCAGCTGCAAGCCTGCAAACAGAAATTTTCTTCAGACTTCAGAGCACGCTGCTTGACGCTGTTCAACGTTCCACAGTGAAGCAATTTTTACAAGTGCCTATGCATGCATCCAACCAGCATACTCAGCACTACTCTACTCATAGTTCATCACTGAAGCAGTAAAGAGTCCATTTCACAGTTCATCTCTGAAGCTGTCATCTGCTGTTGATTAGTATTGGTTCTTGTCTTCACGAGATAGCAGGTTGGCAGTGCCCAGGAGCAGGAGTTAGCCAACATTCTGTTTGCATTGTCTTGTTGCCCACTTACTCATTAATAGGAGCATTCTTTAAAAGGGCATGTAGCTTAGTGGTTGCAGTGACCTGAGTTCACCACAAGGTCCTAAGTTTAAATCTTCATAGGAGCGAATTTCAAATTGGGTTATTTGAGGGCTAAGTTTCCTATTTAATAGGCTAAGTTCCTAAATTAAAATAGCTGGATATAGAGGCCGGGTAAAAAAAACCCTTCTCTCTAAAGAAAAGAGCATTCTTTGCTGTTCATCCATGCTCTTGAATACAAGCATTTCTCTCTGTACGCTCCGTGGCCAAGCAGCATGTTGCAGAGTATATGGTGATCGGTAACCAAACAAAAGTTACCTGCCTTTTCACTTGGCCCAAGACTCTCATATGAACGATCAATAACCAAATAAAAAAAGCTACCTGCTTGATCTTTTTTCCCCCTTTGCATTGTTGATCCACATCTGAAACTCTCATATGACTGAATTTCGTACTACTTCCTTTCAAAAATGTTTGAATTCCCTACTACTCGCACTGGTAATTTTTGTAAGCAAATTGATTTTATCACAATATAGTAGGTTTTGTTGATGATACAACTTCATCCTCATGACCAAGTTGCTGGTTTGAACATTGAACCTAAAATAATTGTATATGCTTTCCGTCCTAAAATAACTTATTCTAGGATGGGATGATATCCTAACACAACAAATTTGGATTCCAGATTTATCGTAGTCGGATGTGTCACATTTCATCTTATGTTGAATTATGTTGAGACAAATGGAGACCGTGTTTAGTTCACCCCCAACTACCCCAAACTTCCAACTTTCCATCACATCACATCCAAAACTTTTCTACACACATAAACTTCTAACTTTTTTATAAACTTTCAACTTTCCTCAAACTTCCAACTTTTTTCAGGAACTAAACACACCCGGAGTATGGGTGTGTTTAGTTCAACGTCAAAATTGAAAGTTTGATTGAAAATCGGAACGATGTGACGGAAAAGTTAGAGGTTTGTGTGTGTAGAAAAGTTCGATGTGACGTTTTTTGGGTTCAACTTTGCAACTAAACATGGGTTGTATTTAGATCCAAAGTTTGAATCCAAACTTCAGTCCTTTTCTATCACATCAACCTGTCATACACACACAACTTTTCAGTCACATCATCTTCAATTTAACTTTGCGCTGAACTAAACACAGCCATGGCCTATATCATTATATCTTGTTAGCACCGTAGCACGTTGACTAAAGAGTCGCATGTATTTTGATGCAGGGATGATTTCGAAGAGTATACTGTCGGCTTCGACAAGTACAGCAACATGCTCAAGGAGCAGCTCATCGACGACGCCGTCACCGGCCGCGCCATCGTCTCCATCGTCGGCGAGAGCAGCATCGGCAAGACGACGCTCGGCCGCAAGGTGTACCAGAGCCCCGAGGTTCGCAACCACTTCGAGATACGCACGTGGACGGTGCTCCCGCCCAAGTGCCGCCCGGCCGACGTCCTCCGTGACATCTACAGGCAGGCCAGCTCCCAGCTCCGGCGATCTCCGTCCCAGCAGAGCGCGGACGACGGTTGCGGCGCCGACGCCGCTGTGGCGGCGTGCCGGTCGTCGGGGAAGGACGTCGGTAACCTGCTGTTCCGGAACCTGACCGGCCGGCGTTACATCGTCGTCGTCGACGGCAGCATCGCGGCCTCCGACTGGAACAGCCTGAGAGCGTCGCTCCCCGACGAGGGCAACGGCAGCAGGGTGGTGCTGATCACCGACATGGCCGGGCTGGAGGTGGTCACGTACGCCGCCGGGCCGACGATGAACAGCCCGATCAAGCTGGAACGGCTCAGCCCGGAGAACACGTACGAGGTGTTCCGGCGCCGGGTGTTCGGCCGCGGCGGCGACTGCCCGCGCCAGCACAGGTCGAGGTACTACCAGAAGATCTTCCAGATCACCCGCGGCCTGCCGCTGTCGATTGTCGTCCTCGCCGGCGTGCTGCGGTCCAAGGAGCCCCCGGCGGAGTGGGACGAGGTGATGTCGCAGCTTGCCACGGCGAGGGAGCCGTCGTCGTCGTCGTCCAAGAACGGCAACAGCGGGCGGATCATGTCGCTGGCGTTCGACGACCTGCCGCACCACCTCAAGTCGTGCTTCCTCTACTTCGCGGCGATGCGGGAGAGCGCCACCGTGGACGCGCAGCGGCTGGTGCGGCTGTGGGTGGCCGAAGGGTTCGTGCGGCCGCGGCGGGGGAGCACCATGGAGGAGGTCGGGCAGGGCTACCTCAAGGAGCTCATCTCCCGGTGCATGGTGCAGCTGGTGGACAAGGACGAGTTCGGCGTCGTGCAGACGGTGGTGGTGCACGACCGCCTCCACGCCTTCGCGCAGGACGAGGCGCAGGAGGCCAGCTTCATCGAGAGCCACGACAGCACCGACGTGCTCGCGCCGGCCACCGTGCGCCGCCTCGCCGTCCAGAACTCCTCCGAGAGATACGTCCACCTCAGCAATGCTCTCCCCAAGCTCCGCTCCGTCGTCTGCGACCTCGTCGACGGTCGCAACGGCGGCGGCGGCGGCGGCAAGTGCATCCACTGCACCGACCTTGGCTTCCTCCACGCGTCCAAGTTCCTCCGTGTCATTGACATCCATGGCCTCGAGCTCAAGAAGCTTCCAAACGAAATCGGCTCGATGATCCACATCAGGTACCTGGGTCTCCAGTGCGGCCAGCTGGAGAAGCTGCCGCCGAGCGTGAGCAACCTCGTCAACCTGCAGTCGCTGATCCTGAAGGGCAGGAACGCCGGCCACGTGCTCGACGTGACCGCCGCGTTCTGGAGGATCACCACGCTGCGGCACGTCGTGGCGCCGTTCGCGCTGCCCAAGGTGCTCGGTGACCTGCACAGCCTCCAGACGCTTCACGGCGTGCAGCATCTGTGCTGGGACACGCGCGGCGGCGGCGGCGGCGGCGGCAACCCGCTGGGGACGTCCACCAACCTCCGGTCGCTGGAGCTCAGCGGGCTGCTCGCCAAGCACGCCGCCGCTCTGACGGCGGCGCTGGAGAGCCTGGACCTGCTGGTGCACCTGATGCTGGACGGCGAGTCGCTGCCGTCGACCGTGTTCACCATCCCGAGCCTACGGCGGCTGCAGAGCCTCAAGCTACGGGGCTCCATGGACTCGCCGGAGGGGCCGGGCGGCGACGACGACGACGACAACGAGTCGGCGGACGACGGCGTGGTGCGGTACATCCGGCCGAACCTGACACGGCTGTCGATGTGGAGCACGATGGTGGGGCAGAAGTTCGTGGACATGCTGGGGGAGCTCCCGAGCTTGGCGGAGCTGACGCTGATGGTGGCGGCGTTCGACGGCGAGCGGCTGGAGTTCCGGGACGGCGGGTTCCGGAGCCTGCAGAAGCTGAAGCTGGGCCTGCCGGAACTGGAGGAGTGGACGGTGAAGGCCGGGGCCATGGCGTCGCTGGCGAGGCTGACGCTGTTCGGGTGCCTCAAGATGCGGATGCTGCCGGAGGCGCTCGCCGGGATACCGGAGCTGGAGGAGGTGGTGCTGTACAGAATGCCGATCATGGTGGAGAGGATCAAGAAGCACGGCGGGGAGGATCACCACAAGGTCAAGCACGTCCCCGTCATCCAGACCATCTGGTAGCTTTGGTTCACCTCTGGACAATTTTGATTTTTGAACGTGCCAATGATCGCAGCTTGCAAGTAGACATGAACAGTGTGGTAGTGCATCAGCATTGTATCGAGTTTAATACTCGTTTGACTTTCTTCTTAGTAAAAGTTCTTTAGGTTTGACCAATTTTATAAAAAAAAATCAGCAACAACTACAACACTAAATTTGTTTCATTAAATTTAGCATTGGATATATTTTAATAATATATTTGTTTTTATTGAAAATATTAGTATATTTTTCTACGAATCTAAAGAAGTTTAACTAACAAAAAAAATCGAACGGCTTATAATATGGAATGGATAGAGTAGTATTGGTAACTATTGTGCTTAGTACTCATAAACTTATCTTAAAAAAAATAAGAATTAACATTTAGAATAGCTTAGTTATAATGTCGTGTCCATTTTTTTCTTTCTCTCAATTATCTATTAAATACTTCCTTCGGGTTGATAACACTTTGACAACTATTTTCTATATGATTTTATTGATGTGCTTTTTAAGACTAATCTATACGTATTAGTAAATAAATATTTTAGAATTATTTATAGTCAAGGATTTTAAAGTCCGACTTCACCTTGTCCAAAACAATCAACATTATCATCCCAAAGTGAGTATATATTGTTTGGCATATGTATAGTTAGCTCTTACATAAAAGCTAGCGTCATTCTCTTATCCACATATGATTATAGTTGTCCTAAAATATAAGCGATTTTGGTTGGATGTACCGAGTATACACGACAAGCGCTCACAGCCCAAACTTCCCACATTTTCCTTGGTTGGCACTTAGCACCATATGTTTTATTTTTCTTGTGCAAGAACAAAAAATCATGTGGTCCATTTTCCTTTGGAACCAAAGTTTTCTATGCAGAATATTTCTATATCAATAGTTTTTATGTATACACTTTCTATGGCAACACCTCATGGGCCAATGGCCATAATGAACGCGTTGACCTAAGTCGCCCATTATCAGACCCACTAGCTCTAAGCATGTAACGAAATTTCAAATGCCTTTTATAGAGCTGAAATTTCAAATCCACCAGGGCAAACTCGTATATATGGGCTGGAAATCCACTAGTAATAGACCACCCCAAGTCCATCGAATTAAACTAATCCGGCCCATAGATAAATCCACGCCCCACCCCCATGTTTCTCCCCCGCTTTGGCGAGGCTGACACGTGGGGACCACCAACCTCCATGACACGTCAGCGGCACATCCGCTGCAGCCTGCAGCCCGCCCACCACCCAAACCCCGCGCCCCTCTGACATGTGGCCCCCACCGCTCGCCGCGTGCTCTCGTCATCCATCCGACCCACGCCCGCTGACATGTGGCCCCCACCGCTCCCGCCCCCCCACTCCCCCCCCCCCCCGCGCGCGCTGTCGTCATCCATCCGATGCGGTGTGCATCCGCGGCCGGAAGCTGGCAGCCCACCCACATCGAGGTCTCCCATCTCCCCTCTCTCGCCTCGCGTTCACACATCCCCCCTTCTCCTTCTTCCCCCCCTCTCCCAAGCCGCGAAATCCCCTACTAAACCCTAGGATTTTCTCCCCTCCCAATGCTGGAGACGGAGCCGTAGCAAGGTCTGAGATTTCTTCTCTCCCCCCTCGCGTGCTCTCGCCCTCCCCGCGTTGCCCCGTCGCTCGCTGCTGTTGAATTCTCTCTATGTTTTTTTTTTTGCTGATTTCTCTCTTTGGGCGGTTAACCGTGGGGGGCAGCATGGTTTCTTGCTCGCTCCGTGATGCTGTGCGGGATTTTAGTTTTTTGTTTTTCTGATTCGATTGATGCTGCTGGTGATGGGTGGTAACGGAATCCGTCCTGGGTAGCAGGATATTTTCTTCTTTTTTTAGAGCGCCCATGCTCTGATTGAAGTGATAGAGAAGAAATTTTTGTACCGTGCCATGTGTAGTGCGGCTTGTTTTCTGTTCTCTTGGTGCAAAGTTGCAAACTTGGTTAGTTGATTTTGGTCGTCAGGCCTGTCCGAGCCTTGGATTAGGTTGTTGGGGGCAGTATTTAATTAAATAGTAGTCACCATGGTTGCAGGCTTGCAGCCTTTTGCTGCTGCTCATCTTCATTTACGGCTAGCGCCTACCTAGTTCTGTGCCATATTTGGGCGCTGCCACTATGACCATGGCAAAAAAAAGATTAGTTTTTTATTGCACCCCTTTTCGAAGGCCTGGGTAGGACTTTCGGTATGTGGGAAATCAATGCTTGGTTTGATGAATCTGCAAATGACTTTGAAGTGGCTCTTTCTGTTTCTTTTTTTTTTTAAAAAAATCGTTCTTCTGTAGTTTGTAAGATCTCGAATGCTCTGTAACCACATAATTAAGAACTCAAATATGATACTAGTATGCATTAGATTACTCATCTTAGATGGCTTATTTTCTCGTCAACAAAACTGGATTTTTCTTAGATATTTCTCACTGATCAATTCCATTCTCATTTTATTTGCAACACAGAGATTCAGAGCTAAGTGCCCTGTGGTTCCCAATTACTGTTTCAATCACCCCCTCTTGAAGGGTCACAGTTTTGTCTAATGTATTTATGTGTTTTTCAGGTTTCTTACCTCTGGAATTTGGGGGATTCTCAACGCCCAAGCTAGATTACATAACATGAATGCAGGATTCAGCCCACAGATCTTGGCGCAGAAGCTTTTGAAGCTCAATAATTCACGACAAAGTATAGAGAGTATCCTTCCAGAGTGTGATCCTACAACTTTCTCCATCATTAACTTAGTGACGTCCTTTCTAATGTGGTTTAGCGTAATTGTCGCATAGCTATTGTTCTTCATGGATAAGAGGGTGTCAACTATTTTCCCTATAGTTTCTCTCAGGATAACACACAAACTATCCATCTTCATTTTGACTTGTCAGTTACAATTCAGTGGCTTACATGGCCTGGATGATTAAAATTCATAGCACACATTTTATAGAAAAGGTTAATGCTTTAAAATTTTAATCTTACCACTTTTATAACTATGGCAGTAGACCTTTTGCATCCAGTTGATCACTCATCACACAGTATTATGATCAGTTGATATCATTCTGGTAGTCTAGCAGTCATCCGTTGACCCTTGCTCAAATATGTTCTTCCTAAGAAGTGTGTCCAAACAAAATTTGACAGCTTATTTCTGATTGTTTATTTGATCTTACCTCATGGCTAGTACATTATACTCATTATACTGCTCATTCACATAATGGTGATGCTTAACAAAAGAAAAGCTTTGTCACATTGGTGTGTCTTTCATTATCGACACTGCCGACAAGTTGTTGAAACATGGGAATCTGATTTTCACTCAGCTCCTCGTGAGAGGAGGGTATCTTTGCTGTACCTTGCAAATGATATCGTGCAGAACAGCAAAAAGGACTCTGGTAGATATGTAAATGAGTTCTGGAGGGTTATCCCTGCTGCCTTAAACGATGTGTTTGTCAACGGCGATGATTTTGGAAGGAATGTCGTACAGAGACTGGTATGTCAAGAAAATATTGTTATTGTTTGCATGCATAAAAGCATTTAATTATGTATCAATCCATCCCTGTTATTTCTGATTTTGGCTAATTGTAGCAAATTTGCATATAACTACCTTAGTTTCATGGAAGTAATATTCATTCTTTATGCAATTACTACATATATGGTTGGTACATTACATTGAACTAATACACATTCTGTATGCAATCACTACTTGCTTTAAATTTCGAAACCGTAAAGCCCAGTAGCATGGTTATTGTGGCATCGCTAGTACGACACCATGGAGTCCAGTGGCCGCGAGGCTCACCTCGTGTTGGCCATCTAGGCGTGTGCCTTGGAAAATGAGGTGTTCATGACAAGATTTCATTCAGGTGCCTTAGCCAGTTGTCAGGGGACATGCAAGGGTAGAGAACAAGGCCAAACTGCTACGTGGGAAGCAGCCAAGAAGGCATGTGGGTCTGGTAGATGAGTAGGTGGATGTGGAGAGGTAGGAAGGAATGGAGCGGTGCTGTTGAGGGGCGGCACCGCAGCTGTTAAGAAAATGAGGATGCAGCACCATGTAGAGCAAAGTAAACAGGCAGATTAAGGGTTGCAACCACAAGTGATAATGAGCCAGGAGAGCCCTTCTGGCCTAGTCACAAACATGCAGGTAGAGGGAGGAGCTAGGATTCCACTAGTGTCGCCTCTTCTTATGCGTGTGAGCAATGCTTAAGCTTGCTTCTCTCCACTCCACGCCGTGCCCACGTGGCCATGTCCTCCTCTCCACATTTCTTACACCGGTCTTCTCTTTGTGTAGTTCCCAATCATTGGGGGCCTCCCCATGATCTCACCACTGCCTCTAAGCTTCTTCCCTCTGTGTATGTATGTTCGTTCTGCTTCTGCCATGTTGTGTGTTCATGAGGGCGTTGTTGCTTACTTCTGCTATGCTTTCTTTGTGCGTACAGTTCACTGTTGATGTATTAAATTTGCTTCTGCTCAACTCCTGTTCTCTAATATTCCTATTGCATTATACATGCCTATCGTCTGTTCTACTACATTGTATTTCTTGTCTTCTAGTTTGCTGCACTAGTCAACCCTTTTAGTTGGCCATATATCGCCTTGAGGACACCATGCCCACCTAAATGCCACATGGCATCCTGGGCCTCCTAGCGGCATTGTGAGAACCTTGCTTAGGAGAAGTGAAATGGTGAGGTATTTTGAAGGGCTTGCATTTGGTTTCAGATCTACAGTTGGAAAAGTTCTCAGGTTGGGCTAAGTTAGCGTAGGATTTGTTACCTATTTTTTTGAAAGTAAGATTTAAGTTGCCTATTTAATAGTGTTCGTCTTGCTACTTTACTAATATGCCTAGTTAATATGTAATTTCATCAGCACTTTCTCTATTTCTTAATGCCATGTTATATTGGTCTTACTATTACATAAGAGACTTTGTACTAGGGAGGAATCTTGTGTGCGCATGACTAATAAAAGCCTTAGATAAAGTTTCTTATATGCCATTGATATGCCATTGAAAAATGTATTACCTTCTTCTGTCAAAAAATGTGTTTCAATGCTATAAAGTTTAGGGGAAGTTCGGTTCATAGTATAGGTGGCATGTCAAATTAGGAAAATACCGCAAAAAATTTCCCACTTTGTTGAATACCATAGGATCACACCAATTTCTTTGGAAATTGCCCCTCCAGTCAAGTAGTGTTTGACCCTATGCCATTGGTCAATTATTCCCTGATTCCTTCATCCCAATCTTCAAATCCCTCGACTTGACCCGTCTTCTGGTGGCGGCAACACTGGCAAGCACAGGGACACATCGGGGGAGCACGCCCACGGTGACATGATGATGGAGGTGGTCTGGCTAAAGAGCAACGCGCCATCGGCTAAAGAGCAACGCACCATCAAAGACAGAGCAGGCCCAACCAATGCTTGCTTTCCTTCTCGAATATGACAGTGTTTTCAGCGCCTCCTTGGCGGGATGATTTCAAGGGAGCAATTGTGGCCGCTGCCTTCGACGTGGGGGTTCGCGGATGTTGTGTTGGCAGAGGGCAACAAGAAGCGTGCGAAGGTGCTGCTCGATGGCAACATGCAAGGCTATAACTACGCAATGGCATGTTCTTCGAGGACGACAACACCATTGCAGCTAACTTCTTCGATTTTGTTTTTCTCCTTGGCTACATGTATGCATAATCATGATTGCAAATGTGTTCATAATCATGATTGCAAATGTGTGAACAAACCCCCAAAAGAAAGCAAGGTAGGGTATTGAAATTAAAGTGGGAATTGGTCCTTTCATCACTTGGATTAGAGATGGCAGTGGGTTGGGTCGGGCTTGAGCGGATGTGCTCGTGCCTGAAACATTGCCCGAAACCTTTGACGAGTAAAATATAGAACCCATGCCTTTTGGGTATCCAAAAGCCAAAGGTACCCATGGGTTTTGCTACATCTAGACATAATCCTCTTTCAAACTCAAATAATCTCAATCTCAATCAAGATTTGGACATGCATATTGTAAAAAGACGACCGACGTAATTAAGATTTGGACAATCAAGGAATAAATGAATTCCTAGTTGCATTTCAACAAACATGTAACGCGCAAAGAACAAATGCTATAGCTATGGTAGTAGGCGAGAAACAAATTGACAAACATCCAAAGAAGAAAAGATGGATTAAAGCATCTTGTGCTCGCTTGCGCCCTTGCAATGCCATTGACCTACGGTCGTTGCGAAGCCGTCCGCCTAAGCCTAGTTGTGGTGCCCCACTCACCCGCCTGCGCCTGTGCCTTGGTGTCTATTTGTAGTCTTAACAGGGGATTGTGGATAGAGCATTCCTTTTAGAGAAGGTATACATATGCTCGTGATGTTCTTAAATAGGCTGAAAGTTTAGTAGTGGGCTAGGCCAAAATCACACCAACATGTCTACTCGAGTTGGGCATGGGTTACCCATGGGCACATAATAAGACCTGGATTATGCCCACTAAAAAGTCGGTTACTGGGCGAGCATAGGCATAATATCTAACCCATGCCCATACTTGGATTGGTTGACAATTCAACAAGGGTTAATTGGTTCCATGCCATTATAACTTTCACGCTTTTGAAATATACCACTATTATTCATCTATTTGTAGTCACGCCATTAAAATTTTACAGGTATTTGATATATGCCACTACTTACCCCTTGAACACATTCTTTTAAATTTTTGGACCAAATTATCCTTGTCTTCTCCCTTATCCCCTCTCCTCTCTCCTGTTCTTCTCTCCTTTGCCAGATCCGATTGAGCCCTCAAGTCTGGACGGGCAAAGCAGTCAATGGCGGCGTCCTTAAGTCCGACACAATTGAGGTGGATGCGCCTGGGTTTAGCCGCATCAGCAACCGAAGCAGCTATAGGAAGTGCGGCCGTCAGCGCAGATATTGCCGGCGATGGGCGAAGAAAAATAACTGTGGACAATTAATTAATCAGCTAATTTCATTGGTTAATGCATCTTTGGGAGCAACCACGACACCCTGTTCCTTGCAATAGTCAAGTTTACAACCGATTTGTATGTACAGTAGTGGAGTTATGGAGTTATTGTACATATGCACGGTAGTTAATTGGCCAAGAAACAAGGTCAGCAGGAGGAGGGTGAGGGGCGAGGAGCTTGGACTAGAGGAGGAAGACGAGGGCAAACTGGTCCAAATTATGTTACGAATACACCCAAAGGGCAAATAGTGGCATATATCTAATAAATAAAAAATTACAATGGCATGATTATAAATAGATAAAATAGTAATGGTATTTTTCAAAACATGTAAATTTATAATGGTATAGATCCATTTAACCCATTCAAGTAAGGGTGAAGTTTGTGATGGCAGTGTGTTTTTCAAAGAATTTGTTGCACCTTGTATTTAGTGAAGTGGGAATTTTTTGTAACATTTTCAAATTTGACATCTCATATTTGCTATGAACCAAAACCTCCCTCAAGTTTTACCTAACATCATGTCAATCGAAGCCTTTTCTGTTCTTCCTACTACCTAATTCCATCATCATGATAGCCACTATGCACTTGATATTCGAACAATGAGTGCTTTGTACCTACCTCCCGTGCAAACCCTACCCATTATATCGGATCTACCGCCCACCATGGACTCCGATGCTTGTAGTGGCGGGGTCATAATCATCAACCTGTTGTATTGCGATATCTACTATCGTAAGATTGAACTCATCACCCTCAACGCTAGGTCCCATGCACATGTCTTGGTTAAGAATAATGGAGAGTTTTTGGTCGTCGATGTTGTAGGTTTGGCATCAGATAAGATAGTCTAGGCGATGGCCATGTGTTGGTGGAATGGTTAAATTAGCCCGTGGGAAGTAGATGGGGATGGCTAAATCAATCTATCAAGGGATTGCCTGTGGTGAACATGAAAGTAATTGTAATTGTCATTTCTTAGCCAAATTCGTCCACCATTTTCTAGCACCATCTCTTTCTTCTAGGTCATTTTCCTTACCTCTAGCTTACGAACCATCATGCACATCTCCGTTGCACCTGTCGACCTCCTTGGACCTCTACCAAGCGGTAGTCCTAGAAGCACTTGATTGTGTGCCACTAGCTCGCTGCATCCTATGTATCATGATGGTGATTGATAGTGGGCAATAAGAAGATGGCAAAGCTATGGCAAGAAGAGGTGAACCTGGGAGATGAGAGAACAACATAGCAATTTTGTCTTTGTGCATATATACCACTTAAAGATACCACTTAAAGATAAGAGGCTAGTAGAAGTGTGAAAGGCCAACAAATTGCTACCTACTGTTGTAGGGAGGAGCAATTTTTTAATGCATATTCCATATGAGGATGCAACTCTTCGAGGCATATAATTTGTCAACAACCTAGGGTTATTTTCCCTTAATTCTATGTCTAATCTAACCCAAAGGATGGAGGTTCTTGAAGTCAATGACAATGTGGATGCACTCCTCGAACCCTAGAGGATTTAATGAGCGTTGAATTGTTGATACAACTAAACAAAACTTGAATGATGATGTTAGGCCTTATTTCGGAGATGAGATTGTTTTGTCATCATCCATTGTATGATGAAACAATCACCCATGACATGATTTGTTTGCCGTTGTTGGAGATCTCTTTACCCACATTCGACGGTAAATAAGATCTATTGCGATGGCTGAAGCGCAACACAGCTTTGAAAGAAATGATCTAGCTTGATATATTACCAAAAATGGTTCTGCTTAGTTGTGATATGATGAAGCCATGAGCCCATGAAGCGCAAAATATTCCAATGAATGAAGTGTTGTCATTGGTGTACACCTGCACCTTTGCTATAAAGAGTTTGTCTAAGGGTGCGCCAAGAAATGTGATTCTTTGTTTTGTTGTGTTACATCTTTATAAAACTATAATGTGTCTCCCACGCATGTCTCCATAGCAGAACGTGCTTTGAGTGCTAGTTTGGTGTTCTTCAGTTTATTCTTTTTTGAAGAAACATTGCCCTTCCCATAACCAGGAGATTTCTTTGCTACATTAATAGGGGTGGGGTTCCACATATGAAAGTACTCTAACCCTAGGAACGAGGGATGACACCCAAAAATATCAAAATGAAGTAATATGTCCTATCCATAACACATGATTGTCTTCATTTCTTCCAAAAATGTCAAAATAGTTAGGTTTTTTTGGCCTTTAACTTTTTATTATTTTTTCTAAGTAATGTTGTAAGCATAGTATGAAAAACCGGACCGACGAATGACCCGGTTGACTCCTTGGATCATCGGTCTATCAGTCGGACTGGTGGACCAGCAGTTGAACCGCGGTTTATTATGCATATGTATATTGTTTGTTTGCATTATACAATAATTGCTTTGATGGTGGGTAGGTTACTGCAACTGACTTCTAGTGCGGAGACCAAAGGTCGAATCCCCGCGGTAGCGCCTTTTCCTTCAATTTTTGCTAGAAGAACAAGATTTAACATGTTCAGAGGAGACCAAAGGTTGAATCCCCGCGATAGCACCTTTTCCTTCAAGTTTTGCTAGAAGAACAAGATTTAACATGTTCAGTCTAAAAACATGCCAGTTCTACCATGGCGGGCTCTAGTTCCCTTTTTTTTACGGTTGAACCACCGACCTTGTTAGGTTTTTTTTCACTATGGTTGTAAGAGGAAATGAACAGTTTAGCCTCCCTTTCCATCATTAAATCTCTTGTTTTGCCATCATCATATCCCTCATCTAGCTAGAGCCTAGTTGTGGGTGGTTTCTTGGGTAGCCTCATTCACACCGACTGTTGAGGTGCCAACTTCTCATATCATCGAAGTTGTGGGTAGAGGTGGCGAGGTAAGCTACGGCGACAATGTGTGTGATGACGACAAAGGATGTATGGGAGGGAGGCGAGGAGCTAGAGCGAGGTGAGGCAATGACAGGACTGAAGGTAAGGTTTTGCCTCCTTCACCTTCACCTTGACCTATAATAGACTCCCTACTGCCACCCTCCTTGGATTCTCTCATCAAGCTCCCTCCTTGCCCATCTTTGACGTGCATGGTATTGGTGATTATGCACAACCATGCTGGTGGGAAACCACAAAGTATCCGCTCCCTTGGTAGGCGTTAGTGTCAGTGATGAAAGGGGATTAGGCCTTTTGGGTCTTCTGGTGGAGTACATTATGTGAAGGCTAACGATTTGGTGCTTTTGAAAGAAATCAACAAACACTAATATGGATGTGAGGTTAGAATTTTTTGTGTTCGAGCTAGCAAGGGACCCTAGGTGGAATATCTAATTTTATTGCGGATGTAATTTTCCTTTTTTGCTGCATAGATGCCTAAAAATCAACAATTAATATCATGATGGACAACGAGCACAACTGCCCTAGTGCAAAGCATTTGTCACTATGAATACCATGATGGTTCTTCTATGGGTAATGACAAGTTTTCCTTAATATCCTTATATGCTTCGAGAAAAAAAAATCAACAATTAATAGAAGAGTCAGATTATGGTACAAACTAAGAGTTTCTTAGTGAATTGCGATCTGCATTAGGGATCACTTGCCATGCCAAGATGGCAATGCCTTTTTTGACCGTAAACTGAGTTCTAGCTGCTTATGCATTTTCAAGCTTGTGACATGCAATGCCTTACTATTTTGTGTTGGTAGTTTTTTAGTGATGAGGTTATCTCCTTGGATAGTTTTGACGTGGCACCGTTGTCTGTTGGCTTTGATCCCTTGCATGCACTCATGGGAATTGTGTAGCCTTACCATATATTGTTGTATGTTGATTTGATATGCTTTAATAACCAGTAGTTCACCTGGCATAGGGACATAATTGCTCACTCTATGTGGTATGAGCTATGGCAGCTGAAGTCCCCTCATAGTTAGGACATCCATCCTGAAGCCATACTTCCTATTGATCATAAGGGACCATCGGATCTACTCGGCACAAAAGGATGGAATTAATGCTAATAAATTATTACATGTGATCCTCAAGCTATTGAGCTCTACATTAAAAACACCAAATTAATCTTGTGAATTTTGAATGTTGCATATGAGTGAGAGTACAGAAGCAGTGGTAATAGAATTATTTCTAATTCCTGTTGTATGGTTGGCAATAAAGCTTTTCGCAAATAGTGGGATTGGACATATATTGAGTGGCTGAGGTAAGTCAGGATGGGGATGCTTGGTTCTTAGATGAATAATGTAGTATCTCACACATTTCAAAATCTGAATGTACAGGTCTACAGTTCACTATCATTTTAAAGTTTGAAAACTATTTCCAAAAACTTCAGAACTGAATATATGGAACCATCAGAAGTTCAAAATTTCAAAGTCCAGTTTATTATATTTGAAATTTGAAACTCATTATTTGAATTGTGTGTCATGCACATTCTGGTTTCGCTAATGAGGCGTAGGAAATTCTTGGTACCGGAATCTCCCAATCCAAAAAGAAAGAACAGTACGACATATGTGTATTTTGTGGTTGGCTATTCCCTTTTTTTTTTGGGTTCTGTACAGTGTAAATATGCAAATTCGATTGAAAATTTTCAGATTTGCATAATTTTGTGTATTGCACATTTCTTTGTTATTATTTTTAACAGCACAATGTGCACTTTTCACATATTGGGGCATGTGAATCCCTAGGCACCAAAACCATTTAACTCAGTCCTGTAAACATATTTATTTTGCATTCATGTCTCATTTTCCAGGCACATATAACTGTTTGATCTCATTCTCTCTAAAATATTTCAGGTTGACATATGGGAAGAACGTAACATATTTGGATCCCATGGGCAAAGTCTCAAGGAAGACTATTCTAGAAGGTTCAAGGAGTTCAAATCCAAGTCGGTAAGTAGTCTTTACTTTAAATACTTTTAATACTCATATAATCTTTTATTATTTTCATTCATGTATGCATTTGGTGACTCTTTACAACTCTCTATGTTTGTTTCACATAATTACAGAGAAATTCTAGTGGGGAGCTGCTGGAAAAGGTTATCTCTTGCTACAAGCATATGTTGAATGCTCATGTAGACGACGATACTCTCATGCGGAAATGTCAAAATGCTCTTAGCTTTGTTGACAATCTCAGCAACGAATATGAGAACAACTCTATTTTAGGTGAGGATATCTTCACAAGACGTTTTTGTATTATCCCATTCAGTATATCAGTTCTGATGCACTGCAGGTATTATTATTTATTTGGGGTTTTTTCTTGTATTTTTCAAATTCACGGTATGCATGGAACTGCCCTACCACCTAACATACCCAACCTTGCCCATTACTATTGGGATTGAGTGGTAGGTTTATTTGTAGGCTGTAGCGAAAGCTAATGACGGAACCTCTTATGTTTCTCCCCTCTCTTTAGACCTCTTCTCTGATAGTTGTGTCACTGACACTTTTCCATAGTTGTGTCACCAACACTTTTCCAGCAGCCTTGACACTTCTTTCAACAAAAACTTCCCTGGTGTGGTGGGAATGCTGATAAGACATCATTTTTTTCTTGAATTTTTCAAATTCACGGTATGCATGAAACTGCCCTACCACCTAACATACACAACCTTGTCCGTTACTATTGGGATTGAGTGGTAGGTTCATTTGTTGGTTGTAGCAAAAGCTAATGATGAAACCTCTTGTGTTTCTCCCCTCTCTTGAGACCTCTTCTCTGATAGTTGTGTCACTGACACTTTTGCAGAAGCCTTGACACTTCTTTCAGCAAAAACTTCCCTGGTGTGGTGGGAATGTCGATAAGACATCTTTCTTGTATTTTTCAAATTTACGGTATGCATGAAACTGCCCTACCACCTAACATACCCAACTTTGCCCGTTACTATTGGGATTGAGTGGTAGGTTCATTTGTTGGTTGTAGCAAAAGCTAATGATGAAACCTCTTATGTTTCTCCCCTCTCTTTAGACCTATTCTCTGATAGTTATGTCACTGATACTTTTCCAGCAGCCTTGACACTTCTTTCAGCAAAAACTTCCCTGGTGTGGTGGGAATGTCGATAAAACATCACCATTTTTTTTAAAAAATTGTTTGGCCACAATTAAGTCATGTTGCTGGTGGAAGTGTCCATAAACAGCTCAAAACTTAGAGCTTCGTGACTGATGGACAAAAGCGTATCTCTTAGCATCGAAATATCTTATGTAGAGCACTATGATATGGGAATACAAATAGAACAAGGCTCCTGAAACTTTATGGATGGGCTTTTCCTGAACCATTCAACCTGCTTCAGGATATATTATTAAGCATATAGGTATCAGTGAGTTAGTTTTGCATTGAATCCTTGAAAAGAAGTGTGAAGGACGTGCTCACAAAACACAACTATTTGTTTTGACAATATTAGGATATGGAATGATTCATACGGTCCATAGTGAGCTAGTAACTGTAAATATGTAGAAGCCTGCCCACTGAAACAAGCCCAGCTTTGTACATTTGTACACCCTATACAAGTTGTTACTCCATTATTAGTCTGGATGTCAAGTGTGTGTGTGTGTGTGTGTGCGTGCGTGTGTTTGGACCATTGCCTTTTATTGTAGCTTACCCATGTCCTCTTGCATATTGGCAGACTGTAGTAATGGATCTGGCTTTGTGGAGGAGCTGCAAGAACAACATAACATCCTGAGAGACTCCATTGAACAATTCAAAACATCAGAATTACTCAGAGGCAATCTTATTTCTTGCTTAAAGGAAGCACTCCATGAACAGGTGTGTAAATATAATAAATAACTATATGTGGTGATCTACTTGATTTTGATTGAGAAGGATTGTTGAACGCTCATAATGTTTCATCTGCTTTCAGGAGTTCAAAATGGAACGGGCCAGAAGCCAGATTAAGGTATTTTCCTACATTAAACAACGCCTTTTCCCCATTAAATAAATTGGCTCTGTGGGTCTTAAGCACTCTGCATTTTATGAACAAAGTGTACTTATTGGTTTGATCTTTTTATAAGCTGGAAAGGGCTACTAGGATGGGCAGTTTGCTGCTATCTGTTCCTTAATACTGTACTAATGTCTTCCCACTATTTATCAGGAAGTTCAATCCCGATACAAGAAAGCTGATGACCTCTGCCAGAAGCTTGGAATACATGTAGAAAGGCAGGAACAACCGAACCATGGGCCTAAGAACTCAGGTTCTGAAATGCATGGTAGCTTTGGCCCAGATTCAGCTAATGCCAGTTCTTTTGAGAAGGGACAATCAAGTGCGGTGATGTATTCCCAGGAGAACGGCGGTGAGCATGAGATCCCCAATGGCGTTTTCTCTTCACGGGCCACCAAGGATAACATTGAGCAGAAACTAGAAGAGCACTCTACGAATAAGAGACAGAAACTACAGAATGATGTGTATGTTTCACGGCCTCAATCGCCACCTCCGCCACTGCCATCTGATGCATTTGAACAGCCGCCGCCACCACCTGAGCATCCCCCGCCACCAGAGTCTACATCGCCCCCTCCACCGCCAACTTCTGATCCACCTCCAGTCCCCCCGCCACCACCGACAACAGGTTCATTCATGCCAATTCCTTCTGCTCCGTTTGCGGGACTGCCAGTACCTGCCGGCCCTATGACAGCAGTACCCTACAACTCTTACCCAGTATTTCCTCCTATGAACTATCCCATGGTCAACATCCCACCTCCCTTCCCTAGTGCTCCAAATACCCCCCCTGGTTTCCAAGGTTTGGCTGGTCCCTTCTATGGCCCTCCTTACCCCGCACCACCACCGCCACCGCCACCACCGATGAACAGGAAATAGACTAGTTTCTTGCCTGCAGATTAGTACTGCCAGCCAGCTTTGGAGGATAGCCATAGACTTTGCTTCACTGAAGAATATGATCGTGATGATTCATCGCCATGTGTTGTGGAGCTTGGAATATACTGTTCCTAGTGTTGTACATTAGTCAGCTGGCCAGATAGTAGCGGATTTAACAGTTAATTAGCATTAGTTGTTCAGGTCATGGTCATGAAGCAAAAAGGAAACCATGTGTGACTGCTAGAAAGAAATTCTGGAGTTATGAGTTATGACAGCTGAAGGCAAATGCCATAGCATGACATCTTTTGTTACTCTTCTTTTTCTTCCTTAGAAAATGTTTGTCACATTTTGCTTGTGTTGTTTACTAGATTATTATGTCCATAGTTGTTGCAATGTTGAGAGCAGGTAATTCTGTTGTTTTGGTATGAGATGCAAATTTTAATCCTCTCATTTTCTGGCAAGCATTGCATAGTGGCCACTTGCCACTTTCTTGGTGCCTTTCTATGATATGCTTCTCTAATTCATCCATGTATAATGCCTTTTCAACTTCACTGCTTGATTTGGAGGCTGGAAAAACTTTTTGAGTTTCAGCTGATAACCTTTTCTAATCTGCTTAGATTCTTGATGGTGGTTGCTACATGTACAATACCAGCCAGACATGTGTGCTTGTTGTCTGCCTTTGATATTGGTTGGCTTCATTTTGAGTGAAGCAAAGCAGCAATAATGCACACACATTCATAGTAAAAGCCTTTGTGGGACATACACATTCACAAGTCTTTTGTGGGACCCACACGCCTTGCGAGTGCGCCCGAGACGGTTGACTTGTGATAACGCTGACAGTTTTTGGGTGTACTGTACTCACTGCCTAAATAATGCAGCGCAGGCACAAAGTCTCTGCAAAAATTTTCCATGCCCAACAAATTTGTCTGAAAATTGCTTGTGTTTATGAAACATAAAGTGTAGTAGCTGTCATACCCTGCATTTTGTCCACAAAAATATTTATTTTTCAGAGGGAAATTTATTGGGTTTCACACTGTAGGATCATGGCAGCATGGGCCTCATATCTACCTGATGTTTCTGTCCATGATGATCACATATACTGACTCTTGGTTTGGCATCACAAAGGTCATGGCAGCAATAATTGGGAATAAAGGATAGTTGCAATGTCACATTAGCTCTTCTACGCTTTGTCTTAATCTTCTTAGGAGGCTCCATAATTGTGTTTAGAAATTAAACCAGGTATAATGTGTTTCATCTATTAATAGCAATGATCAATAATCGTGTTACATCTCATTATCTAGGAGAAAAATCTATTACTGAAAAGAAAAAAAAGTAGTGAAAATAAACCATACAGTCTCAAGGGTCTGTTCACTTTGATGAAAAAAAAACCCTTTTGGCAGGATTTCTTATATAGTTACCAAAATTTGGCAGCAAACTAAATGTAGCCACTTTTTTAGCAACTTTACCAAAATTTGGTAAGGTTGAAAATGACGTCAAAGTGAACAGGCCCTAAGTCACCAAGGATGTCATAGAAAAAAAAAAGGCGCCAAGGAGAGCCACACACAGCAAGTACTGGTCAAAATATTTTAAATTGACAAATGCAATCGCATGATCTGTCCATTCAAATTATTTCTTTACCTTTTCTTTTCTTCCAGTAGCCACAAACTGACCGATCATGGCCGTCCATTGCGCATTCATAGGATGTGGCCGTCCTTTCTCCGAATATTAGCCCGTACATAAACCATGCATATGGGTACTCTTATTCGCAAATGTACTTTAGCACCGACATGGTCTCCACATATAGTTTCAAATATTACATTATATATAGAGAAATAACGGCAAAAGTAAATCTTATTAGACAATTGTATTAACAAAATTTGCCACAAATCAAATGGTTTTATTTACACATGACAAATTTAAACATGTTTTTTTTTCGGCAAAATGTGTAAAATCTTTGGTTCATGGTTATACTTTAATGCATGCTTGTTATGTTCTAGATGGGTTCATCTTCTTTTCATTGCAACACATCACATGATATGCTATATGTATGCTAAGCTCTTGAACTTTAATAAACATAATTCCTATGTTTGATAAAATCATTGTCAAAAGGGGGAGAAGCAAGGTGAATTTTTGGACAGTTGTTGAGAAGAGCATGTTTTTGGTTCAATTGGGAATTTCTTTCTTTTAAAAAGGGGGAGAAGTTTTCTTTTGGATTTTTCGTTCGAGCACGATGTATACATTTGTACGAAGTGTGCTTTTTACCACTTTTATTTTTATTTTTTCAAACATCAAAACATTTTTAATGGATTTGCCAATGTGTTCATCAAGGGGGAGATTGTAAAATCAATGGTTTTTTTGATTATTATTCTGTGATGAACAATTGGACATTGGAGATTATTGGTTTTGTTATTTGGAATTTATTCCCGAAGTGGTTTTGGAGATTATTGGATTCACAGGTGATCGCAGGATTCTATCATTTTATGTGACCGGTCAGACCGGGCTCTGGTAACCGGTCAGACCGGCGTGTAATGCGCGGTCAGACCGGCGCAGCCCGCGGTCTGACCGGCCGACACTGTGTCGGTTTTGGTTTCGGGTTGTTTGTTTGGATATCCGTGATTATTTCATGATTATGACTTCTAGATGGATACTATACGTATGTAATACTGTTGTTTGCTACTAATGAGTCAAGTTGGAGATAGCTTGGTCTCGGAATATGGTTTTTTTGTTTGTTCTATGTGTAGGTGACTCGATGTCTCGGGAGAATATTTGCGTTGATGGACCGAGAGTCGGCTTGGGGATAAGACGACTTCCGTGGTGGTCAGAGATCATGCGGGATACTTAGGCTAGAGTTGATGCACGTGGTTGATGGAGATTCCATATGGCATACGATGGAGTTATTGTGTGCGTATGGGATGCGGAGTCGAATTTGGAAGGAGTCCAAATTTGGTACAATTGGTTATGTAAAGTTTCTTTCTTGTACTAGAAGGTTTGCTAAGGTGATTAGGACTCTTAGTATGAGTTTGGTTCGTGGCTTTAGGCTGCTTACCTCATGTATAAATAGAGGGGGAGTGTGAGGCTTCCCGGTATCGCTTTTGAGAGCAATTGAGTTGAGTTTTGAGTTAGGGTTTTGAGTTTAGTCGAAATTTTTGTAAGGAGTGCTGTTGGTGCACTTTGTAAATACAGAGAGAATCAATAAAGTTGTCATCTACTTTAAGAGTTCTTCGATTTGTGTTTCATCGGGTTTCGGCGGTCTAACCGACGGCACACCGACGGTCAGACCGGCGGCATCGCGGCGGTCAGACCGGCGGGTACACGGTGGTCAGACCTGTGTCGGTGACAGGTGTCAGGAGCAGATCTCGGAGGTCAGACCGGAGATTCAACACCGGTCAGACCGGCGAATCTACTCCGGTCAGACCGATCTCATCGAAATTGAGGGTAACTTTTATTTCCGCTAAAAGTTTTCGGTTTTTGGGTATACCAACCATTCACCCCCCTCTGGTTGGCTTAGTTCTTGTGATTCGAACCTACAAAATGTATTGTAAACGATATACTTTTCCAAACGGAGGGAGCCTATCACCATGTTTAGATCCTAATTTTTTCTTCAAATTTCCAACTTTTTCTATCACATCAAACTTTCCTACTCACGTAAACTTTCAACTTTTCCATCACATCGTTTTAATTTCAACCAAACTTTCAATTTTGGCGTGAACTAAACACAGCCTATATAGTGCTGATACACTGCACATCAATACACTTTTGACTTCCAAGCATTGAAAAAACTTTGACATATTCTTCTCTCGTCCTGGCTTCAGCATGCAGCTACAGCACCAAAAATTCTAATTTGGATTAATTGGAGTTTTGTCAATGCACGCCAAATTCATTGGCACGCGTTTCCCTTAAATTCTTGCACAGCCTTCTTGATAGCTCGATCCCCTGGGAGTCAAAGAATTTGTGCCAAATTTAATGACACGTATGGCCAAAATATAATATTAGCATGAACTTGGCAGGCAAGTCCTGGTGAACCCACGTATAATTGAGCGGTTTTGCGGTTGATTGGTTTATATATATGTTGTCCAAAAGAAAATGTCGGCTAGGGTACATTTGAAAAATTCATACTGGGGCATGACATTAATTTATGAAAATGTTTGGTCGATAATATATAGTTACCAGTGACAGTTTTTACTTGATCTTGTACATATAATCATCAAATTGCCAATCTTTCGGCTGGCCCAGCATATTATAATCATCAAATTGAGGAGGATGTACCGTTGATACTGTACATATAAATTCCTAGCAGTAATTTTTTATAATGGATAAAATTTCGGCATCTATATCCATAAATGAATATACACAGCTAACTTCCTACAGTGTGTATTTGTGTGTGTACATATATATATATATATATATATATATATATATATATATATATATATATATATATATATATATATATATATGATATTTGAATTGGATAAATGTATTTCAAACTGAGAATTGAACAAGATCTTCACACGCAAGAAAACTAACATGAATGCTCAAGTAATTAAGAGAAAATGCAACCTACAAGTGTGTATAAACCTTTCCGAATTTTCGAGTTTTCTGACTTCTTGTGTCTACAAAATTTATACAATAAAACCAATACATTTGTTCATTTCAATGTTCTTATCTAGAAAATGGCTGTCCCAGCATAGCATGATATACTATAATTAACTGACCTGTCCTTAAATTTGTCATAGCGTGGCATTAATTTGTTCACAGCAAAAATAGACTCACCATCCCCATATGATTTCAGTTAGCCTCCTTGGCACCTATATATGGATAATTAAACATGTGCACAGAACGTCATTCTTTTTTTTTAAAAAAAATACAACATTATATTGTGCATATCTACTGATCTACATGTATATATTTACCATCTCACCTAAAAAAAACTCTTGAACTCAAAACAGCACAAAACCGAAACGCACTCGAATACTCTGCACCCGTATCGTACTCTCTCCGGGCTGATAATACTTGTTGTTTTGGACAAGGGTGATGTCAAACTTTAAAATATTTGATTATGAATAATTTATAAAATATTTATCTTTGAAATGTGGTGACTATATGTATAGATTAGTTTTAAAAAATACTTCAATAAAATCATATTTTGTTAACACTTCTATTCATATTATAATAAAAAATAGTGGTCAAAGTTATTTTTTAAGACCGTGTCCTTGTCCAAAACTACAAGTATTATCAACCCTACCAGTTTCATTAGTACTCAATAAAAATGAATAAATGCTATACCTCTTTTTTATATGTTTTGAACTAACAAACATCATTTTAATTTTGACCAGCAACTATTTATATGCATGAATCACAAAGTTAGCTACTACTATACTAGCTTCATGTCTTAATTGCTTTCTAAATTTAAATTTCAAACATTGTTTGTTGACAGTTAACAGACTGAA